TTTAAAGCTGATTTTGGAACAGTTTATTAATAGAAAAGCAAACACACAAAAGGTCATCATCCCTGATTATTCTGAGAACATTCTTTTAGATTCTGAATTATAGTGTAATGCTTTTATTGTATGAAAATAAGTTGATTTTCTTTTATCCAAGGGCCATTCTTATTTAAGCAGTGGGATATAATGATAAAGTAACATAGATATTTTTGAAATACATGTTTAAATTTGATTGGCATAAAGAGTATTGAGGCAAATAAGTAAATATTGGACACTTTTAATTTTTTTTTTTTTTTGGGTCCGGTCATGGGGCCTGAACTCTGGGCCTGGGCGCTGTCCCTCAGCTCTTCAGCTTAAGGCTAGCGCTCTACCATTTGAGCCATAGCGCCACTTCCGGCTTTTTTCTTATGTGGTGCTGAGGAATCAAACCCAGGGCCTCAGGCATGCAAGGCAAGCGCTCTACCACTGAGCCACCTTCCCAGCCCACTTTTAATTTTTTTAAACTATTCATTTATCTTGTCAGTTGTAGGGCTTGAACCCTGGGCCTGGGTGCTGTCCCTGAGCTCTTCAGATCAAGGCTAATGTTCTACCACTACCACTACCACTCCAGCAACACAGCACCACTTCCAGTTTTTTTGGTGGTTAATTGGAGATAAGAGTCTCATGGACTTTATCGCCTGGGAAGGCTTTGAACGACGATCCATTGAACTTTATTTATTTATTTATTCGGTTGTGGGGCCTTAACTCTGGGCCTGGGCGCTGTCCCTCAGCTCTTCAGCTCAAGGCGAGTGCTCTACCACTTGAGCTACAGCGCCACTTCCAGTTTTCTGGTGGTTTTTATTGGAGATAGGAGTCTCACGGTCTCTCCTGCCCGGGCTGGCTTTGAACCGCAATCCTCAGATCTCAGCCTCCTGAGTAGCTAGGATTACAGGCGTGAGCCACCAGCGCCCGGCCTCACCAACTCATTTTTATTGCTGTATCATTTCATGCATAGATTTAAAGTGTCAGATGTGTGTAGTTTGATACATGTGCATATTTGTGTAACCACTTTTCATCAGAATATGGAAAATTTCAGGGCTAAGCATATAGGTTAGTGATGTAACATTTGCCTAGGATGTGCAAGGACTGAGTTCAGTCCCCATAATCAAGAAAAAAAAAATTGGGGTTGGGAAGGTGGCTCAGTGGTAGAGCGCTTGCCTTGCATGCATGAGGCCCTAGGTTCGATTCCTCAGCACCACATAAGCAGAAAAAAAAAGCGGGAAGTGGCATTGTGGCTCAAGTGGTAGAGCGCTAGCCTTGAGCTGAAGAGCTGAGGGACAGAGCCCAGGCCCAGAGTTCAGGCCCCACGACCGGACCCACAAAAAACAAAAAAATTTGACCTTTGTGCCAATTTTCAGCCATTACTCCCAAAGGCAGCCATTTATCTAACTGTTGTCACTATAGCCCGTTGTAGAACTTTGTATAAAGTTAGTGTGTATGCCTTCATGCTTGCCATCTTTTGCTCAATGACTGAAAAAATTAACTGTATTCTCACATCAATAATTCATTTATTCTCCTAAATAATTTATTGTTCATTCCACAATTTCTTTATATGTTAACTTGTTAAGAATTGTTTATTGTTTCCAGCTGTCGACTATTGAAAATAGAATATCTATTTGCCAACTGCTGGTGGTTTACAACTGTCATGCCTCCTATGTGGGAGGCTGAGATCAGGAGGATTGCAATTGTAGGCAATCCTACAATTACATACATACATACATCAGAATGATGTATGTTATGTATGTATGTAAAGAAGAACCAGAGCAAAAAGTGGTAGAGTGCTTACCTAGCAATCTCAAAGTCTTTGAATTCAAACCTCAGTACTGTCAAGAAAAAAGTTTCTTGGCCATTTTTGTGCAAATGTTCTTTGGGGATATGTTTTATGTGTTTTCATTTCAATGTGGAGAAATGGCTGGACAGTGTCCTATGTGTATGTTTAAACGAAACTGCTGATCAGTTTTCCAAGTTATTCTTTCACCAACAATGTACTGAATGAGATTTATGGTTATTCTGTATTAATTTTTAATTTTTGCCATTCTGGTGGGTATGTATGTAAGGGTACTCCATTTGTTTTGTTTTGTTTTGTCTTTTTTTTTGGTCAGTCATGGGGCCTGAACTCTAGGACTGGGCGCTGTCGCTCAGCTCTTCAGCTCAGGCCTACCACTCTACCATTTGAGCCACAGCACCACTTCTGGCTTTTTCTGCTTATATGGTGCTGAGGAATTGAACCAAGTGCCTCATACCAAGCACTTTACGACTGAGCCACATTCCCATCCTATCACATTTGGTTTTAATTTGCATTGGTCTGGATAACTAATGAGAACATTTTATTGCTATTTGTGTCTTCTTTTGCGAAGTTTCTATTTTTAAAATTGAGATATTCATATATTGATACGTGTTTGAGAATTTATTCAAGTATATGACTTGCCTTTCTATTTTCATCTTCTTTTGTCCTTTCTGTTCTCTTTCCTTCCTCTTCTACCTTCCATTCCTCCATCCTTTTCTTTCTCCTTTCTATTCCTCCTTCATCATCTTTGTCTTTTTCTTGCTCTTCTTTCTCCACTTTTCTCCTCTTTTTTAATATTTTTGTTGTTATTGAATCCAGGGCCTCATACATTCTTGTGAAGACTGAGGTATATATCTAGCTTGGCATTTCCAATTTCTTAATGGTTGTTTTTGCCAAGCAGTTATTTTAAGTCTATTTATTTACTGTTTTTGAATGGGATGGAACCTGGGGCCTGGTGCATGTTAGACATATACTCCACACTAAGGTACATTGAACCCCTCTCTCTATATGTGTTTTTGTGGTTTGTGTGTGTGTGTGTGTGTGTGTGTGTGTGTGTGTGTATGTGTGTGTGCCACGTCTGGGCTTGAACTTAGGATCTAGGTGCCTATCCCTGAGCTTTTTTGTTAGGGCTAGTGTTGAACCACGGCTTTACTTCTGGCTTTTTGGTAGTTAATTAGAGATAGTTTCATAGACTTTCCTTTCTGGGCTGGGTTTGAACCATGATCCTTAGATATCAACCTGCTGTATAGCTAGGATTACAGGCATGAGCCACAGGTGCCTACCTACCCCTAATTTTAATCAACAAGAATTTTTCTTTTTAGCTCATGGTTTTTGTGTCCTAGGTAAGATAAAGGATATTACTATTTATCCTTGGATACAAAAATAGTTCATATTTTCTTATGGAAGATTTTAGTTTTAATTTGGATGTTTAGATTAATGATCCAGTTTTAATTTGATTTTGTGTGTGTGTGTGTGTGTGTGTGTGTGTGTGTGTGTGTGTGTGTGTGTGTGTGTCAGTGTGTGTCATTGAGTTTAAACTCAAGACTAGCATTCTACCAGTTGGGTCGTGCCTCTTGCCCTTTTTGCATTATTTCCCAAAGCTGCCTTTTAACTATGATTCTCCTATTTCTTCCTCCTGTGTAGCTGGTATTACAGATGTTTCCTACCATGCTTGGCTTCAGTTTTATTTTATTTATGCATTTTATACTTCTTATTAATTCGTTGAACAAGTAGTTAGTGAGCACCTTCTTGGTGCCAGGCAATACTTTAGTGACTTGATTGTCATCAGCAAACAAAACATAAAAACCCTTCGTGAAACTTACATCCTGGGGGAAATGATTAATATATAAATAAATTATATAGTATGGTAAACTACCATTTGGTTTGGAGACAGAATAGGATAGGGTAAAATGTCAGTGAGAAGGTTTAACTCAGTGAGAATATATTGTTTAGAGAACTACTTGAGCAAAACATGATGGCTATATCTGTAATATCAGCTACTTGGGAAACAGAGGCAGGATGATTGAGTTCCATGCCATTTCAAAGTTAACTAAATCCTATAACACAACCAAAATTTAAGCAGAAAGGATGGGGACCTGGATCAAGTGGTAGAATGTTTGCTTGGCAAGTCAAATCAAGACTTGAAAGAGATGAGAAGGTTAGCCATTCAGGTATCTCAAAGAGGAGTGTTCTGGATAGAGGAAACAGGCAATTTAAAGGCCTTTGGGTTTGAACATATCTGGTATGTCTAAGGATTTTGAGGACATCACTGCTGTAGAAGATATCAATGGGTTAATTACAGGAATATGTGAGGGCAATTTTTTAAGAATCTTTTTTTTTTTTGGGGGTGGGGTGGGGGATCCGGTCATGGGGCCAGAACTCTGGGCCAGGGCGCTGTCCCTCAGCTCTTCAGCTCAAGGCTACCGCTCTACCACTTGAGCTACAGCACCACTTCCGGCTTTTTTCTTATGTGGTCCTGAGGAATCGAACCCAGGGCCTCAGGCATGCAAGGCAAGCGCTCTACCGCTGAGCCAACTTCCCAACCCTTTTTTAAGAATCTTATAGAACATTGTTAATTCTTTAGCTCTCGGAGTGGCATGAAAACCATTTGAGGGTTTATTATAATTAATACAATTTTTTAATGATTTTTTTGACATGGAGTATTGCTATGTTGCCCACAGCCTTCTGAGTGGCTGAGATTACAGGCTTGTGATATTCCCTCCAGCTATTATACATTTTTTTTTTGTCTGTCTTGGGACTTGAACTCTGGGCTTGGGCGCTGTCCCTGTGCTATTCAGCTCAAGGCGAGTGCTCTACCACTTCCGGTTTTCTAGTGGTTTATTGGCGATAAGAGTCTCACGGACTTTCCTGCCTGGGCTGGCTTTGAACCGCGATCCTCAGATCTCAGCCTCCTGAGAAGCTAGGATTACAGACATGTGCCACCGGTGCCCGGCTTATACATATTTTAATTCAGCACAAAGCTCTTTCTGAAAGTCACTTAGAGATTCATTATTGTAACTATTATTATTAATGTTTTATTATGTAGACTAGGCTGACCTCAAACTTGGAATTCTCTTATGTCAACTTCCTGAGTGCAGGGATTACAGGAATGCACTACCACGAATGGCTATTATTGCTTCTTTACATAGACATGTTTCCTGACGTGTGTACTTTATTTCAGAAAGATCCAGATTATCTGAAGCTATGGTTGGACAATTTTGTTTCTAGCTATGAACAGTTTTTAGATGTCGACTTTGAAAAGCTGCCTACCAGGTATGTAGACATACTTAATTTTTTACCCTGGAATGAAATGTTCCTTTTTGGCATAAATATTTTTATGGCATGTTACAAGGATAATAATTATGTTTATAGTCTTGTTACTCCTAGATAATCTTCTTCTCATAACAAACATATTTTCTTCTTTTCTTTCTTTTTTCTGGATTGTAGGACTTGAGCTCAGGGGCTAGATGCTGTCCTTGAGCTTTTGTGCTCAAGGCTAGCACTCTACCATATGATCCACAGCTCAACTTCTGGCTCTTTTGGTACTTAATTGGAGATAAAGCTCTCATGAACTTTCCTGCCTATCCTGGCTTTGAACTGAGGTACTCAGAGTATCCTGAGTTGCCTGAATTACAGATGTGAGTCACTAATGCCCAGCTAAACCTGACTTTCTGAGGCTGATACTTTGCTTCCATGACACAGTTCATTAAATGTCTAACCCCAGCTATTATTGGTGTTACTAGGTGGTTGAGATGTTCAAGATGTTCCTTAGTTCTTGGGTCTGTTGCCTAAGATCAGGACTGTCCTTGGTATGACAAAAGAAGAGTGAAAAGTATAAAGCTAGTTAAGAATGATTTAGTAGCATCTTTTTTTTTTTTGGTCAGTTGTGGAGGTTGAACTCTGGGCCTGGCCACTCTCCCTGAACTCTTCATCTCAAGGCTAGTGCTCTACCACTTGAGCCACAGTGCTACTTCTGGTTTTCTGGTGGTTAATTGGAGATAAGAGTCTCTTGGACTTTCCTGCCTGGGCTGGCTTTGAATGAGATCCTCAGATCTCAGCCTCCTGTGTAGTTAGGATTACAGGTGTGAGCCACTGGCACCCAGCGCATAAGTACATCTTAAGATGTGAGGCAGGCTGTTCATGTAAGGATTGACTTCCTGGAAGTTTTCAGGGTTTGGAATTTTATGCAATAGGGTAAGGTTACTAAGTAGCAGGAAACTAGACCTTCTTCTTAAGGCCCCTCTCCAAAAGACTTGACAACTACATATTGGCTGCCTGGCATGGGAACACTTAATGCTTGTGCATCTGCTCTTTCTAAGTTAGTGCTTCCAGTAAAAAGTCAGAGATCATGTTTTCTCTCATGTGGAAGCTAGATCTAAAATACAACTGGACATGATAACTTATATAAGACTTTATGCATTGACACAAACTGACTGAGGATACATTTCGGGGCGGAACCCACAGGCATAACTCTTCTGACATCTAAAGTACAGCTTATCAAAATGAATTACAGGAAATGGAAACGTATTCAATATACATTATGTGAAAATGAACTATGCAACTTATGGGCAGGGACAGCAAGGGAAAAATAGGTATAAGTAAAGGAAGGGGTGACATTGTCCATGAAGCATTGTACTTATTATTTTCCTTAAGGAATTGTAATTCCTTTGTACAGTAATAAAGATTTTTTTAAAGTCATATGTCAGTCATTATATAATTGAATACCTGGCCTTAATATGGGGTGCATGCTGCATAAAGAAGATCTTGGGCGGGGCTGGGAAGGTGATTCAGAGTGCTTGTGTTGTATGCATGAAGCCCTGGGTTCGATTCCTCAGCATCACATAAGCAGAAAAAGCCGGAAGCTCAAGTGGTAGAGTGCTAGCTTTGAGCTGAAGAGCTGAGGGACAGCACCCAGGCCCAGAGTTGAGGCCCCAGGACTGACAAAAAAAAAAGAGAAGATGATATAGGGCCATTATCTTAATGGTGTGAGTCATCTGTGGGTTTTGAAGAGTCTTAAAGCCTACTCATTATTTCTCATGTATACTTAGCTACTTGCACTAATACAGCTACCCACTCTCACAAGTTAAGGTCAATAATCATCCATAAAACTGCCCTCACAGGCTGGGAAAGTGGCTCAGTGGTAGAATAATGCTTGCCTTGCATGCATGAGGTCCAGAGTTTGATTCCTCAGCATCACGTAAGCAGAAAAAGCCAGAAGTGGCACTGTGGCTCAAGTGGTAGAGTGCTAGCCTTGAGTTGAAGAGCTGAGGGATAGCACCCAGTCCCAGAATTCAGGCCCTATGACCGACAAAACAAAACAAAACAAAAAAACCCCAAAACAAAACAAAAAAAGTGCCCTCACTTCATATATTAGTCATAGTATTGCTGGCTACTCACACTACTCACCACATGAATATAAATTCATGGTTCTTTTTTTTTTTTTTTTTTTTGTCGGTCGTGGGGCTTGAACTCTGGGCCTGGGTGCTGTCCTTCAGCTCTTCAGCTCAAGGCGAGCACTCTACCACTTGAGCTACAGCGCCACTTCCGGTTTTCTGGTGGTTTATTGGAGATAGGAGTCTCACAGTCTTTCCTGCCCGGGCTGGCTTTGATCCTCAGATCTCAGCCTCCTGAGTAGCTAGGATTACAGGCGTGAGCCACCAGCGCCCGGCTAAATTCATGGTTCTTATGCACTCCCTCTTTTTCAACAATTATGTACACTTGACATGAACTCACTATACTAGTAGTTTTATTTTAAAGGCTACACATATGACAAGCATTAGAATCATTATGGAAGCAGAACTTTTGTGCCATTTCCCTATGAAAGACCCATTACCCTCCCTTGAACAGGAATATGTTCAGTTGAGAAGCTGTTTAAGCTTTGGATATGCAGTTTTATTGGCAACATGTTATATCACTGACCCATGTGGTTGAGCTCTGTCTCCAGCCTTTCTCCAGAATATTAGGGAGCAAGTTTGAAAATTCCAACCCTCATGTGATTTCTTTTTCTTCTCTTAAAATATTTTTCTTCTCTTAAAATATTCATTAGCATGTATTAAGTGTACCAAATAATGGATTTCATTGTCATGCTTGGATTCTGAGAGCAGCATCTCTGTGGACCCATCTCCAGTCACTTCATTTGCATAAACCCAGGAGTAGTCTAAAGGGCCCTGTTAACAGATAACAAAAGACACTCCTACCACTCAGGAAATTTGTATGATTTTTAAAAAATTTTCTGTCCAAGAAACTAGAAGACCAGTTTTTATTTATAATCATCATCATCATCATCATCATCATCTTTGGTAGCCCTAGAACTTGCTAGATGCTCTACTATTTGAACGATGCCTCTAGCCATTTTTTTTCTTGCATTGTTTTTTAGGTAGGGTCTAGAGTTTATACGTGGCCTGGCCTAGATCAAGATTCTGCTATTATTTATTTATTTATTAAAAAAAATTTTTTTTGTCGGTCATGGGGTTTGAACTTTGGGCCTAGGTGCTGTTTCTCAGCCCTTCAGCTCAAGGCTAGCACTCTACCACTTGAGCTACAGTGCCACTTCTGGTTTTCTGGTGGTTTATTGGAGGTAAGAGTTTTACAGAGGGCTGGGAAGGTGGCTCAATGGTAGAGCACTTGCCTTGCATGCATGAGGCCCTGGGTTTGATTCTTCAGCACCACATAAGCAAAAAGAAAAAAGCCAGAAGTGGTGCTGTGGTTTAAGTGGTAGAGCACTAGCCTTGAGCTGAAGAGCTGAGGGCCAGCGCCCAGACCCAGAGTTCAGGCCCCACGACTGGACCCAAAAAAAAAAGAGTTTTATGGACTTTCCTGCCTGGGCTGGCTTTAAACTGAGATCTTCAAATCTCAGCCTCCTGAGTAGCTAAGATTAAAGCGTCCGGCTCCTAGTATTTAGGCTTTCCAAATAGCTGGGATGACAGGCTTACCACTGCTACCAGCTTCTTTTTTAATTGGTTGAGATGGAATCTTGATGTCTTTTTTTTACCAGGCTATCTTGGAACCAAAATTCCTCTGACCTTTGCCTCCCTGAATAGAATTACAAGTGTGAGCCAATACACTCAGCACTGGGACGGATTTGGGGGAAGCAGAAATAGGAAGATCAAAATCCATGTTGAAATAATCAATGCAAAAAGGGCTGATGGAGTGGCTAAAGTGATAGAGCACCTGCCTAGCAAGTATGAGATCCTAAGTTCAAATATTAGTACTGCCAAAAATAAAAATAAAAAAATACTAAATAGGGGAAAACTTAAATTCTGTAAAACATTACAGAATTTGCACATAGTGCAGATTTTCCCTCCATTTCTCCACCCTCTATCAAGTTCCCAGGCCACTTAGAGTTTTCTCTATCTTAAGCCAACCTGAAAGTCCAGTAGTTGTTAGGTAATATCAGTTGCTGGGGTAAAAAGGAGAAATGAGCAACAAAAGGAGCTCCAGTTCTAGACATGTTGAAGGGAAAAGGAAAGGATAGCTGTGGTTGATGATGGCAAAGAGTATCTGGAAAAGTAAAAATCTCCAAGGAGAAAAGCTTCAGTTACTATAGAGAGGAGTCTTGAGGGGTCAATAGAGGCCAAATGATATGCCATGCATGCACTGTTAAGGGATTTGATTTGTCCTTTTGCTGTGGAAGGTAAGAATGCTATTAAAATTTTTTCATGTGAAAGTGTCTAGATTGATTTTACTTTTCAAGTCACTTAGGAATCATTAGGGTGGTTGGACTGAAGAGAGTTGAGACTGAAGGCAAGAAGCCCTATTAAGAAATAAATCAGCTGGGTGCCAGTGGCTCATGCCTGTAATCCTAGCTACTCAGGAGGCTGAGATCTGAGGATCGCAGTTCAAAGTCAGCCTGGGCAGGAAAGACCGTGAGACTCCTATTTCCAATAAACCACTAGAAAACTGGGAATGACACTATAGCCACATCAGCACTTGTGGCTTTTTTGTTTATGTAGTACTGAGGAATCAAACCCAGAGCTTCATGCATGCTAGGCAAGCACTCTACCACTAGGCCACATTCCCAGCCCTGATTTCTTTCTTTCTTTCTTTTTTTTTTTTCTTTTTTGGTTGGTCATGGGGCTTGAACTCTGGGCCTGACCGCTGTCCCTCAGCTCTTCCGCTCAAGGTGAGTGCTCTACCACTTGAGCTACAGCACCACTTCTGGTTTTCTGGTGGTTTATTGGAGATAAGAGTTTCACAGACTTTCCTTCCCAGGGCTGGCTTTGAACCGTGATCCCCAAATCTCAGCCTTCTGAGTATCTAGATTCCAGGTGTGAGCCACCAGCGCCCAACTGACATTGAACTCTTGATCCTTCTGTTTCAGGCATGCAGCATAGATAATATATATATATATATATGTATATATATAATATGTATATGTATATATTATATGTAATATATGTATATATATGACTTTTCTAAGAACCTGCTGTTTTGATGCCTCAGCAGGAGGGAACTATATATAAAAATGAGAGATTTTTCTAGTATTTTTTATAAATAAGAGAGAATGAAAGAGTCTGAAGCTACAAGTGATCGAATTCCTAATCTAAAATAGTATATGGTTATTTAGTAATGTGGTTATGGAATTCGGTAATTTTTATAATTTGATTTGTGGTTTACTTTAGAATTTAATTAAAATCAAATGTCTCTTTTATAGAAATGCTTCCTTAATTTATGTTTTAGGATAGTTCACAAGAAGGCTAGTTATATCTTTATGTTTGTGTGTATATAGTCTGTCTGCAGTGAATCAACTAGTCTTTTACTCAGTGTAAAAACTCAACTAATACCTCACATTTATCTGAAGAAGGGACTACAATGAAATATAATTATTACATAATCATAGTGATTTTTGGAATATTCTCTTGAAGTCTGGGTGTTTTTCATAGAGGTAATCAATATACAGTGGCTTATGGAAAGATTCTTAGGTTTCAGAAATAGTATGTTTAAATTATACTACATTTTAATAATTTTTATGTGTTTACATAGCAAAAAATAATGTTCACTTTTTATTTCAGAGCCTGTAAGACAGGGAAGATATTAAAACTTTGTAGATTAAGGAAATTTAGAGATTAGATGACCAGCTCCATATAACACAGGTGAATTAGTAGCCAATTTTCTTGGCTTTGAATTTGAGTATGTGTTTTTTTTTAATTTTTATTTATTTTTTATTGTGAAAATACTGTACAGAGGGGTTACAATTACATGGGCAAGATAATGAGTACATTTCTTACCAAGCATTGTAGCTTCCTCCTTTGTTTCCCCTTCCCATCCATTCCCATTCTCCCCCTGCCTCCCCATCCAATCCTCCCCGTATGTGTCTTTTTTGGGGGGACAACAAAGGAGACACCAGAAGAGCCACTGATGTTTGGTGCTGTTTTTTACCTTTAAAGAACCACGTTGGGCTGTGAATGTGGCTTAGTGGCAGAGTACTTGCCTAGTATGCATGAAGCCCTCGATTCAATTCCTCAGTACCACATAAACAGAAAAGGCCAGCAGTGGCACTGTAGCTCAAGTGGTAGAGTGCTAGACTTGAGCAAAAGAAGCTCAGGGATATCACTCAGGCCCTGAGTTCAAGCCCCAGTACTTGCAAACCCCCCCCCCCCCCCGCCAAAAACATGTAGTTTTATTACACAGAAACCAGTTGTCGCAGAATATTGCTATATTACTTTAAAAAAACAATTGATGATGCTCATGCCTATGGAATTTGCATTCACCTTTTGGTCTTCCTTTGGTGATTATCTTTTCTCCTTCTGAACACATTGAGGAATCTATAAGGCAGACCATTAGTGTTTAAGAAACAAATGACAAACACTAAATCAAAAATACTAGTATTCTATTTTTAACTCAGTTTAAAATGACTTTGGAAATAGTATACATATACTTGTATATTGAAAGTGAATTAATTTGACAGTATCAAGTGAATTCACTTATATTTTGTGTTTTCATTAAAAATAGGGCAGTTGAAAATATTAGTTTCTGTCTCCTCTGAAATAAGACTCAATATTCTGCTCTAGTAATATATAGTTATGAATCATCTACATATGCATATAAGAAAGAAGCCATAGGCATTTATCTAAATGACCAAAAACCAGGGCATACGAAAGCCACCAGCACAACCTTGTTCATTGCAGCATTGTTTACCATAGCTAAGGTATAGAATCAACCCAGATGCCTCTCAGTGGACAAATGGATCGAGAAAATGTGGTATATATTCATAATGAAATTCTGTGCTTCCATCAGAAAGATGATATTTCTTCATTTATAAGGAAATGGACAGAAATTATACTAAGTGAAGTAAACCGGACCCAAAGAAACATAGGATGCCTGGTTTCCCTCATTTGTAATAATTAGAATGTGCCTGTAAATCTACAAGTAAATCCAATGGATAGTAAAAGACAAATAATTACACTTGGACATGGTTAATTAAACAACACTTTAAACATTTACACAGTGAGAACAAAAGAGAATATTCTTAGGAGTGGATCACAAGTGCTCAATAGCTATGTGCATATGATCATATAAGCTAGTGCTCTACCACTTTGAGCCACAGCACAACTTCTGGTTATCTAGTGGTTAATGGGAGATAAGAGTCTCTTGGGGGGGTGGGGGGGAGGCTGGGAAGGGATGTGAAGGGTAAACAAAGGAGGAGGCTGCAATGCTTGATAAGAAATGTACGCATTATCCTGCCCATGTAATTGTAACCCCTCTGTACAGTATGTTCACACACACAAAAAAAGAGTCTCATGGACTTTCTTGCCCAGGCTGGCTTTGAACTTCAATCCTCAGATCTCAGCCTCCTGAGTATCTAGGATTACAGGCATGAGCCACAGGTACCCACCACAGGATTTTTTTAAATTGTACTATTTGCAGTTCTTCTTTTGTTTCTTTTTTTTTTCCTTTGGGTTATTCTCTTTTGTCACTTAAAAAAAATTTCTTTGTTTTGTATCTGATTTGGGGAGGGGAAGAGGAAGCACCAAAAAATGGTGGGACAAAGAGTGATCCAATTCAGCAGTGATACTCACTAGACACTATGTTGGAAATGAACTATACAACTTGGGGGGGAGGGGAAATGGGAGGGGAAAAACTGGGAGAGAATGAGGGAGGAAGTTACCCATCCTTATTACCTGACCTATGTAACTGTAAGCCTTCTGTACATCACCTTTACAATAAAATTTAAAAAAAGAAGCCACAGAATATCTGGATAGAATAAAAAAGTTTCTATAAGATTTGGTATAAAAATGCAGTTCATTTAAGTGACAGAGATTTTCTTTTTTTTTTTTTTAATGAATAAGGGTTTATTCAAGAAAACTATAAAAAATGTCTAATTAGTTGCTGTATACATAAGTTCATATGTAGTTTTAGAGATTTTCTTTTAATATTTCAATACTTTCATTTGCTTTCCTTTACATTATAGGGTAGATGATATGCCTCCGGGAATATCTCTGCTTCCTGATAATATTCTTCAGGTTCTGAGGATCCAGCTACTACAGTGTGTAGAGAAAACAGCCGATGGTTTAGAGGAACAACAACAAGCCTTGTCAATTTTGCTTGTCAAGTTCTTCATTATTCTTTGCAGGTATCTGGCATAAAAGTAATTATTAGTTCAAAATGATTATTACTGGGGCTGGGAAGCCACCTCAGTGGTAGAGTACTTGTCTTGCATGCATGAGGCCCTGGGTTCGATTCCTCAGCACCACATAAGCAGAAAAAGCCAGAAGTGGCGCTGTGGCTCAAGTGGTAGAGCGCTAGCCTTGAGCTGAAGAGCTGAGGGACAGTGCCCAGGCCCAGAGTTCAAGCCCCAACACCGACCCCCCCCCCCAAAAGATTATTACCATAACAATACATATTATTTACATACATAATAATACATATTATTTAAATACATAATAATGTTTGTTGTTTATATGGATCTTTAAAGAGTGTGTTCATCATTTGTGTTTGTCTTGTTGTTTGTTGATGCATTGGAAAACCTTTTAATTAGTATACCAAATTATAGAGAGACTCAGCCAAAACTTTTTAATGTGATTTTAGAGTAAAGACAGTAACAGAAGTTTTTACTTCTGTAAGAAATAATTACACTAGTATTTTAAGTATTGTTCAAACTTGTAAATATATGTACTTTTAGCTGGGCACTGGTAGCTCATGCCTGGAATCCTAGCTACTGAGAAGGCTGAGATCTGAGGATCATGGCTCAAAGTCAGCTGGGCAGGAAAGTCTGTGAATCTCTTATCTATAATTGACTAGCAAAAAGCCAGATGTAGCAATATGGTCCTAGCACTCTATAGAGTGCTAGCCTTGAGCAAGAAAGCTAGGAGACAGCTCCCAGGCACTGAGTTTGAGCTCTATGACCAGTACATACATACACAAAAGTGTACATACATACACAAAAGTGTACATACACACACACATATACACACACACATATATGCACACACACAAACATTTTTTTTTGGTGCGGCTGGGAATTGAACCTAGGGCTTCATGTATGCTATGTCACTGCTGTGCCACTACCTCCCTGCCTCTGAAAAGTACATTTTTATCACCATATTTTATATTTGTAAAACCATATCCATCAACTCTTTGATTTTGTCAACAAAGTACAATTGTACTAAATCTTATCTTATTTTCCAGATTTGTAGATTAGGTCTTTGGTATTTAAATTTTGGTTTACTTAAGTATCAACTAGAAAGATTAATTAGAATTACAGATCATTACTTACGGAAAAGACTTAGACACTTGGTACTGGTGGCTTATACTTATAGTTCTAGTTATTTAGGATACTGAGATCTGAGAATCATGGTCCAAAGCCAGCCTGGGAAACAATATATATGACTCTTATCTTTAGTTAATCAGCCTTAGGTGTGGCTCAAACAGTAGAATGCCCAATGTGAAAGAAAAATGCTGAGTGAGAGCTCAAGGTGCACTACACACACAGTATTTAAACATCTGAATGTATAAAAATATTCTACACTAAGCCACACATAAGGATTTGAAAACTTGGGGTTCACCTCTGTAATCCTAGCTATTCAGGAGGCTGAGATCTGAAGATCGTGGTTTGAAGCCAGCCAGAGCAGAAAAGCCCATCAAGTCTTTTATCTTCAATAAAACAATAAAAAAACCGGAAGTGGCAATGTGGCTTAAGTGGTAGAATGCCAGTAGAATGACAGTGCCTAGGCTCTGAATTCAAGCCCTAGGACTGGTGAAAAGAAAAGAAATTGTGTTAGGGGTATAATATGCCTCTTGAAATCTGTAATCTGTAGGAAATGACTTCTGTAATATATGCTGCTTTAGAAATACAATTAGTAGCTGAATGGCATCCTAATTTACCTTGTAGTCATGTTTTCCTTAGTTGTTTATTGCCTTTAATTACAAAAATTATGGAATGAGTAAGTAGTTGCTCAAACATTTTATCTCCAGGAACCTTAAATATATGTCTGTTTTCATGTTCATCCTTATCCTTAAATTATAGGTGGAAAAACATAAAAATTACAAAGGCAGAGTGGAACTGCTTTACTTGAGATTTCCTCTGAATTGTAAATTTGCTACATTTTCTTCTGTTGTTAATGGTCTACTGTCTTACCAAACTAAAACATTCTTTAGTTTTTAATTTTAATTTTTTATTAACCTTAAGTAGTTGGGCAAAGTGGTTTTGACTCAACATGTCAATTTGTGAGTACAGTGCATTTTGATCAATGTTATCTCTAATAACTTTTACATAATTGTTTTAAATTCAGTATGTTTTGAGGTTGATAATAGAATGAAGCATAGGAATGCTCACCACATTTTTTTGGTTGAAATTTTCTTTAGTAGTAGTCTTTGGTGATAAATTTAGTGTTGAGTAGCCACCAGTTACAGATCATATTTCTAGAGACTTCAGTTTAGTTTTCAAGCTACTTTTAAAAGTTTCACTTTTTTTCCCTTCAGCACTGTGGTTTGAGCGCAGGTCCTTGCAGTCTACCTGGAGCCACATCCCACATGTTCAGAGACATTTAGATTAACATAAAACCTACAAAGCACAAAGATTTCTAGGTATCTTCTCTCCCTTTCCCTTGTTATTACCATCTTGCATTAGTGCAGTACTTCTGTTAGGATGGATCAATATCCTTAAAGGATATTAAAGCATGAAACAATATTAACTAAAGTCTGTACTGTATGTTAGGGTTACTGTTTGTGCTTTATATTTCTATAGGTTTTGACAAATGCTTTAGTTAAAGTTTACAATGTTCATTAGGGTTCACCATTTGTGTTATACAGTTATATGATTAAGACAAATGAATATTGTCATGTAGGCACCATTATGGTATTATTCAGAATCGTTCACCTTCTTAAACCTGGCTTGTGTTCCATCTATTCAAATCTGTTGCCATCCTATCCCCTGTACCAATCTCTAGCAACTAGTAATCTTTGTATTGTATGTATAGTTTTTCCATTTCTAGAATGTCATGTATTTAGAATCATGCAGTATACAACCTTTTATAGACTAGATTCTTTCACATATGCAGTCTTCTATGTCTTTTTTTATGACCTTAGAGCACATTTCTTTTTAATCACTGAAGATGATGATACTTACAGATGTACAAGTTTATTCATTCACATATTGGAGGATGTCTTTATTAATTTTAGCATGTTATGAATTGCTATTCATGTATGGGTTTTGCATGGGTATGAGTTTTCACCTGATTTAGGTAAATTCCTAGGAGCATAATTGCTGTTTCATATGGTAAGCTTGTGTCAGAAACTGCCTCATATGGCTGTAGACATATTTACATTCTCATTGGCAGTTCATGAGAGTTCCTCTTGTTCCCCATCCTTTCCAGATGATGTTATCTGTGTCAGTTACTTTTTCTGTTACTAGGGTTTGAACTCAGTACTGTGAACTTGCTAGACAAGCACCTACCTCTTAAGCAACACTTCATCCCCTTTTGCTCTAGTTTATTTTTCAGATAGTATTTCCATCCTTTACTGTCTTGGGCCACAGTCCTACTACCTCCACTTCTGGTTTATCTGAGATTACAGCTCTGTGCTACCACAGCCAGCCTTGTAACAGTTACTTTTTATAATTTCTGTGATTACATACCTGATGGAAACAAAACAAATTAAGGGAGAAACTAATTTTTTTTTTTTTTTGTCAGTTGTGGGAACTGAACTCTGGGCCTGGGTGCTGTCCCTCAGCTCTTCAGCTCAAGGCTAGCGCCCTACCACTTGAGCTACAGCGCCACTTCTGGCTTTTTTTCTTTTTGCTTATGTGGTGCTGAGGAATCGAACCCAGGGCCTCATGCATGCAAGGCAAGCTCTCTACCACTGAGCCAACTTCCCAGCCCAGAGAAACTAATTATTTTAACTCATTGTTTCAGAGGGTTCCATCCATGATTTTTGGGTCTATGCACTCAGGCAGAAAGTCATGGTGCAGGAATGTGTGGCAAAGGAGGTTCTTAAATCATGGCAGACAAAGCAGAGAATATGATGTTATAGGAAGGCCAGGACAATATATAGCCCCAAGAACAACCCTTTCCTCCCCACCCAGACCAGGCACTAGTGGCTCAGGCCTGTAATTCTAGTGGCTCCACATGTGAGATTTGAGGATGGAGTTTCATGCCAGCCCTGACAAATTTCTGAGACTCTTCTATCCAATTAACCAGCAAAATGCTGCAAGTAGACGGGTGGCCTAAGTGTTAGAGTTACAGCCTTGAGTGAAAATGCCAAGTGAAAAGTCCCTGAGTTTAAGCCCTACTACCAGCACAGAACACACCAACAAAACAAACATTCCAGTTAAGCCTCATTTCTTATTCCCAATATGATGCCATCATATTGTGAATCTATCAAGGGATTAATGTAATGATTAGTTCTGAGCCTTCAGGATCCAGTTACTTAGCAAAAGTCCATCAGTTATCAATCAGGATCTCAATACATTAGGTCATATTTTATATTGTTTTATATTTAAACTATAGCACCATTTTTTAAATTTTAGCCATTCTAGTAAGTATATGTAGTACTCCACATTTAAGTTGTAATTCTCTAATTTTTTAAAGATGTACAGCATCTTTCCTATGTCTTCTGTGTTGATGTATCTGTCTAGCTCTTTTTCTTAGTTTTAAAACTGGGCTGCTGTTTTATTTAAATTTAAAAGGTTTAGCTGGGCACTGGTGACTCATGCCTGTGATCCTAACTACTCAGGAAGCTGAGATCTGAGGATAGTGGTTCAAAGCCAGCTTGAGAAGGAAAGTCTGTGAAACTCTTATCTCCAGTTAACCACCAAAAAAACCTGTAAGTGGAACAGTGTTTCAATGGTTGAGCACCAGCCTTGACCCAGAAAGCTCAAGGACAGTTCCCAGGTCCTGAGAACCCTAGAACTAGCACACAGACACAAAAAGGTCTTTGAATATTGTGAGATAGAGGTTTTTTTTTGTTTTTTGTTTTTTTGGGTTCGGTTGTGGGGCCTGAACTCTGGGCCTGGGTGCTGTCCCTCAGCTCTTCAGCTCAAGGCTAGCGTTCTACCACTTGAGCCACAGCGCCACTTCTGGCTTTTTTCTTTTTGCTTATGTGGTGCTGAGGAATCGAACCCAGGACCTCATGCACTCAAGGCAAGTGCTCTACCACTGAGCCACCTTCCTATCCCCCAGAGTTTTTTTTTTTTTTTTTTTTTAATCAGCTCACTTACCTGAACATTTTCTTAGTCTGTGACTTGTCTTCATTCTTGTATTTTAGTCTTTTGTAGAATAGGAGATTTTTATTTTAATCAAATTTAAGTAATCAGTTTTCCTACATGGATTGTGTTCCTTTGTTTTGTATCTACAAAAATCATTAGAAAATCCAAATCTACTTAGATTTCTCCTGTATCTATTTTTTGTTCCATATTGGGGCTTGATCTCAAGGCCTGGGCACTATCCCTAAGCTTAGCTTTTTCACTCAAGGTTTGCACTTTATCACTTGAGCCACAGTTTCCCTTCTAGCTTTTTGGGTGGTTAATTGAAGATCAGAGTCTAAGGGATTTTCTATCTGAATTAGCTTTGAACCTCAGTCCTTAGATCTCAGCCTCCTGAGTAGTAAGGTTACAGGTATGAGTTACTGGCACCTGGCTTCTATATTCTCTTATAATATTATTAGCATTCATTTCACTTGTTTTTAGTTATAATCATCAATATATGTCTATGTTATTTAGTATAAAGTATAATGTTAAATCTATTAAGAATTAAATAAAGATTGTGTTTTGTCCTTTTCCTTCTTAAATTCTCTTCCTTTTCTTTATGTAGTCTCTAATGGATCTAAGAAATGTTGGTTTTCAGTTTATTCAGCTTTTTTTCTCATTGTGATCATGAGAATAATGACTTCTCTTTTCACATTAGGTAAGAAAAGAAAAGTGTAATTTTTTTGGTGTGGGGGGTCTGGTCATGGGGCTTGAACTCTGGGCCTGGGCCACAGCGCCACTTCCGGCTTTTTTCTTTTTGCTTATGTGGTGCTGAGGAATTGAACCCAGGGCCTCAGGCATGCAAGGCAAGCGTTCTACCACTGAGCCACCTTCCCAGCCCCGAAAAGTGCAATTATTTTATGATAACTCAAATTTAAGAGGCAGGGGAACAAAGAAATATAGGCAGGGCTGGAACTATATACATAGTCTAAACTGACAGTTTCATACTTTGAAGTTTTGGTACTTCATCTATAAAGATACTTTGAAAATTTTAATATATGTGTACTGTACTACTACCTTGGGTACTTTTCAGTCATAGCTATAAGGGCTAGAGATTTTATACGCCATATGACCCACTCATTTAAAATGTATCATTTAATGTTTTTTATGTAGTACAGAATTGTGCTATCACCACAGTCAATTTTAGAACATATGCACCCTCCCATTAACAATCACTCTCTGTTCATCCTTTCTCCATCCCCTGGAAACCAGAGGTCTACTTTGTGTTCTGAATATAGTAGAGAAATAAAACCATGCACTATGTGGTTTTTTGTAACTGATAGCTTGTATTTAGCATGTTTCAAGGTTCATAAATGTTGTAGAATATATTTATATTTCATTTGTTTGCATGGCTGAATTATATTACATTTGCAGCTACGTCACACTTTATTCATTCATCAGTTGATGGACATTTAGTTTATTTAGTTTTACTTTTTGGCTGTCATCAATACTGTTGCTGTGAACAGTCTTAGAAGTTTTTGTATAGATACTATTTTCTTTTGCCCAGGTGTAAAATTGTTGGTTACTATTTGAGAAAATGCCAGACTTTCATTTGACATTCTCATCAGCAGTATATGAAGATTTTTTTTTTGGTCAGGTTGTGGGGCCTGAACTCTGAGCCTGGGCGCTGTCCCTGAGCTCTTCACCTCGAGGCTAACGCTCTACCACTTGAGCCACAGCGCCACTGCTGGCTTTTTTCTTTTCTCTGCTTATGTGGTGCTGAGGAATCGAACCCAGGGCCTCATGCATGCAAGGCAAGCATTCTACCACTGAGCCACCTTTCCAGCCCCTCTACATTCTTTTTTTTGTTATTGTTGGTAATGGGGCTTGAACTCAGGACCTGGGCACTGTCCCTCAGCTCTTTAGCTCGAGGCTAGCACTCTACCACTTGAGCCTCAGCGCCATTTCTGGCTTTTTCTGTTTATGTGGTGCTGAGGAATCGAACCCAGGGCCTCATGCATGTGAGCCAAGCACTCTACCACTGAGCCACCTTCCCAGCCCTTTTTCTACGTTCTTATCTTACATCACTTGTCTATGTCTTCCTTAGTCTTACTAGTGGCTATAAAGTGTAATCTCATTGTGGTTTTGCTCCAGCTAGCATTCTAGCACTTGAGCCACAGTGTTACTTCCTGCTTTTTCTGTGATTTAATTGTAGATAAAAAAAAAATCTCACAGACTTCCCTGCCCAGGCTGGCTTTGAACCATGATCTTCAGGTCTCAACCTCCTGCCTAGCTAGGATTACAGGCGTGAGCCACGGGTGCTTGGCTTAAAAGAAACTCTTTGTGGAACTGGTTCTTGAATGCAGGGCCTCATGCTTGCTAAGGAGGCATTCTACCACTGAGCCATTCCTCTAGACCTTTTTTTAAATGACATAGGGGTCTTGGTTTTTTCAGTTGTTTTTCTGCCCAGGCCTGTCTGAGCTTCAGTTTTTCTGTTTTGCCTTTAGTTTTGTAGTTAGCATAACAGGTATATGCCACTTAGTCCACCTATGAGTGGAATAAACTTTTTGCCTGGGTTGGTTTTGGACTACTATTCTCCTGATGTCCCCTTCAGAGTTGCTAAAATTATAGATATGTTACCATTTGACTTTAATTTTTTTTCTTAGTTTCTACTTCATTTTAAGATATATTTTGTCAGAACAGAAAGTTAATAAGCCTTTTAAATATGTATATATATGCTACATTATAAATAATAGCATATTATATGCTATTCCTTAATCTTAGAAAATGGAATAAAATTAGGATTTTGGGGGGTAGGGGAGCTTGAACTCAGAGCATTGTCCTTGAGCTTTTTCACTCAAGGCTAATGTTCTATCATTTAAACAATAGCTTCACTTCTGGCCTTTTTGGTGGTTAATTGGAAATAAGAATCTCATGGACTTTTCTGCTGGGGCTGACTTTCAACTACAGTCTTTAGGTATCAGACTTCTGAGTAGCTAGGATTACATATATGAGCCACAACCACCTAGTAGGGATTTTTTTTTGGGGGGGGGGGTCCGGTGGTGGGGCCTGAATTCTGGGCTTGGCCCCGTCCCTCAGCTCTTCAGCTCAAGGCTAGCGCTCTACCAATTGAGCCACAGCTCCACTTCCGGCTTTTTTCTTTTTGCTTATGTGGTGCTGAGGAATCGAACCCAGGGCCTCAGGCATGCAAGGCAAGCGCTCTATCACTGAGCCACCTTCCCAGCCCCTAGTAGGGATTTTTAAAAAAATTAAACACCAAGAACTTATTGGCCTTCTACTTTCAACAGGATGTGATACTATGTGCTCTTACAGTATATAGAGATGGTGCATCTATTACAGATTTAAAACATTTGAGAAAATGCAACATAAATCTAAAAAGAAAACTAAAATTCATAAATCAAAGTGAACCTGTAAAAGTGTGTGGTATTATGAGAATACTGCTTATAAAAACTAAACCATGTGAATCCGTATGGGGGAAACCTCTAAGGAAATAATTTAGATCTAACTGATTGCTTATATTTGGATTGTACATACTATTGGTGATTTTTTTCTACTTGTGCTGTAGAAAAATTAGAACATGTCATTTTCTGTAAGAAAAACATATCAAAATTTAATATGTGATATATAAGTTAGAAGTTGTGGCGGGCCGGCAAGATGGCGGCGGCGGGAGCGGGCCGGCTGCGGCGGGCGGCGTCCGCGCTGCTGCTCCGCAGTCCGCGCCTGCCGACCCGAGAGCTCTCCGCTCCGGCCCGGCTGTATCACAAGAAGGTTGTGGATCATTATGAAAACCCTAGAAATGTGGGCTCCCTGGACAAGACATCTAAAAATGTCGGCACAGGCTTGGTGGGTGCTCCGGCATGTGGAGACGTCATGAAATTACAGATTCAAGTGGATGAAGACGGCAAGATTGTGGATGCCAGGTTTAAAACATTTGGCTGCGGTTCTGCAATTGCCTCCAGCTCCTTAGCCACAGAATGGGTGAAAGGGAAGACGGTGGAGGAAGCCTTGACCATCAAAAACACGGATATCGCCAAGGAGCTCTGCCTGCCCCCGGTGAAACTGCACTGCTCCATGCTGGCAGAAGATGCAATCAAAGCTGCCTTGGCTGATTACAAACTGAAACAGGAAGGCAAAGGAGAGACAGAGAAGTGAGCGAGTGGGGCTCCAGCCAGTCAGGCAGCCACACCCCACCCTGCACACCCACCTAGACGGGCATTCACCCAGATGCCCTCGGAAGCAGAGACGCACACAGTATCTGCCATTCACATTGTCACTGATGCTAGCAAAATACACTCTCAATTATTCTGAATCCCATGGTTTCTTTCAGCATACTCTGATGGCCTTAATGTACTTAGTGTATATTTTGAATTCTGTATATGGGTTCAGAACTAGAATCAGTACTGGAGTCATAAATTTTGATAACCTGAAAAGTGCATAAATATTTAATCTAACCTCAGTCTATTTGAGGGAAGATTACCAGCAGAATGCCTTGGTTTGATTGTTTGATAGGACTAGTTGTTGTACATAGAACAGATCTGCATATATATATACACACACACATATATATATAATAATAATAATAATAAAAGAATGTAATGTAAAAAAAAAAAAAAAGTTGTTTCCGGGGTTGGAATTTAGTTAGTGATAGAGTGCTTGCCCACATTCATGAAAACCTGGGTTCAATTCCCAAGTACTACATAAAAAAGTACTACAGAAAAAGCCAGAAATGGTGCTGTGGCTCAAGTGGTAGGCTGCTAGCCTTGAGCAAAAGAAGCCCAGGCCCTGAGTTCAAGTTCCAGGACTGGCAAAAAAAAAAGAAAAAAAAAGTTGTTTCCATTTTTCTATAAAAGAAATTTAATTATGTATTAGAAAAATTAGAAATATATAGGAAAAATTAGAATTTTATTTTATCATTTTGCCAGTCCTGGGGCTTGAACTCAGGGCCTAGGTGTGGTCTCTGAGACTCTTTGGGCCTAGGCGTGGTCTCTGAGACTCTTTGTGCTCAAGGCTAGTGCTCTTCCACTTGAGCCACAGTGCCACTTCAGGCTTTTTCTTAGTAGTTTATCGTAGGTAAGAGTCACAGACATTTTTGCCTGGGCTGGCTTTTAACTGCAATCCTCAAATCTTAGCTTCCTAACTAGCTAAGATTATAGGAGTGAGCCACTGACGCCTGGCTTAGAAATTTTTTCCTAGTTTTCTAAAATGATAGATCTGAGATTGTATGATCTTGTAAAATACTTTATATCATAATTTTTTTATTTATAGTGGTTAAGTGGTATTTAAGGTTTATTTGATATTTTTAGTAGAAAAGATTATATAGGCATATTGATTTTATGTTATAATAAATATATTTGTACTTTGTTTGCCAACATCTATTCTCAGAATTTAAGCAGAACACATGAGGATGCATTTTGTTCACCATTTGTATAAGATATAATATGTTTTTTTTACAGAAATCTTTCAAATGTAGAAGAAATTGGGACTTGCTCTTATATTAACCATATCATCACCATGACAACACTCTATATTCAGCAAGTAGGTGTGAACTTATATATTCTTTTTTGTTGCTTTGTTAAGGCCAAGTTTCCTATAGCTAATATAGGTAAATGTTTTCATAAAAGGTAATTGAAAAAAGAATTAAAATTATCATTGGGTAATCTGTGTTTCAGAAGAACTGTTACATGCTGTCTAAAGAAAGGAAGTTTTTATTAGTATTTTATTATTTAATTTTTTTTCTTACATTAGTTATACCAAAGGGGATTATATTACTATTTATTCACACCTGTTTATAATGTTTTGATCAATGTTGCTTTAATTTAAGTGTTAAAGTATTTTATAAATAAGTAATAGTTTGTGATTTTTATGTATGTATATACATATAAAACATATCACCAAATTTCTTGCTGAAACTAAATTTTTTCTAAAGACATTTGATTACCTGTTATAAATGATTCTAGAAAAAATTTAAAACTTGAGAACGTATATCCAATCTACTGGTTAAACACTTCTTTCAGATTCAAAGGGGAAGTTAAGCTTATTTGAATAAAAATAATTTATTGTTAGATGATGAGTAAGTCATGTCTTTGATTTTATGTTTAACTTCATTCTAGTTAAAAAGCAAACAAAAGGAGAAGGAAATGGCAGATCAGACATCTATTGAAGAATTTGTGATCCATGCATTGGCATTTTGTGAAAGTTTGTATGATCCATATAGGAATTGGAGACATAGAATTTCGGGGTATGTCCTATAAGTCATAATGATCATTTAAAATCTGAATGTGATTCTTTAAAGAATATCTTCTCTAAAAAAAAAAAGAATATCTTCTCTATAAAAGCAACTGGAAAGATATGTATAAAACTTAAGGGTTTAACTGTGAAGTAGAGAATTGTGTCGGTGGTAATAAGTGATAAATATCCTTTCAGATATTGTGAACATAAGTGAATACTGATAATTTGATAAGAAATGTTGAAAGCACAGATATTAATATCATATAAAGTCCAGATATATCAAGAGAACATTTCATATCTGTATTTTTTTTTAGCATATTTTAATATAGGTATAGCTTTGTGGTAACGTGCATACAAGGCCTTTGATTTGTTCTCCAGCACTCCTAGACACCCAACACAACCCACAAATTGTGTATTTGAAAGTATTTTTAAACAATGTATTGCCTATTTGAAAAATTTATTAGCGCTATTTATTTATTTAGGTTCTGGAGATTGAATTTCACTGAAAAAAAATTTTTTTTTTTTTTTTTGGGGTCCGGTCATGGGGCCTGAACTCTGGGCCTGGGCGCTGTCCCTCAGCTCTTCAGCTCAAGGCTAGCGCTCTACCACTTGAGCCACAGCGCCACTGCCGGCTTTTTTCTTTTCTCTGCTTATGTGGTGCTGAGGAATCGAACCCAGGGCCTCATGCATGCAAGGCAAGAGCTCTACCTCTGAGCCATCTTCCCAGCCCCTCACTGAAAAATTTTTAACCCTGTATTAGTCAAGGTGGTTAAGTTAGGAAAACAAATCACACTAGCTATTTTTTAAATTATAATTTCTTATATTTTTTTTAAAATTATATTGTATAGGATATATTGAACAGATACAAGAGGCCTGTGAAGGAAAATGGGGCTGGGTACCAGGGGCCCATACCTGTACTTCTAGCTACTAAAGAGACTGAGATATGAGGATGCTGGTTTGAAACAAGCTGGAGGCAGGTTAAATCCTCAAGATTCTTATTGCCAAATAACCAGCAGGATCTAGAAGTGTGGCTTAAGTGGACATCACTAGCTATGAGTGCAGAAAGTTAGTGAGAGCATGAGGCCCTAAATTTGAGCCATAGTACAAGCACAAAAAAGGAAAATGGGATAATAATACAGAGATAATGAGTTCAAGAAAGCTACTTTTCTTGAAGCTGTGGGAACAGAGTGAATAGACTGGAGAATCTAGATGTTTGGGGAAGAAGCCCTGTAACACTGGGCTTAACTGTGTGAGGAAGGAGCATTGCGTTGCTTGTGCTGGTATGACTGATTAGTTGGGAAGCAGATTATTCTGGACTCTTAAAGTTACACTGAAGTCAGGAGCTAACTGGTTTTGCTTCAGTTAAGAACTGTTGCAGGACCTCAGACACAGTGCCCAGGGATAGAGTTCAAGCCCCAGGATCAGCAAAAATAAATAATTAAAAATAAAAAAAATCAACATTTTATTACTAGGTGGTTTTTACAGGCTTTCTAGATTTTCTAGAGCAGTATATCTTCATTTTGAATAAGCTCCCATTAGATGATAGGGAAGAGTTGAGAATAAAGAAAAACCTATATGGACCATGTAGCAATATACTTTCTAGGTATGCCATAATGTATTTTATTGAAGTAATACATTTTGTTGAGGTAATTTGGAAAGATGTTGTCAGAAGATATAAAATTTCATTTAGGAGTAAATTTAAAAGATCTGGTTACACAACATGTGACTACAGTTAAGAACAATACATTTGAAAATTGCTAATATATAGTAGTTTTTATGTTGTTTTCACCACAAAAAAGTATGAGAGGTAATGCACTTGTTAGTTTCATTTAATCATTGCTATATATGTATTTCAAAAGATTATATTGTACACTACAAATATACATAGGATTTTTGACAAGTATGTATCCATTAGTTAAAGCAAGAAGTATGAAATAGAAGTAATGGAAACATGTACTCTAGTTACTAAATATACCAGTCTTCTCTGCATATTTTGACATTCACTTTACACCTTGAGAAATACCATTATCCCTGTATTAGATGGTTTTCTCCAGAGAAAAAGAATCAGTAGGAGAGGTAGAATTCCTGTATATAGAGGGATTGGGAGATACTTGAATGGGAATCGACTCACATAATTATGGAAGCAAGTCCAAATCTGAAGTGCGGATTAGCAGACTTGAGAACCAAGAGCTAGTAATATATTATCAGTCTAAAGTATCGCATGGGACATACATGAGAGACAGAGGTACAGATGAAGTACTGACTGAATCAGTCTTCTAGAGTGTTCTCTCTTGTTTAGGCCAGTCTTTTTCTTTCTCTTCATACTTTTAACCTGAGTGGATGGATCCCACTTATATTATGGAAGAAAATAAGTTTCATCTAAAGTACATGAATATGCCAGTTAATCTTTTTGAAAATTTTGATGTGTGTGTGTGTGCGTGCCTGTGTGTGTGTGTGCGTGCGCGCGCGCGTGTGTGTGTGTGTGTGTGTGTGTGTGTGTGTGTGTGTGTGCACGCCCACGCTGATCCTGAGGTTGAGCAGGGCCTGGGCTCTGTCTCTGAGCTTTTTGCTCAAGGCTAGGACCCTACACTTGAACCACAGCTCCACTTCCAGTGTTTTGGTAGTTAATTGGAGATAGGAATGTCACAAATTTTCCTATCCAGACTGGCTTTGAACTGCGATCCTTAGATCTCAGTCTCCTGAGTAACTGGAATTACAGGTATGAACCACTGTAGCCTGGCAGTTGACTTTTTTGTTGTTGTTGTTGGTCATGGAGCTGTCCTTGAGCTCTTCTGCTCAAGGCTAACGCTCTACCACTTTGAGCCACAACTCCACTTCTGGTTTGCTGGCAGTTAATTGGAAATAAGAGTCTCATGGACTTTTCTGCCCACGCTGGCTTTAAACCTCAGTCCCCAGATCTCAGCCTCCTGAATAGCTAGGATTACAGGTGTGAACTACCTATGAACTATCTGGGTTGAATTTTTAATATGTATGTCCCTTTTTCCAGGAAGGAAGTTTATACTTCTTCTGCAAATATTTTGTATCAAATTGGCTAAATTGTGCTGTCGTAACAAACAAGGAGCTTAGAATTAACAAAGTTTATTTCTTGTTTATACTGTTTATTTTAGTGGGTAGATAGGGAACCTTTCTACCTATCCTGGTCACTCAAATTCTAAACTAATAAAGCAACCAACATCGTACGCAAGAATGTGGAAGCAGTCTCACATTGGCAGTTGAATGCTCTAACAAGAGCAGTATAGCAGGAGGCAGGGAGAGATGGTGAAGGAAATTAGAAGTCTGGCTCGTGTATAACCTATTTGGCTTATTGTATGGTTCATTTACTTTTTCTTCCTAGCTTTGAGTTATAAGGAAGTAATTTTAAGAGTTCAATTATAGTTATTAAGAAGATAATATCTGGGCTCGGAAGGTGGCTCAGTGGTAGAGTGCTTGCCTTGCATGTATGAGGTCCTGGGTTCGATTCCTCAGCACCACATAAGCAGAAAAAGCTGGAAGTGGGGCTGTGGCTCAAGTGGTAGAGCGCTAGCCTTGAGCTGAAGAGCTGAGGATCAATGCCCAGGCCCAGAGTTCAGGCCCCACAACCAACAAAAAAAAAAAAAAAAAGAAAATAGCTGGCCCAGATACAGTGGTGCTTGCCTGTAATTCTAGTATTCTGAGACCAGTCTGAACTATATAATGAGACCCTGTCTCAAAGGTATATAAATAAATAGAAATCTAAAAACAATGTAGATTGCATTTATTAATAGCATTTTTAATTTTAATTTATTTTTGTGTGGGTACTAGGACTTGAACTCATGGCCTCCTGCTTTTGCTTGGCTGTTTTGCTCAAGGCTGGCATTCTAACACTTGAGCCAGGAAAGTCCTCTTCTCTATTTTTGTGATTAATTGGAAATGAGTCTTTCAGATTTGTCTGCCCTGGCTGGCCTTGAGCTGTAATCCTTAGCTCTCTTGAGTGAGTATACAGGCATGAGCCACATTCACCCACCATATAGATTGTATTTAGATGTAGGATATGTAGGTAGCTCCCCTCCAAATATTTCACACTTCAGTTGGCTTTAACTAATAGCATTTTAAATAATAGTATTTTAGGGCACAGAAGAAATTCTTGTGATTTTTTTAAAATTTAATTTTCACCATTTTAAGTTGAAAGACTCTGTTACAAATTGCTTTTATTCTCCAGCCTTTATACCATCATACTGTCTAAGATGTTCATTTTGCTTTGAACTGAATTGTTCTTACCAAAAGCATATGCAATTTGTTGGCCTTATGAAGGAGTAGAAAACATCCATCATAATTATTGGAATTTTCATTAGACGTAATCCCAGCCCATACAAGATCCCTGTCCTTAAGATGAAAGAAGCTAATGGTATGGACTGGTTGTGTACAGAAAAAAACCTCATGAAGTAGCAGAAGTATCAGATTTCTCAGACATGGTATTTGTATTATTACAATAAGCTACTAACCCTAACCCAAGCTGTCAATTTAGCAGTACTGCTGAACAAATTCTTCTATAGATTAGTTTTAGGTTTGGTATATTCCTGGTTATCATGATGTATAATTTAAAAGAAATTCTTTTTTTTTTTGGGGTCCGGTTGTGGGGCCTGAACTCTGGGCCTGGGCGTTATCCCTCAGCTCTTCAGCTCAAGGCCAGCGCTCTACCACTTGAGTCACAGCACCACTTCCGGCTTTTTTCTTTTTTTCTTATGTGGTGCTGAGGAATCGAACCCACGGCCTCAAGCATGCAAGGCAAGTGCTCTACCACTGAGCCACCTTCCCAGCCCTAAAAGAAATTCTTGAGGAGAGAATTTAAGTTCATTCTTTTTGTTTCCTTTTCAAGTTATGCCAATTCTGGAGATACTTTGTTTAATATGTGAATAAAATTAAAACATTAAATTTGTTTATGGTTCTTTTATAAAAGTGTCATCTCTACTTGTATATGTTATAATTTGTTATCAACTTCTTTTTAATGATAGACGAATCCTTAGTTCTGTGGAAAAGAGCAGACAGAAATATAAGCCAGCTTCTCTCACAGTGGAGTTTGTTCCTTTCTTTTATCGTAAGTAACATACTAATTCATTTTACTTTGATTTTCATTTTATTTTTATTATTCTTTTTTCCTTACTCTTGATTTTGACTTTAATTCAGCTTTGTGAATCGATAAGATAAAGGTCGTTGAAGAATATGTCACTGGAGTAGTTGATTCATGTTTGGCTCTCATTATGTCTGGTTATGATTGATTTACTTGTATTTTTCTGAGCAGAATTTTTTTGGGTGAATTGAATATTTTAATGATGGTTGTATATTTTAGAACTTCAGAATGTTTATAAAAATCTTGTCTAGGGGTATAGATCTGTGGTAGAGCACGCACAAATCTGTGGAAGTGATCTTTAGTCTCTTTACCTCCCACCCCATCCCCCCCAAATAAAACCTGAGAAACCAAATCAAACAGCAGTTATAAAAACCAGAGACATTGCCACTATGCATGTGATTATTCTGTATTTTCAAGAATACAAAAAACTTCTCAGAATAAAAAGAAACACTGTATATATGTTTCTTGTATCTATTGCCTATTCAAATATATCAGATCTTAACATTTTGCCATGTTTACTTTTATTTTCTCATGATATAAAAGAAGATTTAATCCCTTCCTTCCTTCCTTCCTTCCTTCCTTCCTTCCTTCCTTCCTTCCTTCCTTCCTTCCTTCCTTCCTTCCTTCCTTCCTTCCTTCCTTCCTTCCTTCCTTCCTTTGTTGGCCATGGGGCCTGAACTCTGGGCCTGTGCACTGTCCATCAGAAATTCAGCTCAAGGCTAGTGCTCTACCACTTGAGCAACAGCACCACTTAGGGATTTTTCTGCTTATGTGGTGCTGAGGAATTGAACCCAGGGCCTCATGCATGCAAGACAAGCACTCTACAACTGAGCCACCTTCCCAACCCTCATTTCTTTTCTTAATGAAGAGGATTACAGTGCCCACCATACATCACTACTAATCATACTCCCATGTCTATAATAAACTGTGCTTGGAACTAGTGTCACTTAGAAGGTATGGGACTAATGCCAGTAGAAAATATAAAGTGTTTCTGTATGATGAGTTTGTTTGTTTGTTTTTTGCTATCCACAGGAGCTGTTCTTTAGTTTGTTAAGTATAACACTAGACTTGTGAGCATAGGAGCTATCAAATTACATTGATAGGATAGGCATAGAATATACATTTTCATTTCAAAAGAAGTTAATAGGAAGAAAGGTGACAGGTTTCAGACAAGTCTAAAATCTGGCAAGACAACAAATTCCATTAGACTTTATAGCTTGATTATAATCTACTTTCTTTTAATATTCTGCCCTCTAGTCCCCTTTTTGTTAGTGATATCCCTTCCAGTTCAGAAGGGCATTCTGCACCATTCTTTCTCTGAAAACTCTATCCATGTGGCTGCCAGTACAGTTCCATCCCCAGACACTGTGGGTCATCATGACTCAAGGAAATCTGAGAATTGGCCTCAACCTTTGAGACCAGGGAGGAGAAAACTGCCTTTCAGCCTTGTGGGTATGTGATGGGCATGGCCTTCTTGATCTCTGAATAGTCTTTAGAATTATTCTGTTATTCTATCTTTATAAAAAATAATATTTAAAGCCAGGTCTTGGTGGCTCATGCCTGTAATCCTAGCTACTCAGGAGGCTGAGATCTGAGGATTGGGCTTCAAAGCCAGTCTAGACAAGGAAAGTCCCGGAGACTCTTATCTCCAGTAAACCACTTAGAAAACTGGAAGTGGCACTGTGGCTCAAGTGATAGAGTGCTAGCCTTGAGCTGAAGAGCTGAGTGACAGCACCCAGGTCCAGAGTTGAAGCACCATGACCGACAAAAGAATTAAAAAAAATATTTATTCACAATTGAGTTTGGTGTGATCCTATGGAATACAAGAAGTCTAGCAGTTTATGTGCTTCGTTCTTTTCCACTTTTTCTGTCCTCTTTTATATATTTTTTCTGGTTTTCTAAGCCAGTCTTTATTCCTGGCCCCTACTGAGATAGCTAAATAAGTTCAGTAATTATACTTGTAATGATTCATCAGATGGTTTTTCAGTCAGTCCTTAGTGTTTTCTTCAGAACAAGCTTTCTAAATTTTTGCAATTTGGGTAGGGTGAGAAATTTAAAATATCTTCAAATTCTGATTCTTTTGCACTTAATTTCTTCCTCAGTTTATTTTTCTCCTTACACATTTTTCTATAGTCAGAAGAGATTAGGTTGCTTAGAAATGGTCTTAACCAACTATCCATTTCATCACTTGTAAGTTTTACCTTTCATAAACTACTAGAAAAGGTTTAGCAGAGGTCCTTGCCAATTTTTAACAAGGATAGCATTTCCTCCAGTTTTTAGTAATTTCTACTTGTTACTAATTTCTACTTGAGATCTTACCAGAATTTCCCTGAGACCCTTGCATGTAGATATTGCTTAAAAATTCCTCGTCTCTACACATTACCCAATTCCAAAGCCATTTCTACAATTTTAGGTATTCATTACCTCTACTTCATACCAAAATCTGTTTCAATCTGCTCAGGCTGACATAACAAAATACCATATTTTGATGGCTTAATGTTAGTCTAATTAGGTAATGTTAGCACCATCTTCTTTCCCTCTCTTTTTTGTGAAAGTATATTTAAAATTACTATTATGATTTCCCTAATATTCTCCAGCAAAGCTGCCAGGTGCTAAAGTTTAATTTGTAGTTTTAATTTAATTGTGGGGCCAATTTCTGTGAGAGTAGAAGTCTATTCAGATATTTTTATTCTGTTTTTGTAATTTGTGTCTTTCAAAGAATTTATGGTTTTCACTTACGTTGTTAACTTTATGGACATAAAGTTTTTTTTTATATATATTTATTATCTTTTCAAAGTCTGTGAGCTTTGGATTGATGTCCTATCTTTCATTCCTGAAAAAAAATGCTCTCTCCTTTTTTTTCTTAATCACTATTATTTGAACCATGTCCCCAATCCTAAGGAATTGTAAGGAATAGGTATTTTTTGTTGTTTTGTTGTTTTTGTTTTTTATTTTTTAAGTAAAGCAATTGTTTTAGCTTTATTTCACAGACTTCGGTATGCTTTTTAAATTTTTCATTTGGTTTAGATTATTTTCCAATTTTTCATCTTTTTGTATCTTTTCTTTTGTTGTATGCCTGTCCTTGGGCTTGAACTCATTCCTGAGCACTGTCCCTGAGTTTTTTGCTCAAGGCTTGTGCATACCACTTGAGCCACACTTCTACTTCCAGCTTTTTTGGTGTTTGATTGGCGATAAGAATCTTAGGGATTTTACTGCTTGGGCTGGTTTTGAACACAGTTCCTCATAGTAGAATTATTATTAAAATAAAGAGGAGAAAGCATTATAATTGTTAAAGTGGTTAAAGCGATGTACATCATTATAGTGATACTTGCTTTCTGGCCATAAAAATGAATAAGGCAAATGTATCTGTTAAGATTAATAATATCCGGAATTAAATATAAAAAGGTATAATTCAGTACATTCAGCTCTTTATAGTATATTTGCCCTCCATATCTATAAATGCCCTATCTTCAGGTTCAAGTAACTGGTTTGAAAATATGCAGGAAAAAATTGTATCTTTACTGAATATGTACAAAGTTTTTCTCATCATCTTCTAAATAATATGCCAACTACTTAAATAGCATTTATATTGCATTGAGTAGTCATGAGATGGGGGGATGTACTTAGACTATGTATAAATTTTGTGCCATTTTATATAAGGAACTTGAGCATGTATGTGTTTTAATATACAAGGGTGAGGGTTCTGGAAGCAATCACCTGCATATACTGAGAAAAGATGGAAGATATAACCTTTTTTTTTTTTTTAAGGTAGATTAGTATTGTAAATTGTTGAAGAAGTTAGAAATGGACTTTCTATTAAGTTGGAGCAAGATATCTTTTTCTAGCTGGGCACAGGTGGCTCACGCCTGTAATCCTAACTACTCATGAGGCTGAGATCTGAGGATCACTGTTCCAAAGCCAGCCCAAAGCCAGCCCGGGCAGAAATGTCCTTGAGACTCTTATCTCCAATAAACCACTCAGAAAATCGGAAGTGGCACTGTGGCTCAAGTGGTAGAGCTCTAACCTTGAACTGAAGAGCTGAGGGACAGAGTTCAAGCCCTACAACTGACCCCCCCCCAAAAAAAATATATATCTTTTTCTATGCAGTACTTATTGTATGAGATCATAAATAAGATTCCTAAAATGGTTCTAATTTATGACTTCTCTTTTCCTTTTCAATGACAAAATGCTTATAAGTTTTGCCTTTTGATGCATCTTTTGCTTTATTACAAATGATTCTGCGTGTTTCAGTTTGACATATTCAATGGATGACTCATGTTGTAGAAAAGAAATCTTATTTATTTATTTGTATATTATATTCACAGAATGTTTTCAGGAAAGTGAACATCTCAAGGAAAGTCTTAAATGTTGCTTACTACATCTCTTTGGAGCCATTGTAGCCGGTGGGCAGGTGAGGACAGTGTTGGAAGTTAATATACAACTTATAGTTAACAGTACAAAAAGCTTTCTATGGATGATGTAGTGAATTCTTTTCTTTTTATAACATTATGAATCATATAAATATTTTTGAGTTTATATTTTATTTAAAGTGAAATTTCTTCCAGAAAAATCTTGTAGACAACTAAGTAATAATACTGACAATAAAATTACTGGATACATACCCTAGATTTATTGAATTTTGGTATTATAAATTCATATTTGTGTCATTCTTCAGCTACTAGATTTTACTGTAGAGTATAGAGGAACTCAGTTCTAAGAATTGACTTGATGAAATCAAATACTAGCAGTTTGATTTCCAAAGACATGTTAATTTAGCCCACTTTTCTGCTTACTTATAATTACTAAATACATTTATGCAACTTTTTTCATTGTTGTTGGTTGTAGGGCTTGACCTGGAGCCTGGGTGCTGTCCCTGAGCTCTTTTACTTAAGACTAGTGCTCTGCCACTTTGAGTCACAGTTCCAGTTCTGGTTTTCTGGTGGTTAATTAGAGATAAGAGTCTCATGGACTTCCCTTTTTGGGCTAGCTTTGAACTGAGATCCTCAGATCTAAGCCTCCTGAGTAGCTAGGATTATAGGCATGAGCCACCAGCACCTGGCAACAACTGTTAATGTATGTTTTTAACAAACATAACTAGTTTTTCTTTATTATTTATGAAAAAATTTGTAGTAATTTTTCTAACTTGTGTTTCTGGTAAACTTTGAGTATGACTATTAGTTGGCAACTGGATTATAATTTAGAAAGAGCATTCTACCTTTGGCAGTTTGATATAGTCCCTTTGATAGATTCATGGTCTGTGTTTAGCCCTATATATGTTATGTATATGGATATATATGTATATGCATGTCTATAAGTATTTATGTCTGAAGTTTAACTTCTACATATGAGTGAAAGCATATGATATTTTTTGTTTTTAATTTTAATTTAATAAATTTGATTTAACTAAATCTGTACAGTTTTACTATAAGACATTTATTAAGGAAATATATATGTCACTGGGCTGTTATAGACTTATTTCAAAGGGATATAAGTTGGATTAGCTCGATCATAAAATTTTGAAATAAGCATTTTGTTTGCCATCTTATTCATTTCTGATTCTAAAAATGGAGAAATGACTAGCTATGTGCTTGGGCAATATTTAGATTATGTTTGACTTAGACAGAAAAACTGGATTCGTTCATGTGAACTGATCTTGTCATCCTTAACACTAAAGCAGAGGAGCCAAAGAGTATTCATCATTTGAGAGATACTTTAAAAAATTATTTTTATTGTAAAGATACTGTGTAGAGTATTTTATTTTTTTGATGTTGGTTTGTCTTGTTCAATGTAATATTCTCCAGTTGTATCTATCTTCCTGAAAATGATATGATTTCACTTTTCTTTATGGGTATGTAGTATTCCATAGTGTTTGCCTACATATATATTTACTGCAACTTCTTTATTCATTTGTTACTGCATACCTAAGTTGACTCCACCATTTGGCTATTGAGAATAGAGCTACAATAAACATATATGCAGATACCTTTAGAATATATGCCCATTAGTAGTAAGATGGGTCATAAGGAAGATCTAGTTTTATTCTTTTGAGGATCCTCCATACTGATTTCCATAGTAGTTGCACTCCTTTACATTCCCACTGACAACATTTGTTGTTTTCTTAATGGCTACAACCCTGACTGGGATGAGTTAGATGCTTAGGTTTTATTTTGCATTTCCTTTATGACTGAGGGTGTTGAACATTTCTTCATGTATCTGTTAACCATTTATATTTCTTCTTGTGGGAACTGTCCAGTTCGCTTGCCTACTTATTAATTGGATAACTTGTTCTCTTGCTGTTTATTTTTTTAAGTCATCTTATATTCTGCATATTAGTCTTTTATCTGCTTAATAGCTGGCAAAGATTTTCTCCATTCTGTGTGTTGTCTCTTGATTCTCATGATTTCTTATTTCTGTATATGCAGAAACTCTTTAATGTAATATAATCCCATTTGTCAGTTCTTACTCGCATTGTTTGGGCAACTGGAATCCTAAGCTTATTATTTCCAGAGTTTTTCCTACATTGTCTAATAGATTTAAAGTTTCAGATCTTACTTTGTGCTCTTTGTAGTAATGGAATTGATTTTAATACAAGGTCAATATAGCAGTCCAATTTCAGTCTACCGGTGAATACCCGGTTTTCCCATGACCATTTGTTGAAGAAGTTGTTTTCTTTTTTTCTCCTCTATTATATGTTCTTGGATACTTGTCGAAAATTAGTTGGCTGTAGATATGTGGTTTTGTTCCTATATTTCCATTGGCTTTGGGGGTCTGTTTTTGTATCAGTACCAATGTTTTTGTTACTCTGTAGTATGATTTGAAGTGTCATACCTCCAGTGTTGCTTTTTTTTTTTTTAAACTCAGAATTGCCTTTGTCATTTAAGGATTTTGCATTCGCACGAATTTTTGGATTGATTTTTATAATTCTGTGAAGAATGATACTGAGATTTTGATGGTATTGAGTTGAATTTGCTTTTCTCTTATGACAGTGTGACCAGTGTGATATTATTTTTTGCCAATCTGTAGGCATGGGATGCCTTTCCATCTTTTAATGTCTTTACTTTCTTTCCTCAAGGTTTTGTGTTTTCCCTATTGCTATCATTTCTTTATTATCATCATGAATAAGAATTAATATATGTGAATGAAAATGGAGATAGTATTGCTATGAACTAATCATGATTCTCCATCTTGTCTATCTTGGATCCCAGTCTCCCTTCTTCCCTACCCCCCTCTGTTTTTTGGGGGGTTGTAGAGCTTAAACTCAGTGCCTGGGGGCTGTCCATGAGCCTCTTTCTGCTCAAGACTAGTGCTCTATCATTTGAGCCACAGCACTACTTCCCATTTTTGAGTAGCTAATTAGAGATAAGAATCTCATGGGGACTTTTCTGCCCGAGCTGGGTTTGAACTGCAGTCCTCAGATCTCAGCCTCCTGAGTAGCTAGTATTACAGGTGTGAGCCACTGGCACCTGGCCTTCTTCCTTTTGGAATATAGAGAAAGATTATTGTTAGTATCTAGTAACAAAACCCCAGAAGATTTGTGTACTGAAAAATTAGTTTGAAAGTCAAATAGATAATGAAACTCAATTTTTTTTTTTATATACTGAAGAGACTCAAAATTTTTGTAATCAGACTCTGACTATAGTTAGATTTGTCTCAAGTCACAAGTTTGCTTCTTGAGTATGGAATCGATATAAGGGAATTTAGATAATTGAATATATAAACATATACAAATGATTTTGTCACAAAGTCTAGAAAGATTGATGTTTAACAGTACTCTCTTTTACCAAGGATAGAATATTGTTTCTGGGTTTACCATTGGCTTATTTGTTCTAAAGCTCTAGGAATACATTCATGAAAACCTATCTTAAGAGTTAGGGTTTTAGGGCTGACTAGGTTTGAGTCCCATGGCTATCTCAAACTAGTAGTTTTGATATCAGATAAACTATTTACATGTATTTCAGTTTATTTATAATGTGTAAACAGCAATATTTATAGTAGTTATAAGGACTGAACTGTATATAGTAAAACATAATATGCTTGCTACACTTGTAAACACTAAATTAGTCATAATTGTGTGATAAGTTAGTCATAATCGTATCAATTAGATTTGCATAAGTAGTAGGAATGAATAAAGTTATCCCAGCTTAAGTTAGCTTTTCTCTCTCAATAAAAAACAAAGTTGTGGAGTTGAAGGTTTAATTCAGTACAATGTACCCTAAGCAAGTATCATGCCTGAGGTTCAATCTCTAGCACCAACAAAACAAAATAATCCCCACCTAGCCAAATCCATAGTTAATATGTTAGATCTAGAATCTACAGGGACTTAGATTTCTTCTACATGTCCTTCTGTTATCTTTACTTTTATCTCTTATGCTATGTAGCTTCTAGAATTCTAGTCTTTTATGTTGACGTCTGGCCTTTATGTTGGAGGGAGTCATGAAGGAGACAAATGGCATGCATCAACTCTCATAAAGGGTACTGAAAGCTGCCACTCACTGTCTTTTCGTGTAATTTGTCAAGCTCAGATACAGGACTGCAAAAAGACAAATTGGTTTAGATAAGAAATTTGAGCTGGGCATTGGTGGCTTATGCCTGTAATCCTAGCTCCTCAGGCGGCTGAGATCTGAGGATTGCGGTTCCAAGCCAGCCCCAGCAGGAATGTCCCTGAGACCCTTATCTCCGAAAATCCAGTAGGAAACCGGAAGTGGCCCTGTGGCTCATGCGGTAGAGTGCTCGCCTTGAGCTGAAGAGCACCCAAGCCCAGAGTTCAAGCCCCACGACTGACAAAAAAAAAAAAAAAAGATAAAACTTATTTCCTTGACTTTCTTAACAACTGAAGTAGGAAATGTGATCCTTAATCATTTGTAAGTAACCCCAGGAAGGGAATTCTATTAATAAGGAAAGCCAGACAGATTGTTGGGTGGGCCACCAGCAGTTATTTCCATGTTAGTACTTGTTGTTAATATTTATTTATTAATAGTAACAAATCGTAATGATCTAAGGGCTATTACAGTTAATTTTGTATAACTATATTTAGTTTCATTATGTTTCCATTTTATAATGTAAAACAGTTCATATTGCTTGTGTTAAAGTTTTATAGGGCACCTTGATATGATATATCTACTGATAATATATGAAATTTTAGAAACATGTTTGTGGAATATTAGCCAAACTAGTTATTTAGGGTTTGTTTTTTGTTTTTTGCCAGTCCTGGGGCTTGAACTCAGGGCCTGACCTCTATTCTGAGCTTCTTTTTGCTCAGTGCCACTTTTGGCTTTTTCTCTTTATGTGGTGCTGAGCAATCGAACCCAGGGCTTTGTGCGTGCTCAGCAAATACTCTACCGCTAAGCCACATTCCCAGCCTCCAAGCCAGTTATTTTACATACCTAAATTAGTTGGTATGGATTTCTTGTGACATACAGAAAACCTAAGAGATCCTTAAATAGACTGAAGTTGTTTTAAGTTTTTGGTTAAGAAATGCAAATGTAGGCAGTCCTGAGCTGGTACAGCAAGCAGATCAACATAGTGATTAAGGACTATAATCTTTGATATTTTCATTCTGTTCTCTGTAGACTCCTAATTTAATTCTTGGGCTTATACCAGTCATTGTATCTGCTTTCTAGGCTGGAACAAGGTAAAAGAGTCAAAGTGTCCTTCCTTTTTTATGTGTGAGATCATACGCTGTTTTATCATGTGTCCTCAAGCAAAATTATGTTACATGGTTATTCTTCTGCAAGGGAGGTGAACAGTGAGGTTTTAATTAGTAGTGAGAAAGGGGAAGATCAGAAGCAGTGACTGTCAAAGTATGTTAAATTCTTTTATATGTTAATTTATTACATGAGAAAGTGGGCCTGGGATGGTGGCTTATAAACTTGTAATCCTAGGCACTGAGGAGGTAGAGATGGAAAGATCATGGTTTACGGTCAACTGAGGAAACAAAAGTTTTTGAAATTGTATCTTAACCAATGAGTATGTGTAGTGGCACAAATTTGTCATTCTAATGACAAAAGGAAGCATAAATAGGAGGGTTGCAGTGCATAGTAGCCTGAGCATAAATGAAGCAGTATCTCAAAAGTAACCTATGCAACAAAGGACTGATGGAGGGAGCTGGTAGGGTACCTGATTATCTGAGGCTGTCAGTACTCCTTCCCTGAGCAAGAGAAAGTTGCCCGTGGACTTACTTACAAATTCTCTATTATTGCAAACATACAAAACTTCATTTTGATTTGGTTTTATTTTTATTATTCTTACTGTTTCAGAAAAATGCTTTGCAAGCAATTTCTCCAGCCACCATGGAAGTTCTTATGCGAATTTTGGCAGATTGTGATTCTTGGGAGGATAGAGATCCTGAAGAAGTGGGGAGGAAGGTAGAACTAACTCTGAAGTGCCTTACAGAAGTGGTACATATCCTTCTCACTAGCAGCTCTGACCAGCGTCAAGTGGAAACCAGTACTATTTTGGAGAACTATTTTAAGTTCCTCAATTCAGATCATTCTGCTTTACCTAATAAAAAGAGATCCAGACAGTGGGAAAGCCGGTTTATAGCTCTACAGATCAAAATGCTGAGTAAGTATCTGGTAAAAAGAATTTTCTCTGAGTCTATTTATTTATTTGGTCAGTTGTGGGGCCTGAACTCTAGGCCTGGATGCTGTCTCTGAGCCCTTTTTGCTCAAGGCTAGCACTCTGTCACTGTGAGCTACAGCTTTACTTTCAGTGTTTTGGAGGTTAATTAGAGATACAAATGTCACAGACTTTCTTGCCCAGGCTGGCAAGATTGAGATCCTTAGATCTCAATCTCCTGAATAACTAGAATTACAGGTATGAGCCACTGAGGCTGGTAGTTGACGTGTGTGTGTGTGTGTGTGTGTGTGTGTGTGTGTGTGTGTGTGTGTGTGTGTGTGTGTGTGTGTGTGTGTGTGTGTGTGTGTGTGTCTTAGAGCTTTAAGTCAGGGCGTAGGTGCTGTCCCTCTGTGTGTGTGTGTGTGTGTGTGTGTGTGTGTGTGTGTGTGTCTAGAATTACAGGTATGAGCCACTGAGGCTGGTAGTTGACGTGTGTGTGTGTGTGTGTGTGTGTGTGTGTGTGTGTGTGTGTGTGTGTGTGTTCTGAGTGCTGTCCTTGAGTTCTTATGCTCAAGGCTAGCATTCTAGCACTTTGAGCCACAGTGCCACTTCTGGTTTTCTGGTGGATAATTGGAAATAAGAGTCTCAAGGACTTTCCTGCCTAGGCTGGCTTTGAGCCACCATCCTCATATCTCAGCCTCCTGTAGTCATCCTCATATCTCAGCCTCCTGTAGCTAGGATTACAGGCATGAGCCACCAGCGCCTGGCCTGAGTCTATTTTTTAATTTTATATTTCTTTCTTTTGAATACCAAGCTCTTGTATTAACATTGTTAATTGTTTAATTGATGGCTACTCATAGATTTTAACTTCCAAATAATTAACATAGAATTGATTTGAAAGTGTAATTTGCCTGGCTCTGGTGGTACACTCATGTAATCTTAGCTACTCAGAAGGCTGACATCTGAATATTGGAGTTCAAAGCCAGTCTGGGTGGAAAGTTCATGAACTTTTTTCTTTTTTGTTTTTGTCATTTGTGGGGCTTGAACTCAGGGCCTGGGCACTGTCCCTGAGCCTCTTTATGCTCAAGGCTATACCACTTCTGGTTTTTGAGTGGTTAGTGAGGCATCATGGAGGACTTTTCTTCCCTGGCTGGCTTTAAATTACAATCCTCAGATCTCATCCAAAGTAGCAAGGATTACAGATATAAGCCACTACCCCTGGTTATCCATGAACTTTTTACCTCCAATTAACTAACAAAGGCTGGAAGCAGAGCTGTAGCTCAAGTGGTAAAGCACTAGCCTTAAGCAAAAAATCTCAAGGATGGTGCTCAGGCCCTGAATTCAAGCCCCAGAACATGCACAAAAAAAGGAGAAGAAAGAAAAGAGATAGGAAAGAAGGAAAGAAGGAAGGAAGGGTAATCCACTGAAAATATCAGTAACAAAATACAGCTATGACCTTGAAATTTTACGGTAACTAAATTATCAGGAAGTGCCCTTTCATGGTCTTTTACTTAAGCTAAAAAATTGGTATTTCTATGTATAACATTTCTATTCTGTAGAGGTTCCTTCAGTATTTCTCCTTCTAGAAGGCTTGTGTTTTGTTTTTCCTCAGCACTTTTCTTTTTGTGAGTTATTGTCTTTTTTTTGTTCCTTTTCTTTGTATTGGTATGCTCTTTCTCTCTCTCTCTCTCCCCTTCTGTCTATGTTTATCTCTGTCTCCCTTTCCCTTTCTCTCCCTCTTTCTCTCTTTCTTTGTACACACACACACACACACACACACACACACACACACACACACACAGTACCACATTAGATTACTAACAAGCTGTTTTTTTAAAATAATATTTGTATTTATTTATTACACAAGTAAAATATTGTCATTGCAGTGAAACTAGGAAATTCAGGTAAATAAAAAGAACATTTCAAAAAAGAAAAGTTCTTATAAGTTTGAATCTATATTTCATGGACTTGCTTTTTTGTTTAGAAACTAAAACATAGACATATTGCCTATGCCAGATGTCCTTTTATTTCTGAGTATGAACAATGTACTAGTAGTAAATGAGAGCAAAATGATATAATCATTTTCAAGGCCTGTATGTTAATTTTATAATGTATAAATGAAACAAACATCACTAGTTACTGTGGCCACAACAGTTGGTTATACCTGAGTATTATGATAGAAGAGTAACTTAATAAATCTCTGGGAACTACATGTTAGTCTATGAAATATTTAAACATTTAAAATATTAAACATACATAATTCTTTTGCCAGTCCTGGGGCTTGAACTCAGGGCCTGGGCACTATCCCTGAGCTTCTTTTGCTCAAGGCTAGTACTCTACCACTTGAGCCACAGTACCATTTCCAGCTTTTTTCTGCTTATGTGGTGCTGAGGAATCGAACCCAGGGCTTCATGAATGCTAGGCAAGCACTCTACCACGAAACCACCTTCTCAGCCTTAAACATACATAATTTGAGCATTTTATATTACAAAGTATGAAAATGTTCCCATTTGTATCACCTAATAATTACAATGTGGTTTTCTGTTCCTGATCTATATTACTTCCTAAATAATTTATATCTGTCCTATCAAATAAAAAACAAATTTAAATGGATTATTTTGTTTTTATTTTTCTAGATACCATCACAGCCATGTTAGATTGCACCGATAGACCTGTTCTTCAGGCCATTTTTCTTAACAGTAATTGCTTTGAACATCTCATACGACTGCTACAGAACTGCAAGGTATTGTCCTATTATTATTTGTATTGTCTTTGAATGAAATTTGAGCATATTTATTACTAAACTCTTGTTGTTTTTTACCTTGTTATATAATCAATTTTTATCTTAGTTGGAACTAGATTTGTCTCGTTTATAATTGCCTAAATAATTTACAGTAATAAAATTAAAATCTAATTTGTTTCTTTGATGAATATTTCAGTTTGTGGAATATTTTATTTTTCATTTCCTGCAGGAATATAATTGAGATACTTTAAAGTCTTAGTTGCTTCTAATTTCTTGCCCAGGTTTTGTGTAAAGGCTACAACTGAGGCAGTATATGGTTTTTTCCCTGTGTTTCTTTGAAGAGCTGTCCCTCAGCTCTTCAACTCAAGGCGAGTGCTCTACCACTTGAGCTACAGCGCCACTTCTGGTTTTCTGGTGGTTTATTGGAGATAGGAGTCTCATGGTCTTTCCTGCCAGGGCTGGCTTTGAACCTTGATTCTCAGATCTCAGCCTTCTGAGTAGCTAGGATTACAGGCGTGAGCCACCGGCGCCCAGGTTTCCCTGTGTTTCTTGAAGTATTCTCTTCTACCAACTTGGAAACATGACAACCTAGCCTATACATGTGCATGTCAGTGAATGTAGGGAATGTTATGTAAAGCATATTGTTTACTCTAGTGGATTACTCCAAATCTATTATTTATCTTGAATTGTACATCATTAGCTGAATGATTTTTTTTTTGTATAAAAATGGCTTTTTAGTCAAGTAAACAGATTTGTTTAACAAATATTTACTATATATCATCTACATGCCAGACACTGTTCTCAGGCTACTGACATTAAAACCAAAACAAAGCAAAAGAACAAAACAAACGAAACCAAAAATGTCTAGAACAGATGATGGTAAATGACAAAGAAATACTGAGTACAGGGCTCAATGTACACAGCAAGGAAGAAATTCTGTTTTATTACAGGTTGATTAAGAAAAACAATGTAATACCCTATCCAAAAAATTACTAAAGCAGAAAGGACTAGAGGTGTGTTCAAGGGGTAGAGTGCCTAGCTAGTGTGAGGCTCATAGCTCAAACTCTATTACCTTAAAAAAAAAAAAAAAGACTTGCGCTAATGTGGAAAAAGAGAAACTGTTTTTTAAAAATTACTGGAAAATTTAGAATGGCTTTAATTATGAATGACTTTTATGATCAAATTATAGATCATGTCTGCATTAAGTTACTAGAGGGTATTTGATTATTATAGGCTTGGCTTTATTTACTTACTTGTTTGTTGGTTTATTTAGTCAATAAATGTTGGGAATGCAATGTTGTATATGCTAGGCAAGCTCCAAACCAGAATATTTTAAAAAAAAATTATGTTATATTAAAAACATCTGCAGAAACTCTACATAAATCCAGGTGTTTTTATTTCGAAGCTAATTTCCAAATAGGTAGAAGTACAAGATAGAAAACCCCAAGGTATTTTCTGAAAATTTTAAATAAAAAGTACCCTATTTAAGTTTGAGAATGCATCTCAGTAGTAAAACACTTTCCTAGCACTTTTTCTCCCCAGCACTGTCCCACTCCAAAAAATCTGACTCTTTGGCTAGATTTTGTACATTTCCTATTAATATTCTTAGCTATTTTTTTATTCTCATACATGACCTTTATTTTGGTGGTTGTTGGTAGTAGGGCTTGAACTCTGGGCCTGGACGCTGTCCTTGAGCTCTTTAGCTCAAGGTAAGTGCTCTAGCACCTTAGCCACAGTATTACTTCCAGTTTTCTGGAATCTCACGGACTTTCCTGCCCGAGCTAACTTTGGTTATTTTTCAAGTAGTGTCTTGTTTTTCTGATGCCACCTAGCCTCCCATATATCTGGGACTACAGGTACAAATGCCATCCCCAGCTTATTGATTGAGATGTGGCATTGGGTCTCACTAACTTTTTGCCCAGACTGGCCTTGAGCCACAATCCTGTCTGTCTCCTCTTCCTAAGATTACAGGTAGGAGCTATTGTATCTAGCCTTTATCAAGTTCATTATTATTGAGTTAGAAAGTCTCTTGTTACGCATTATTAAAATGTTGTGTAAGTCTTTGATACATATAGTTATGTACTTTTTTCTTTTTTCTTGAATTGATTGCAAGCTGACTCATGTCCCAAAAACCTTGCAGCCTGTTATCTACTTTTATAACAAGTTAAGGTATTTTATTTTCATGTCCTGTGATTTTAGTGCATATACAAATCTGTGATAATGTATTAAGTTGTGTTAAAATTTACTTAACAATTCCCTATTGAGATATACTTAGTTTTTTGGTATCACGTTAACTCTTTCAAGTTCTATAAGTAGAATTCTATTCTTAGTAGAATTACCTGTCATAGAATATAAACTTGTTTTTAAAATTAGGGAGCACAGGATAAAATAAAGTAACAGCTAACTGCCAATGTGTATACGTAAAACATAGTTAAACTTCTTGATACATACTGCCATTGTGTTTTTTTCAAACTAATTTATTCTTTTAACAGCACTGTATTAAAATACATGATTTATATCTCTGTGAATTATGTCATCTATCCATGTATTCATGATATTATCAGAACTTAGAGAGCTTCCTGTCAGGCTTTGTAAATGAAATTCATGAAGCTTGCTTCTTTGTATTTGTATTGTTTCAGATATTTCTTTCATGAGACTTCCTAGTGTAAAAAAAAAAAAAATCACTGGAGGTTGATTCTGGAAGACTCTTCCAAATAAGAATTGTAGTATCAGCTCTTTGACTTTCTTTGCATTGTTAGGAGTATTTGTGTCACTGCATTGGTTATCTTGTAGTAATATAACAAAAAGTAACATACATAGTAAAGGAAATATTGATGATGTAAATATTAATGAGTTTTCTCAAAGATATCAGACCTTCTAAGTTCCACTGCATAGTCAACATGTGTTTACCCCCCTTTTAAATATGATTTATGATTAAAAATCCTACTATGATGAAAAAAGTGTAACAAATTTTTATAAAATATTTTGATTGTGGCCAGATGCTAGTAACTTACTCCTGTAATCCTAGCTACTTAGGAAGCTGAGATCTGTGGATCACAATTCAAAGCCAGCCTGAGCAGGAAAGTTTGTGAGACCCTTATCTCTAACCACCAGAAAACTGAATGTGCAGCTGTGGCTCAAAGTGGTAGAGTGCTAGCCTTGAACAAGAAGAGCTCAGGGATAGCACCTATGCCCTGTGTCCAAGCCCTACAACCCACAAAAAATAAAATAATTTTTTAATTGTTGTAGAACAGTGTGTCTTTATTAATTTTAAAGCTGCAGGCCATGACATCTAGCTTGTTGGTTAAGACAGAAGCAGAAAGAAGTCTTGTTAATTTTTTGCCTAGATTTTCCTTAAATCACAGGCCTTATGTTCTCTGTCTCCTAAGTAACTGGGATATATGTCTATGCTACCATACCCAGCACTAATAGTAGGTATGTGGACTGTCATGAACTAGAATGTCATTATGGGGCCAAAATATATTTTCTCTTTCTACTATATTATAGGTCAAAGGCTTTCTTCATTTTTAGCTAGAAATTTGTGGAAAATCATCAAAGCTTTCTAAAAATTATCTGATGTTACTATATTTTTTAAACAAGTGCTAGAAAAGAAACCCATTTTAGAGAAGGCCCTGCTCTGTTGGCAGGCAATTTTTCTGTTAAAACATTCAGACCCTTTAGAACTATTGACTTTAAAGCTGAAAGTGTTGTATGCAATTCATGAATCAGACAGAAAACCTTAACTGGTATGCAGGTATTTTCTACAGTGTATTTTTGCATAAGATAACTGGCCAATAAAGTATGCATTCATTTCCTAAGGATTTGTGTAAAATTTTCTGAGTAAAATGTGTTATATTGTAATATAAATTACTTAAAATATGATAGCATGAAATTATACATTTAACTTTTATGGTAGTTTTATGAATGTTAAACATAACAATATTATATTGCCAGGATATAATTTGAATCAACTCAGAATCATTTTAAAAAAACTGTCCAAGTATATGAGTTAAAAGAGAAAAAAGCCTTTCTTTAATAGTGTCATGAAAAGAGATTCAAAACCATCACATTGAATTTAGGATGCTATTAAAATAAGATGGCTAGGTGCTGGGAAGGTGGCTCAGGGGTAGAGCGCTTGCCTTGCCCTGGGTTCTATTCCTCAGCACCACATAAGCAAAAAGAAAAAAGCCGGAAGTGACGCTGTGGCTCAAGTGGTAGAGTGCTAGCCTTGAGCTGAAGAGCTGAGGGACAGCTCCCAGGCCCAGAGTTCAGGCCCCATGACCGGACCCCCCCCCCCCCCCAAAAAATACGATGGCTAGATTGCTGGATTGTTTATTAGAGAGACTGCTTTATTTTCTTTCAGTACTGAGAACAAACCCAGGGCCTTGCACATTCTAGACAAGTGCTTTACCACTGAGTTGTGTCCTCATCAAAAGGCTACTCATTTTTTTCTTCAGCAGCATCCAAGCATCTCTATTCTATTGCATCTCAATAATATGGAATTATTATTATTAATAATAATAATTTTTGAGACAGGATTTTCTTATTGTAGAGCAGGCTGGTCCCAAGCTCCTGATCCTCCTGCCTCAGACTCCCAAGTGCTGGGATTATAAGCCTGAGTCGTCATCCCTTACTGAAATTCTGTTTCTTTAAATCTTTGCTAATAATAGAAGCGTTCATTTATTAAATCTCTGGTATATGCCAGGTCCCATGTGCCTAGACTAGCACAGATTATGTCATATAATCTACATAGCTATTTAATGAGAATTATTCTTCTCCAGCTTGGAGGAATTAGTTTTCTTTTAAATCAGCCAGGTAAGGAGCAACAAAACCACATTCAAACTCAGGTCTCTGATTCTAATTGTTACATTAAGCTTTTCATGTGTTATAAATAAAAACTTATTTCTATCTCTTTTACTCCCATTTGAATTTCCTTTTTATTTCAGTAATGAGGATTGATTCAGGGTCTTGCACTTGCTAACAAAATGCTCTGCCATTTCAGCTACACACCCAATCCTTTTGCTTTAGTTGTTTCCCACCACCCCTACCACTTTTACCCTGGCTGACTTCCAAATGTGATCTTCCTATTTTTGCTTCCTTGATAGCTAAGATGAAGGTGTGACTGTCAAACCTGGCTTATGTTTAGGATAAAGTCTTACCAAGCTTTTGCCTAAACTGGCCTTGGATTTCAATCCTCTTACCTCTACTTCCTGAGTAGCTGGGATTACAGGCATATACCACTATGCCAGGCTCTGAATGATCTTTTTCTTTATCAAAACATGTTGCAAAGGCCAAATCATTGGAATGTTGAGTTTTGCATACTGAAACTAAAATTCTTGATTTTTGTTATTTTTACTTAAAAGAGGACAGAAATAAACCCTTAGCAGTTTTGGAGAATATTATTAGACAATATTTTCACAAGATGTGTAGTCAGATAAATCTGAGAAATGTTACATAGAGATACAGCATTTATCAAGCTACACTTTATTCCATTCGAGACTCTGAGAAGTATTTCTGGGGGGGAAAAAAAACCTTTTTAGTTAATTTAGTAGCATTTCACAAACTTAAGTGTATTGTTTAAAATAGTATCTTTATCTGAATAATATCTTTTCCTTTTCTGTGAGGCATTTTCAGCTGTTTCTATAAGAAGTTAGGATTATTAACCAAATCTTAATCAATGCTGTTTTACTAACTTTAGGTGAACTGTAAAAAGAAAAGTATGTCTATAATTATTAATCATATAGTATATAAACTCGTAGTAGTTTGTTATCCAAGACGCAAATAATCAACAATCTCTGGAAGTGATATATTTCACAAGAAAATTCTTGGCTTTCAAGAGACATGGAAATCCACTTAGGCTCCATTCTGCTTATAGGTAACAATTTAATGTAATGTCTCCATTATTCTTGTCTCTGTTTTTAACAGCTACTTTTAAATGCTAACAATAAGGTGGCAGACAAGAATGAGAAAGATCTTGCCAACAAATTACTGACAGAAATGAATGAGGACCAGGTATACAAAGCCTGCATCTTGTTTCAATTGAACTCCAAAATCAGTCATTGGGAATAACTATTCCTGTGCTTTTCTTCTCATTTCTTAACATATATAAACATTATCTAATCTTAATATTCATGAATTACTTTTCACAGTTAAAGTTAACATAAAATTGCTTTCATTTAAATGTTAAAAACTTAATGGGTAAAAATGAACAATCAATACTCTATCTGAATGTATGTTCTTTTCAATTTGAGAAGATACAAAGTACAGGAATGGGGCCCCAGAATCAATACTGATCACCTGGTGATGACATCATAGTTTGGGGGCTGCCTTTTCTAAGCACTGTGGTGTACTGGGATCTTAGGGCTTTGTGAATATGTATGGTCATTTTTAATACCTTGATTTTCTGCTTCTTATTGACAAGTGATTATACTTCAATGGACAACCTGATTCTTGGAGGAAGGGAAGAAGATGCTAAATTTATTGAATATTAAATTATGGATATAATAAGGCAAAATATATCATTTATGATGCTTCTTACAGTATATTAGGTCAATTTCTTTCTTTTATTTTTTTTGGGGTCCGGTCGTGGGGCCTGAACTCTGGGTATGGGTGTTGTCCCTCAGCTGAAGGCTAGTGCTCTATCACTTGAGCCACAGAGCCATTTGCGGCTTTTTTCTTTTTGCTTATGTGGTGCTGAGGAATAGAACCCAGGGCCTCATGCATGCAAGGCAAGCGCTCTACCAATGAGCCACCTTCCCAGCCCTAGGTCAATTTCTTTCTTTAAAAAAATACCTATAAAAGTTACCCATTTTTCTTCCCAAAGTGTTTGTGAGACATATGTGCCTTTTATTAACATTATTTTAATGTCCAGGTTTAAGGCTTATAGAATAGTTGTAAAAAGAGGCTGTAATATGATTTATTATCTTCTGTTCTAGATGTAAAATATATATACAGAGTAATGTTTTAGATTTCTCTATAAGTTTTTAGTTTCAAGGCCTACTTGCATGAGTTACTAAAATACTTGCAAAAGTCTTATGGAAATTCACATTACAATTCCAAATGCCAGATATAATCAGTATAAGTCGTTTGGGCTTTTTCTTAGACAATGTTGAACACAGATTTTATTTGTATGAAATTTTATATCATAATGTTTTAAAATACTATGTTTATTACATATGTAATATTTATTATACATAATATTTAACAAGCAGCACAAAACACTAGTATTCTAGACTAAGTAACACCAGAATTCTGGATAAATGATAAAGTTTTTTAACAGCAGAGTATCTATTTTCCTTTCTACTCAAATTTTTTCTGCTGTGAGACAGAGAAAGAAATCCTACTGGAGGAATGACTGGCTTCACTTGGTAATACTGTTTTTCCTAAAGCAGATTTTTCGACTATTTGTTTTATAACTTTTTTTTAAACTTTTTTTTGAACTGGGGTTTTAACTTGACCTTGTACTTAATGGCCAGGCATTCTACTACTAGGCTCTGTTTTTGTTTGTTTGTTTTATAATATTTTGTAATTTCCTAGTCCTCTTTATGCTTTAATAGTTTACTAAATTTAATTGTCATGTTCTATTTTTACTATTGTTGATGTTGGTTTGTAGATTTTGCTGTATATGTACTGCCCTGAAACTTAACACATTTTGTTCATGGTCTTCAACAATAATAGATATATGGAGCCAGATTTTAATTATTCAGTTGAATTTATGTCATTAAAGTACACCTTCTTCCAGAATACTACAACACATATAGATAATTCATTTCCTTTATCTGCCTCAAAATTTGCATCCTGCGTAAAAGTAGCTATACTTTACTATATGTAAGGATGACTATTAATTATTAATTGGTGTATGTACATAGCATTTCAGTTTTCTTTTTCTTTTCTTTTCTTTTTTTTTTGTCAGTCGTGGAGCTTGAACTCTGGGCCTGGGTGCTGTCCCTGAGCTCTTCAGCTCAAGATGAGGGCTCTACCACTTGAGCCACAGTGCCACTTCCAGTTTTCTAGTGGTTAATTGGAGCCTTATGGATGTTCCTGGGCTGGCTTTGAGCCATGATCCTCAGATCCCAGCCTCCTGAGTACCTAGGATTATAGACGTGAGCCTCCAGCACCTGGCCTCATTTCAGTTTTAATACAGAGTTTGTAATCTATGTGAGCAAGATTATTTTAGCTATCTCATTGTACATGCTGGTAGAGTTTAAGTCTAGAAATTTCAAGTATATCAAAGAAGGGAAAATAAAGCATTATGGAATTTCTAATTCTAGACCTCTCCCTTCCTCTTGAGATTGTCCATTAGTTTATAAAAGCATGTGTTGAGCTTGCTCTTTCTTTCTTAGAACATTTAATGTAATGAGTGAACGTTGCCTTATCCTTCTTGACATGAGTTGTCTTTTGTTAAATATGTAAATTTTCTTACAGATTATAGTGTTTTACAAATCTGTTTTATACAAGAGGAATGTAAAGCATGTGAAGTAATTATTTTTTTCAGGTTTTCAGAACAAAGGTTTCCTAAGTGAAAAGCATATTTAACACATTGGTTAATATCTTGTTTTTTTTCTTCTTTTTCATCTGGTAGGTGTTTCAGGGCCAGTTGGATTGCTTGGCAGTATCAACTATTCAGGCTCTGACAGCAGTAATGAACAAATCTCCAGCTGCTAAGGTAAAATATCCCCAAGCTTTAAAATGCCTTCATTATACCAGTTTTCACTAATAAATTCCAAAATGATGTGAAAGAATATGATACATATGGCTTAATAGCTGATGTCAACTAATTCACAAACTATCTCTTCTTAGTATAAGAGAATACTTCAGATGAAAGAATACAGTTGATTAAAATCGCCAGCCAATGACTTGGCTCAGATGCACAAATCCCAATATAGAAAAACACAAAATATGTAAAACAAGGTTATATGACCCCAACAAATCCACTATGATGGACTCAATGATAGCTAAATGAATGAAATCCCAAAGAAATTAAAAGAATAATGATAAGAATAATCAAAATTATTGGGGCTGGGAAGGTAGCTTAGTGGTAAAGTGCTTGCCTTGTATGCATGAGGCCCTGTGTTTGATTCCTCAGTACTACATAAGCAAAAAAAAGCCGGAATTGGCGCTGTGGCTCGAGTGGTAGAGTTCTAGCCTTGAGCTGAAAAGCTGAGGGACAGCACCCAGGCCCATAGTTCAGGCCCCACAACTGACTGCCCCCCTTCCCCAAAAAAGAATAATCAAAATTGAAGATGGTATAATGCATCAATGAATTAAAGAGAATGCAAATAAATAGCTAAATAAAATAAGGAAGAAATATAGAATATAAAGGAGGAATTCAATAAAGATTTAAAAATACTAAAAAAATCGAATTGATATTCTGAAAGTGGAAAATTCAAGAAGTCAAGTAAAAATTCATTTGAAAGCCTGATGAATAGCGTCAATCAGGTAGAAGATAGAATATCAGGTCTTGAATACAAAGTAGGCAAATTAGAATATTGAGATAGTTGTAAAGGAAAAGAAAAAGTATAGACAGAACACCCAAGACTTTGGAGGCACAACAAAATGACCAAACCTATGCTTCATTGAAGTAGATGAAGAGAAGAGATATAAGCTAAAGTCATAGAGAAAAATATTCAATAAATTAATAGCATCATATTATCCATATCTTGGGGAAGAAATTGTCATCTAGGTAGAGGAAGATTTTAGAACACCAGAAAAGACCTCTTCGTATTAATTATTATAATTAAAATATTAAGTATATACTACAAAAAAAGAATATTTAAAGTTATGAAAGAAAAATGACAAGTCACCTATAAAAGCAAACCCAGTAAAACAATATACGCATTCTCAATAGTCTTAAAGCCAGGAGGACAGGGAATAATGCATTTAAAGTCCTGCAAGAAAAAAAACTGTCAACTTACATAATTGTAACTAGTAAATCTGTCATTCACAATTGAAGGAAAAATAAAAATCATTCAAAGAAACAAAGCCTAAATACTTCACTATCACTAAGAAAATGCTTACAAGAATTTGTACATACAAAAAGAGGAAAATAACCAGAATGATGAAAATACTGAAAGGAATAAACCTTATCAGTTAACTAGACAAGCAAATGAGGATTAGAAAGTATCAACATTACATTTAGTGATTGCTAAATAAATTTTAATAATAACTGATTCTCAGTGGTCTCATTTCTCTAAACATAAGGCATAAACTAGCAAATTAGATTAAGGTTCAAGATCCAACCACTTGTTTCCTATAACAAACATAATTCACTGGCAAAGAAAAATAGCCTTAGGTAAAAGAATGGGAAAAGATGGTAATCAAATGAGTCCCAAAGCAAACAGGACTAGTGTTCCTCATAAATGACAAAGTTGTCCCCATACCCAAAATAAAGGTCTCTTTGTACTGATAAAAGGAAAAATCCATCAGGGATCTAGAATAACTGTAAATATGTACACAGAGAATGTCAGTAAATGCAAGTTCATAAAACAAATTATACTGGACATAAAAGCACAGATCAATCCCAATACAAAAATTGTAGATTGAGGCCATTCAACCCCCCCCCCCAACTGAACTTCAAATTAAACAACCTGAGTGAAATGGACATAATAGAGAGCTACAGATATTCCACACTGAACAGCCTCAGAATACATATTCTCAGGAGCCCATCCATGGTTCTTTCTCTTAAATAGATCACATTTTAAGATACAAAGGAAGTCCAAACAAAGACAGGAAAATTTACACTACTTCCTATATTTTATTTGACCACATAGATTAAAGACAACACTAAGAGAAACTGTAGAAAATATACAAACATGTGGAATCTGAACAATTCACTTTTTAATGATCAGCTAAAGTTAATGAAGATATGGAAAAATGAAATAATTACTAGACCGAGACAAAAATCAAAACCTGATGTATCAGGATTGTTTGGACATAGCATAGGCAGTGCTGGAATAAAGTTTGTGCTATATAGGTGCTAAATAAAGTTATATCTGGATTACAGATGTCAGTTGCTCACATCTGTTCTCCTAATACTCAGGAAGCTGATCGCAGTTCAAAGCCCGCCCAGGCAAGAAAGTCCATGAGGCTCTTATCTCCAATTAAACACCAAAAAGCTGGAATGGGAGCTGTGGCTCAAGTGACAGAATGCTAGTCTTGAGTACAAAATCTTGAGGACAGTGCTCAGGCCCTAAATTTAAGCCCAGGGTCCGTGTGTGTGTGTGTGTGTGTGTGTGTGTGTGTGTGTGTGTGTGTGTGTGTGTGTGTGTGTGTGTGTGTGTGTGTGTGTGTGTGTGTGTGTGTGTGTGTGTGTGTGTGTGTGTGTGTGTGTGTGTGTGTGTGTGTGTACACACACAAATTAAAGCTGAAGTAAATAACCTAATCTTGCACCTCAAACTCTTAGTAAAATAAGTATCCACCAAATCCATGAGCAGTAGACATAAGTAATGATCATAAGTAAAGATCATAAAGAAATGGAATGAGACTCGTTGCATCAGTGCTGCTGCCACCGGCAGTACCACCATCGCTATGCGATATATATTTCAATAGACTTTAATATTTGAAACATTTCTAGATGCACGTGAAATACTAATATTAAACTCAGAGAATATAAACAACTTAGACTTATCTATAACTATCAGTGTAATTTCAGTAGTAATAAGGAATCTCGGGGCTGGGAAGGTGGCTCAGTGGTAGAGCGCTTGCCTTGCATGCATGAGGCCCTGGGTTCGATTCCTCAGCACCACATAAGCAAAAAGAAAAACGCTGCAAGTGGCGCTGTGGCTCAAGTGGTACAGCACTAGCCTTGAGCTGAAATGCTGAGGGACATCACCCAGGCCCAGAGTTCAGGTCCCATGACCGGACCCAAAAAAAAAAAAAAAAAAAAAAGAAAAGAAAAAATAAGGAATCTCCAGCCAGGCCGGTGGCTCACGCCTGTAATCGTAACTACTCAGGAGGCTGAGATCTAAGGATCATGGTTCAAAGCCAGCCCAGAAAGACTGTGAAACTCTTATTCAATAAACCACTCAGAAAATGGAAGTGGTACTGTGGCTCAAGTGGTAGAGCGATAGCCTTGAGCTGAAGAGCTCAGGGACAGCGCCCAAGCCCCGAGTTTAAGCCCCCACGACCGACCAAAAAAAAAAAAAAAGGAATCTCCTAGCCAGCTGCTGATGGTTCATGCCTATAATCCTAACTACTCAGGGGGCTGTGATTTGAGGATAATATTCAAAGCCAGCCCAGGCAGGAACGTCCATGACACTCTTATTTCTGATTAACCAGCAAAAAGCCATAACTGGAACTGTGATTCAGTGTTTAGCACTACTCTTGTGTGAAAAGCTGTGGCACACCACTTAGGCCCTAAATTCAATCCATACTACTGGCACACACACACATGCACACACATGCATGCACACACTCATATACATGCACACACACACAATCTCCACTGAAAGAAAATCCAGAATCTGATACATCACTGCTGAATTTTTCTTTTTCTTTTTTTTGGTCATGGGGCCTGAACTCTGGGGCTGGGCACTATCCCTCAGCTCTTCAGCTCAAGGCTAGCGCTCTACCACTAGAGCCACAGCGCCACTTCCAACTTTTTCTGAGTATGTGGTACTGAGGAATCGAACCCAAGGCCGAATGCATACACGGCAAGCACTCTACCACTGAACCACTTTCCCAGCCCAACTGCTGAATTTTTCTAGACTTTGAAAGAAGAACATCAGTGCTCCTCAAACTATTTTATAAATTATAAAGGGAAGGAATGCTATCAAACTAAAATACTAAAGAAACCTGTTGACAAATTTTCCTGATAAACATAGGCATACTTAATGAAATCCTTACAAACTTGCCCATGTAATTGTAACCCCTCTGTACAGTATTTTCACAATAAAAAAATAAAATAAAATAAAAACACAAAAAAAGAAATCCTTACAAACTAAATTCAGCAGTATATTGAAAAGATCATGTACCATGATTAAATTGACTTCATCCCAGGGATATGAGGCTAATTGAGTATACACAAATCAATAAATTTAGTATAATACATAAACAATAAAGGAAAGAAAAATAGCTGCAGAAAAAGCCTTTGAAAAAAATTAAAATCCCTTTATAAGCCAGGTGCAAGTGGCTTATCCTTGAAATCCTAATTATTTGGCAGGCTCTAAATGAGAGGATTGTGGTTTAAGGTCAACTCAGACAGAAAAATTCATGATACCTCTTTGTAGTACAGTGGTATATACCTGTCATCCCAAGCTATGTGGGAGGCTGAAATCAGGAGCATGCCAGGTCTCATGCCAACAGAAAAATTCATGAGACTGCATCTCTACAGATGGAATCTAGATGCAGTAATTTATGCCTGTGATCCCAGCAAGGAATGAAGCCTATGGGCCTGAGATGTACGTCAGTGACAAAGTACTTGCCTTGCAAGTGCAGCATCCTGGGTTTGATCCCCAGTACCAAAAAAAAAAAAAAAAATGAAGCCTAAAAGAAAGCAGATTTCAGATCATGCACTTTTCCTGAGCAGGAAGCAAGACATTAACAAAAATCAGGGCTAGATGTGTGGCTTAGTGGTAGAGTGTCTGCCTAGCCAACATGAAACCCAGTTCAAACTACAGTATCACTACCACCACCACCAAAAAAAAAGAAAACCCAAAAAACCCAACAACAAACTCTTCACCTCACAAGACCTAAAGAATAGAGGAATGTAGAGACTGTACCTCAATATAATAAAAGCTCTCATGTGAGCCGGGTGACTCAGGACGCTGAGTTCAGACGATCACAGTTCAAAGCCAGAATGGGCATGAAAGTCAAAGAGACTCTTTATCTGTAATGAACCACTAGAAAGCAGCAAGTAGAGATGTGCCTTGAAGTGGTAGAGCACTAGTCTTAAGCACAAAAGCGCAGGGACAGTGCCCAGGCCAAGAGTTCAAGCCCTACCATGGGCCAAAAAATAAATAAAGCTCTCATGTTCATGTTTATGGCTCTGCAGCTTCTGTACAATGTCAGTCAAAATTTCAAAGTCATTTCTTCATAGAAATAGAAAAAACAATCCCTATCATTTATATGCAACTATTGAAGTACTATACATAGCCAAAAGAATCCTGAATAAAATAAGCAATGTTGACGGTGTCATATAACTTGACTTCAAATTATACTACAGAGCTATAGTAGTAAAACAGCTTCATCTTAGCATAAAAACTGACCGGTAAAAGAATGGAATGGAGTAAAAAAGAACCAGAAATAAAATGCACTGCTTTGGTCATTTGATTTTTGACTAACATGACAAAAATATATGCTAAAGAAAAGATAGCTTCTTTAACATATGATACTGAGAAAGATAGGCTTATGTAGAAGATCCTTGTATTTCACCTATACATACATAATTCAAAGTGAATGAAAGACCTTAAAATAAGAACTAAAGCTTTGGAGAGCCTGTAGGAAACCAGGAAGAACACTTGAAGATATAGGCATTGACAATGACTTTCTGAATAATACTCCACTAGCAACAGGAAATATGGGAAGGAATTGACAATATTATTTCATAAATTAAAAAGCTTCTGTTCTTGAAAGGAACAACTACTAGAATGAAGAAAGTCTGTAGAATGGGAAATACTTGCCAGCTGTTCATGTGAGAAAAGATTAATATCTAGAATGTATAAACAACTGAAACCAAACACCAACATAAGAATCATAATTATATATAAATTTGTTTACATTTTTGTTATGGCTTTGGGAATATAACTTATTCAATATTATATGTGACTTAGAACTTCCTAAAATGAGCTTAATGCTCCAGGTAATTTAGATACGAAGAGTAGAGAGAAAACTATTCATACTCAATTTGTTTTTAGGTTACTACTTAAAATTGCCAGTGCTTTTTTTTTTTTTTTTTTTTTTAATGGTGCTCTGAAACTAACTAGGGCCTTACATGTGCTAGGCAAACTCTGGGATTGAACTACATCTTCACTTTTTTTTTTTTTTTTTGGTATTACTTATAGGAGCCCCAGCTAGCTTCAAAGTATTGTTCCTTCTACCTTTACCACCGCAGTGCTAGCACTGTACGCATGAAACCCTCATTCTACTAGATGGACCTATCTCACTCCTCTTACCTCCAAAATGTCATTCTTTTCCAACTTTTATTTTAACTTTACTTAATATTTATTACAAATCAAGTTAAGAAAGTAAAAGAAGTACCATATGCATTTATCTGTAAATAATAAAGTATTTCAACAGAATTATTAATAATTTCATTTGTCTTTGTTTTTGTTTTTCTATTTTGGTGCCAGTCCCGGGGCTTGAATTCAGGGATTAGGCGCTACCTCTGAGTTTTTTGTGCTCAAGGCTAGTGCTTTTTTTTTTTTTTTTTTTTGGGTCCGGTTGTGGGGCCTGAACTCTGGGCCTGGGCACTGTCCCTCAGCTCTTCAGCTCAAGGCTAGCGCTCTACCACTTGAACCACAGCGCCACTTCCGGCTTTTTTCTTTTTGCCTATGTGGTGCTGAGGAATCAAACCCAGGGCCTCATGCATGCAAGGCAAGTGCTCTACCACTGAGCCACCTTCCCAGCCCAAGGCTAATGCTTTACCACTTTGAGCCACAGCACCATTTCCAGCTTTGGGGTGGTTAATTGAAGATAAGAGTTTCACAGACTTTCTTGCATGGGCTAGCTTTGAACCGAAATCCTCAAATCTCAGCATCCTGAGTAGTTAGGATTACAAGCACGAGCCATGCGCATCTGGCTTGTTTTTCATTTTTGTAGATTGTTATAACCATTATTAAAAGATATATAGAATCTGTTTTAAGATGAAACATGCCAAATTCAGTTGTACATGCCTGTAATCATAGCTAGTCAGGAAGCTGAGGCAGGAACATTTTAAGGTCCAGGATAACCTGAACCTACATAGAAAGAATCTGTCTTAAATAGTAAATGAATATGTGATTTAAGAAAACAAGACTTGACTCATTACTTTGCTTAAGTAGCTAAATATGTATTCAATATTTTAAATATTATTATAAATTTAGTTCTTATAAATATAATTTGATGCATTGTTTTCCACTCTAGGAAGTATTCAAAGAAAGAATCGGTTATTTACATATGTTTGAAGTTCTAAAATCTTTGGGTCAGCCATCACTGGAACTGCTTAAAGAACTTATGAATATGGTGAGTTTTTAACTTATATTAAATTGAAGAAATTTTAGTTTTTCATTTCAAAAGTAGTAACTAATCTTTTATCTTTTATGTTGCTTTTCAGGCTGTAGAGGGTGATCACACATCAGTTGGGATTTTGGGCATTAGTAATGTCCATCCTCTCTTGCTTCTTATCCAGTGGCTTCCAGAGCTAGAATCCTATGACCTGCAAATCTTCATTTCTGATTGGCTGAAAAGAATTTGTTGTATTAATAGGCAGAGTCGAACTACTTGTGTCAATGCAAACATGGGAATTAGAATAATTGAAACCCTTGAATCCCATTCTTCCCTCCATCGACTGTGTGCTGAGAACTTGATTGCAATCCATGGTTCCCTGGGGAGTCAGTCAGTGAGCTTAGAAGAAGTCCGTCGACTCCTAAGATTGCTGAGAGTGGATGAATCTGCATGTATACACTCATACACCATTCCTGTGACTCGAGCAATCCTGACAATGGCCCGAAAACAAAGTCTAGAAAGTGCCCTTCAGTATTTTAATTTATCACATAGTATGGCAGGAATTTCTGTTCCTCCCATACAGAAATGGCCAGGGTCTGCATTTTCTTTCAGTGCTTGGTTTTGTTTAGATCAGGATCAGGTGACTCTTGGCATTGCTAACAAAGGAGGAAAAAGAAAACAGTTATACAGGTAATGGTTCAAACTGTGGGATACTATCCTAAATTGTTATAACAATATTTGCTATCATTCCTAAAAAGGAAAATATCTCTATCTAATTTTTAAATTTGTGATAGTTTTTCTCAAGGCTTTTTTAATTGATCATATAATATACTTTGTAAGTTGCTAAAATTGCTTTCATATTAGTTATATATCAGATATTTTTCTGTTAAATTCGCTGGCTAGTTTAGAAATAAGGTTCCTTCTTAAAATTAGTGAAAATGAAGCCTGGCACTGTTGGCTCACACCTGTAATCCTAGCTAACTAGGAGGCTGAGATCTGAGGATTGCAGTTCAAAGCTAGCCCAGACAGGAAAGTTTATGAGACTCTTAACTCTGATTAACCATGAACCACCAAAAAGCCAAAAATAAAACTGGCTCAAATGGTAGAATGCTTGCCTTGAACACAAAAGCTCAGAGACAGTGCCTGGTCCCCAGTTCAAGTCCCAGGATTGACAAAAGGAAAAAAAAAAAACTGTAAAAATAGGAAAGAAAGAAATAATAATCTTCAATGATAGTCCCTCTGTTACACTAAAGATGCTACTATATGCTTTTTTTTTTTTTGTCAGTTCTGGGACTTGAACTCAGGGCCTGGGTGCTGTCCCTAACCTTCTCTGCTCAAGGCTAGCACCCTACCACTTGAGCCACAGCTCCACCTTCAGCTTTTTGTTGTTAATTGGAGATAGGAATCTCACAAACTTTCTTGCCCAGGCTGGCTTTGAACTACAGTTTTCGGATCTCAGCCTCCTTAGTAGCTAGGATTTCCAGGAATGAGCCACCAGCACCTGGCTACTATATAGTTTTTTTAAATGACCAAAAAACTTATATATATGTAGATCCAGACTTAAGTAACTAATAATTTTTCTTTTAATATAGGTTGTGATTTGTGTGTGTCCTCTATGTGTGTGTGTTACAAGGGTTTTAACTCAGGTCCTTGTGCTTGCTAGGGAAGTGCTCTGCCACTTGAACCACACGTCCAATCTTTTCTGCTTTAGATTATTTTTCAGATAGCATTTTGTATTTTTGCCTTAGAATGGTCTATGGACCCCATCCTTTAAATTAAGACTCTGGCATAATGTTTACTGTAGGTTCACAACACCATGCCTGAGCACTGTCCCCTAGCTTTTTTGCTCAAGGCTATCACTCCACTGCTTGAGTCACAGCTTCACTTCTGGCTTTTTGCTGATTGGTTGAACATAACAGTATCACAGTCTTTTCTGCCTGAGTTAGCTTTGAACTGTGATCCTCAAATAATAGCCTCTTCAGTAGCTATGATTATAGGTGTGACTCTCCAGCACCTGGTCATGATAGTCTTATATGCTTAAATGATAATGAAAATGATTAACTGTCTTCAAAAGTTTTGATAATAGATATTTTTCTTAGCTTTTTTACAGGAAGTGGCATGGGTTTTGAAGCTTTTATTACCCATTCAGGTATGTTAGTTGTGGCGGTGTGCACAAAAAGAGAATATGCAACAGTTCTCCTTCCTGACCACAGTTTCTGTGATTCTCTCTGGGTAAGGCTTAGGGCATCGCATTTAACATCTTGGTTCTTTCCTTAATCATTAAATGTTTATCAGGGTTGTATGTGTTGGGGGGCCAGGGTTGTGGGGTTTTGAACTTAAGGTCTTGTACCTGTGCTAGGCAGGTACTCTACCACTTGAGCCCATCCATGTTTTTCCTTTACTTACTTTTCTTGCATTTTTTGCTTGGTGCCTTCCCATTCCTGGTATTACAGGTGTGTGCTTCCATACCCACATTATTTGTGGAAATGAGGGTTTCACTATCTTTTTGCCTGGGCTTTCCTCAAAGCACAGTCCTCCTGATCTCCATCTCCTGAGAAGATAGACTGTGCCAACTTTCTAATTCCTTCTGTTTGTTCTTTTTTAAGATTAAGTTTTCACTTTAAAGTTTTATAAATATAAAATTCATCTGTAAGGGAGTTGATATTTACCATTGCTGTCAGTTCCACAGTAATCATTTTTCTACATTTGAAAATGAAGTGTTAGGATTTCTTTAATGTTTTCTAGAATTTCTATTCAAAATGAAGTGTGAAAAAGGATACACTTCTATTGCCTTTCTAAAAATTAAAAAAATTCTTAAAAATTGATCCTTGGAAAGTACAGAAAAGACACTGTAATTTGAGTTTTCTAGAAAAGGTTTACAGGTCTTTGTTATATTAATTGTTAAATTGTTAAAAACCGTTGCTTGTTAAGAACATCATTTTATGCTGAAATAAGGATACAGGTTGACCCATTGTAACAATAAGATGTACAAGACACTATGTTGAAAACAAACTTTACAACTTTGGAGGCCTGGAGGAGTTGGGGAGGTGGAGAGAGAAGGGATGATAGGGGAAAAACAAAGGAGGGGGTAACAATGCTCGATAGGAATGTACTCATCACCTTACTCATGTAACTGTAACCCCTCTTTATACATTATATATATAGATATATATATACATTATATATATTAAAAACAAAAAAGAACATCATTTAAAACATTTTAATGTTCTTTTTACATGAACAAGTGATAGAATAACCCTCTGAAAACATTGTCATTCCAAAGACACAATGTTATATTGCCTTTCAATATATGTTTTATTTACCAGCACAATATAACAATTGTTCACATGCCGGGAAAAAGGCCCTTTGGTCAGAGTCTTGTCTATATCTATGACAATGGACAACAGAAGGTCTCTGCCCCTCTCAGATTTCCTGCCATGAATGAAGTAAGTATATTTTACCTATTCTTTATAAATCTAACTGATTGAGGACTCTTGAAAAGTTTCATTTTCTCCTAAATGTATCCCCAAATTTTTACAAATATGTTCTATATACTAAGGCACAGTTGATTAACATTATGATGTCAATTGACATTTCAAAAAACAAAGGCAATTTGAGAAATAAATGTTAGGAAGGTTAGAAAAAGCCAAAAAAAATGAAGGGAGCAGACCAAACTTTTAATAATAATCTCCAAGTATATGAAGTACTTAAGTGAATGTTATGAACTGTTTTCCACCACCATTAAATTTGAAATGATAAGGAAAAAGCTTTTAAAACTTTCACATGTAGTTAGGTATAGGAATTTATTTATTAGGAAGTTCTCAGTGGACACTGAAAAACAGCAAATTTTTTGGTTCATTTAATAAAGTATTTCGTGAGGGTATTGGAATACAGTAGGTAATTTCTGAGGTCTCAAGTATTTGAATAGTTCTTTGCTGTTTCTCATCTTGATAACCATTTCAGAATAATCTGTAGTTGCCATTATATTCATGTGTAATTTTCTGTTTATAACTTTTACAGGGAAAACCAGTTATCTCTTTTAAATAAAGTTTTAAAGCATTTTTTGGTTGTTTGTTTTGTTTTTTTGTCGGTCATGGGGCTTGAGCTCTAGGCCTGGGCACTGTCCCTGAGCTCTTCAGCTCAAGGCTAATGCTCTAGCACTTGAGTTACAGTGCCACTTCTGGCCTTTTCTGTTTATGTGGTGCTGAGGAATTGAGCCCAGGGCTTCATGCATGTGAGGCAAGCACTCTACCACTGAGCCACCTTCCCAACCCCTTAAAGCCTTTTCTATTAAACACATTAAAGAATTCAAAATTTTCACAATTGAGTCAGAAATAATATATCCCCAATAGCCACAGTTAACTTTGGTAATGATTTCTTTTGTATGTATGTATATATGCGTTGAGCTCATGGTTCAGTAAATGTAAAACTGTTTCCACTTCTTGTCAAATTAATTTGCTTAATTTTGTACTGCTTCACTATATTTTTATTTTCAATTTATTTTTGTGTTGATGGATGCTTACACACTAAACTACTTCCTTAAACCCATACTGTTTAAGTAAACTTGTGTAATTTTTTTTTCTTAATTCTTAGCCTTTTATTTCCTGTTGTATTGGTTCAGCTGGGCAAAGAACCACCACTCCTCCACCATCCCAAATCCCAGATCCACCATTTTCTTCACCCATTACCCCTCATCGGACATCATTTGGTGGAATTTTGTCATCAGCCTCCTGGGGAGGTACAATTGAAAAATCAAAATCTGTTACCAAATTAATATCAGCTGGAACCCAAGATAGTGAATGGGGATGTCCCACATCCCTGGAGGGCCAGCTAGGTTCTGTTATCATCTTCTATGAAGCACTACAGCCGCCTCATGTGAAGGCATTATATTTAGCAGGTAAGCATGTCCTGGTTTACTAGAGTTATAAAATAAAGTAATATTATAAATTTTTCTAGTGTCTGAGTATATTATAGCAACATTTGAAAAGAGAAAATTATATTTGATCTAAAGAGTATTTTTTTTTAACAAACTCAAAAGAGAAAATGCCTACTTCATATAATCCTCTTTTTATTAGGCATAAATAAAATAATCTGTTACGAAAATTTTTAGGTGTCATCCAGAGTACTTCCTGGGGTTTCTATAACAAAATACCACAGATTAGATGGCTTTAACAAGAGAAGTTTATTTTCTATTAGTTCTAGAGGCTAAAAGTCAGGTATAGTGTTATAGAGCTTGTTTTCTAGAAAGGCTTCCTTCCTGGATACAGGTGGTCACCTACTTTCTGGTTATTCTCATGTGGTCTTTCCTCTCTGAGCATGTGGGCAGAGAAAAGGACTGTGATTCCTCCTTGTATTATAAGGGACCTATCAGATTACAGCTTTACCCCTTTGCCTCCTTTAACTTTTTTTTTCTAATCACATTATAGGTCCTTCTTCCACATAGCATCACACTGGAGATTATGACTTCAACATAGTTCTGTTTGTAAAGCTGCCAGTATTTTTGACAATTTTAATGAATTGGTGAAACAAAATACTTGGTTTTCTCCATAAAACATAATTTCAAAACTTTCTATGATTGATACATTAATATACCTGAAAAATTCATGAAAGTGATAATAGTTGGAAGACGTTTGATAAGATTATAAACATTTCATTTTAGTTTTTTCTTTTTGGTATTGTTTTAAACAGTTACAATTGCTGTTGGATACAAAAATTCTGTCTATATTTTATCAAGATATTCCAAACGTACACTTTTAAGTATCATATATATTAACTGTACATAATGGCTCATTTTTTTCTGAAAATAACTGCCTTAGATTGTATGGCATTCTTTTTGTTGTTGTTGTTATTGATCATGGGGATTGAACTCTGGGCCTGAGCACTGTCCCTCAGCTCTTCAGCTCAAGGCTAGTGCTCTACCAGTTGAGCTACAGCGCCACTTCTGGTTTTCTGAGTTGTTTATTGGAGAGAAGAGTTTCATGGACTTTCATGCTGGGGCTTGCTTTGAACCGTGATCCTCAGATCTCAGCCTCCTGAGTAGCTAGGATTACAGGCATAAGCCACCAGCGCCCGGCAATTGTATGCCATTCTAAGATCAATGGATCTATCCAGATTCTCAAAGTTTAATAATCTTATAATTTTTTGAAACTTATGAAGTTATTTTAGGATGTTCTATAATGGAAACAAATTCAGGTTAGTAACAAATCATTTAGTGTAATTATAAGACTGTAGTTTTATATTATATTCATGTATAATTATTATTTAGTCTCCCATTTTAGTGATCTTAAACATTTTTAATACATTTGCTCAGGTTTATATTTTATTATCCATATATTAATTGTACAAAAATTTTAATATTGGCATGAATTTGAATTTTTAAATATAATAAACTGGACTGAATACATTTTGCATAATCAGTTTCTAAAGGGGATATATATTAATGCTAATCAATAGCAGAGATGTGCCAGTTTTGGCAAAGCCTCAGTAAGAAGGAATGGTTACCTTTTGTGAATGGAACCTTATGTGAATTTGTATTTCTTCAATTTTTCATAAACGTCAACATTTTTCTTATTCACTTACTATTCTATTTCTCTGATACTTAATCACATTATTAATGGAACATTTTGCTATTATTTCTTTGGGGGGGGTCCGGTTGTGGGGCCTGAACTCTGGGCCTGGGCACTGTCCCTCTTGAGCTCTTCAGCTCAAGGCTAGCGCTCTAACACTTGAGCCACAGCACCACTTCCAGCTTTTTTTCTTTTTGCTTATGTGGTGCTGAGGAATTGAACCCAGGGCCTCATGCATGCAAGGCAAGCGCTCTACCACTGAGCCCTATTTCTTATAATTTGTTTATGTTAGATAGATTAGTAGGTAAACTTTGCTTTATTTAATAATAGTTTTGCTTGGTTATTTTTATTATCAAATAGTTTTACAAGAGAGAGAGAGAGAGTGAGAGAGAGAGAGAGAGAGAGAGAGAGAGAGTGTGTGTGTGTGTGTGTGTGTGTGTGTGTGTGTGTGTGTGTGTGTGTGTGTGTGTGTGTGTGTGTGTGTGTGTGTGTGTTGGTCCTGGGGCTTGACATTAGGGCCTTGGGTTTCACTCAAGGCTGGTACTCTATCTTATCTTCAGCCTTGCCTCCAGTTCTGGCTTTTTTGTCTGTTAATTGGAAATAAGAATCTCAGGGATTTTTCTACTTGGACTGTCTTTGAGCCCTGGTTTTCTTTTAACATGTCTGTTTATGTGTATAATGCTTTTTTTTTTGTCCTGGTCCTGGGCCTTTAACTCTGGGCCTGGGCACTGTCCCTGATCTTCTTTTTGCTCAAGGCTAGCACTCTACCAGTTCAATCCCAGCTCCACTTCTGACTTTTTCTGAGTATTTATTGGAGGTAAGGGTCTCACAGATTTTTCTGCCTGGGCTGGCTTTGAACTGTGATCCTCAGATCTCAGTCTCCCGAGTACTAGGATTATAGGCCTCAGCCACCAGTGCCCAGTTTATAATGGAGTTTTAGAGTCAATCTGAACTCAGGGCCCTCACACTCTTATTCAGCGTGCTTCTCACTGCTTCTCACTCTAGAAGTGTTAATTAGGGATGGAGTCTTTTGTATTTTTGCCCTCCTATTTTTAAACCATGATCCTTTGGATCCCAACTTCCTGAGTAGCTAGGATTATAGGCCTGAGCCACTGGTTCCAACTATAGTCTTGATCAGATTTACCTCCACCTCCTCCACTTCCATCTTTCTTCCCATTCCTGTCCCATTAAATTTTCATGTTCCATTTTCAAGCATGTACATATAGTAATTTCACTATATTCATCCTCCATTTCTCTCTCCATTTGTCTTTCCTCCTCCTGCTAGTTTTCAGACTCCTGTCCAGACATGTTTCAAATTACTAATATTCATTTTTATTAAAATATATGTTGTTAGTTGTTCGCAGGTATTTTACTATGGTATCTCACACACACACGTATACTATACATTAGTCTAATTGATCATGCACATGTATGTAACACATGATCCTGTGTGTGTTTGCATAAATGTTTGTATTTTAGTTCTAGCATCCACATATGAGAGAAAGACCTTTTTCTTTCTGAGTCTAGCTTACTTGGCTTGATATGATGCTTTCTAGATTCATCCATTTCACTGTAAATAACATAAGTCCATTTGTCTTTATGGCTGAGTAATATTCCATTGTCAGTATCTATTTATCCATGTCTATATAATGTATGTCTGTATACACAATGGAATATTATGAAAATGATGTTTTATATATATGTACATGTATGTGTGTATATATGTATGTGTAGTACATATTATATAATATATATAAAATGAACAATCACATATAATATGTATAATATATAATCATCATCATCATTCATTTAATCTGGGCTGCTTCTATAGCTTGTTTGTTGTGAACAGTGTTGTATTGAACATGAGTGTGCATCTTGCTTGATTTTTGATCATAGTATGTTTTCTCTTGTTCTTTTTTTATTGGCATAAATTAGTTATATAGGAAGAGGATTTTGTTGCATCTCCACATGTTTACAATGTATACTAATTGATCATACTTTTTAATACTATATAAAATTTCCCTTTTACCTTGGAGGTTTATTTCCCAAATTCCTCGGTTTTGGATAAACTGGAAGCAAATAAAACTAAAGTATATTTTAGCGTGTTTTAACTATATTATCTGAATAGTGGGAAGAGATTAATTTTAAATTTTGTACTGTTAATAGAAAAACAAGGAGTCCATATATATTCAATGATACATGTGATGTTTATAAATAATTTTCAGGTCCAAATTGTTTAAGTCCTTGGAAATGTCAAGAGTCTGATATGGCTGACCTGCCTGGTAACATCCTTCTTCACTACACAGCAAAGGTCAGAGTAAATGTATAGACAGTCAACATGGTTAGAACTGCTGTGAATTTCAGTTCATTGGAAATTGTTTTTTGTCACTTCATTGGTTAGTTGAGAAGGAAGGAACAAAAATTAAGATTTACCTCAACTTATTGAAATGCTATAATTATGTAATTCTAGTAGTATGAGTAGGAATAGTTATGTTGGAACTTGTGCTAATGAATTGACTGTAGTAAATGAAACTAAGATTGTGTTTACTTAGGTTTCTAGATGGTAAGAAAAACAGAACTGTGCTTAAAATTGTGTTTGTTTTTATAGAAAACTATAGCAAGTATTTTCTAAGCAGCCAGGTGCCAGTGGTTTGTTCAAACCTGTAATCCTAGCTCCTCAGGGCTGAGATCCACAGGATACAGTTCAAAACCAGCCTGGGCAGAAAGTCCACAAGACTCCATCTCCAGTAAAACATTTGGCTAGAGGTGTGGCTCAGATGGTAGAGTGCCAGCTGTGAGCAAGAAAACCAAACAAGTATAAAGTCCTGAATTCAAACTCTAGTATGAGAAAAAAGAAAAAAAATACTCCTTAAGTAAGAAAAACTTTCTATGAGTCTTCTGTGAGAAGCAATCTAATGAATGTAGAAAGAAGATAAAAGAAAATGATGTGTCAGAAATATCAGTTGTCTTTGTTACATTTAATGTAACTTGGCTCGGAAAATGCTATGACTGAGATTATGTGTTAGAATGCCTTTTTCTAGTTTAGCTAACTGGCATATAATCATCCTTGATTATTTCTGAATATTTGTTATATCTGCCCTAGTCTTATTTTCCTCATTGGTTTTTGATCAATTTCCAACCTAAAAAGAAGTAGAAAGAATAGTAGAGTGATAGCCTTATGCCCTTTACCTAATTTTACCAATTATTAATACTTTACTTAATGCAGGTCATTAATACTTCACTTATGTCAGGTCATTTGTGAGATCTGATTGGTAAGGCTATCAAAATTAAATTGTTAGCTGGGCATAGTTTTTCACAGCTATAATCCCAGCTTCTCAGGAGGCAGAGATTAGAGCATCACAAGACCAGCCTGAGCAAAAAATTAGCAAAACCCCATTTCAATCAATAAGCTGGGAATGGTGGTTTGGACCTATGGTCTTAGTTATGCCATGAAGCTGTAAATAAGAAGGTAGTGATTTGAGGCTGGCCCCAAGCAAAAACTTTAGATCCTATATGAGAAATAAGGGAAAAAAAAGGCTGAGGCATGGCTCAAATGATAGAGTACCTAATGAGCACAGTTAGGAAAACAAAACCAAAAATAGTTTATTCCCTAAATATTTCTATGTAATCATTTACCTATATGAGAAAATGGTTCATAATGCAATATATAAACATAGAAGTGTTTATTTAGCATGTTAAGAATATCTTGGATCTAATCAAGGTTTATACCTTGTATAAGGTAGAGTGTTTCTTGAGTCTTTTTAATTTTTTTGTTTCTTATAACTTTTTTTCTCTAATGCCACATGCTTTACTAAATCATACTTTACATTATTTCTTGGTAATGACTTTACATAAGATATACTTATTTTTATTCTTCAATATCTGGCATAAATAACTAGGACATCATTTACTAACATGTTCATGTCATGGCCATATTTGATATTTGCCACTTTTTTACAAAGTAACTGAATTTGACAATATTAAAAGTTGGATTTTTTTTTTTACTACTGAAAAGTTTAAAAATTATGTATTGTTAAAAAATACCTATTGCCTCATTGTTTTTTTCCCAAGTAAACTGAATATGACCAATATATAAGTAAACAATTTAGGAATGTTTTTCCACAATGGTGGTGTGTCAAGATAGTTAAATAAGCTGGAGGTTGTTGAATTCTTCTAGGAAATTGATAATATGCTTTAAACATCTTGAGGCCAGGTGCTGGTGGCTTACACCTGTAATCCTATCTACTCAGGAGGCTATGATGTGAGGATTATGGTTCAAAGCCAGCCCAGGCAGGAAAAGTCCATGAGACTCTTATTTCCAATTAAATGGCCAGAAAACTGAAAGTGGCGCTGTGGCTCAAGTGGTAGAGCACCAGCCTTGAGCTGAAGAGCTGAGGGACAGCACCCAGGCCCAGAGTTCAAGCCCCATGACCAACTTAAAAAAAAAAAAAGATTTTACTTGGTTTTATCCTATTTTCCCAGTTGACTACAGGACACATTATTTTATTTATTAACTTATATATTTAAAAGTGCCAGTTTGCTATGCTTTGGAGGACTCTTTAGTTGTTAGCAATTTTTTATTTTTCATCTTCATTTGTAAGAGGTGTTTAGTAGCCCTTTTGTTTAAAATTTGTTGAGTGTCATGTGGGTATTGAGAACTGTGCTAAAAATTCTTATGAGACAAAGATCAGTTCAAGCCTCTAGTTTAAGATTAAAGATAGAGGGGCTGGGGGGTTAGCCCAGCGGAAGGGTGCCCGCCCGATGCGCGCAAGGCTGGGCGGTCCTCAGCCCTGAGGGAGGGGGGAAAGATTAAAGATAGAATAAATATGTAGGGGCTGGGAAGGTGGCTCAGTGGTAGAGTGCTTGCCTTGCATGCCTGAGGCCCTGGGTTCGATTCCTCAGCACCACATAAGCAAAAAGAAAAAAGCCGAAAGTGGTGTTGTGGCTCAAGTGGTAGAGCGCTAGCCTTGAGCTGAAGAGCTGAGGGACAGCGCCCAGGCCTAGAGTTCAGGCCCCACGACCGGACCCCCCAAAAAAAGAATAAATATGTAGCTGGGAAGGTGGCTCAGTGGTAGAGCGCTTGCCTTGCATGCATGAGGGCCCTGGGTTCGATTCCTCAGCACCACATAAGCAAAAAGAAAAAAGGTGGAAGTGGCGCTGTGACTCAAGTGGTAGAGCGCTAGCTTTGAGCTGAAGAGCTGAGGGACAGCGCCCAGGCCAAGAGTTCAGGCCCCACAACTGGAACCCCCCCCCAAAAAAAAGAATAAATATGTAAAAAAATAAAAGTATAACAGAAGGTTGGAGGAATACTCAAGTGGTAGAGTGGCAGCCTAGCAAGTACAAAGCCATGAAGTTCTAACCCACTACTACCAAAAAGAAAGATGAAAGTTAATTTTATGAACATATATTCACTTTTTAAGCTACTATTCATTGCATGTTTATAATATATTAAGCACTATGCTAAAATGTTTCATTTTATAATTTACAGAATCCCTGAGAGGACCATGATATTATCTGTAGGTTTTCTAAGCTTGTTTTCTGAAGCTCAGTAAAGCTCTAGTGAATGATAATGCTCAATTTAGAAGCCAGTTTATTTAATACACATACAGCATTGCTGAATTGAAAATACAGTGCAGATTACAGCATGAGTATAATTCTTTCAGGAACTTAGAATATCATAGCAAAGATGTGTTGATTTGTATTTAAAAGGCAGTATTGAAGAGGCACACACAGTGAGGAAGATATAGAAAGGCAAAAACTAAAATGAGATTCTGTGTGTATAATTTGGATTTAGAACAGTGATCACTAAAACGAAATGGCAAGGAATGAACTTAAAGAACATGTGAAAAACAGAATTATAGGGACTGGGGGTTTAGCCCAGCTGAAGGACGCCCACCCATGCACAAGGCCCTGGGTTCGGTCCTCAGCCCTGGAAAAAAAAAAACCAAAACCCAGAATTATAGCAAACCTCATGTGTCAGATTAATAGGCAATGGATAGGGTTTTGTACAGAAGAATAATGTATCTAGGTTTCATTTTAGAAAAATTTCTCAAGCTGCAGTATCAAGGTTTAATTGGAGAAGCAGGAGATATAACACAGTAATACCATTAGAAGATTGTGTTTGGATAGATAGTAGATACATAGTATGAAAACAAAAGAAATGGAGAAAGACATTTCTGACTCTGACATAGTTTAAATATTCATTATTTAATTAATACAAATTTGCTCAGTTGAATTAAGAGAAAAATAGTAGACATCAGATGTGCTATTTGTGTGTGTGTGTTTGTATGTGTGTGTGTGTGTGTGTGTGTGTGTATGTGTGTTACTAGGGTTTCAACTCAGGGCCTTCCACCCACTCAGCTAGTCTTCTACCAATTGAGCCATGCCTCCAGCCTAGTTTTTTACTGGTGAATTAGAAATTGAATCTAGAAAACTTTTCTATGGAGCTGTCCAAGAAACATGATCCTCCACATCTCAACCTCCTGAGATGATTACAGGCTTGTACCACTTCTGCCTAGCTAACCTGAGCTAAAATTTTAAGTTTCTTTGTTTTGTTTTGAATGTAATTAAATGTAAAAATGCACTGGTCTAGAAATTCATAGATTGAATGTGAAGCTATATGTTTTTATGAATAGAAGATAAATGATTCCAACGATTTATAGAATTGTAGATTAAGCCCTTACCACGTTATAAACATGAAGGAAACAATATCTTATTCCTTTGATTAGACTTTTATATTGTCATAGATGATAAGTTTTATGATTTATCTCATATTTTGATTTGTGAGTGCTTTAGAATGTAGTCCTGAGTCTTTCTTTTGAAGATATGCCTAGAGAACAATAGTACTAAAAGTCAGTTAGTAGACATGTTATCATAAATTACATCATGTACCTTTAAAAATTATAGTGAATATTCATTATATGATGAAAGTTATGATTTGTAGTAGTTGCACTTAGTTGTTGGCTATATTTTTCTTTTATTCTAGGCCTGCAAAAATTCAATTTGCCTTGATTTATCTACTAATTGTTTACATGGAAGATTAACAGGAAATAAGGTAGTGAACTGGGACATTAAGGTAAATTAGTAATAATGGATAACAGTATAATTTAAGTAAATTAAATATTCATTAAGGATTTTCTCTTTTACTTATCACCAGATCAATCTTAATCATCAGTCTCTGTTAAAGTTTTACACTGAGATACAGTTTAAAGAATAAATAATTGAGCTGGGTGCTGGTGGCTCATGCTTTCAATACTAGCTACTCAGAAGGCTGAAATATTAGGATCGCAGTTTGAAGCCAGCCTGGGCAGGAAAGTCCAGGGGACTCTTATCCCAGTTAATCATCAGAAAAATGGAAATAGAACTGTAGCTTAAAGTGGTAGAGCACTAGCCTTGAGTAAAAATATTCAAGGATAGTGCCTAGGCCTTGAATTCAAGCACCACAACTGACCAAAAAAAAAAAAAAAAAGATAATAATTGAATGACTATAGCACTTGAACCATAACTCCACTTGTGGGTTTTTTGGTAGATAATTGGAGGTAAGAGTCTCATGGACTTTACTGCTAAGGCTAGCTTTGAACCATGATTCTCAGTTCTCAGCCTCCTGAGTAATTACTATTGCAGGCACTGGTTCCCACTGTTATTCACATTTTATAGATAATGAAATTAAGAACAGAAATTAATGACTTATTATTAGAAGACAGAATATATTTTTGTTAACCTATGCAAAATATCCAAGATAGAAGAATCTGTCATACTTTGCCATCAAGTACATTTTTCCCTGTTTTTTTAATGCCTATTTGTCTGATGAATAAACAACTGTTTATTCTTTACATTGTTGGGGTTTTCCTACCAGGTATTATTTAGATTACTTTTGTTGAAATGTCTAATTTGGAAAACAAAAAATTACCTGAAACAGTCTCTGTACTGTTAGTTATGGTGACCTGTGAGGCTGCCCTTGAAACTTTAACAGGATTCTTTGAGCTTAGGCTGTCCTACACATTACTTAAGGTTTATCAACAACTTGCAACTGTATAGATACTGAATTTCTCTTGTTTCTGTAAAATTAAGAAATTGTGATTTTATTTTCAGGACATTATCAATTGCATCGGTGGATTAAACATACTCTTTCCTTTATTGGAACAAATCAGCTACTTTAATGAAGGACAGATGGCTGAAGGAATGAATGAAAGCACAGTTCTTGAATTGATAGCACCCATAGAAGGAGAGTATATATTGGCCTCCACAAAAGCATCAGGTATAACACAAACTGATAATTAAGAAATTTCAATAAATCAAAATATTCTACAAATATTAATAGAAAAGTTAGCCAGTTGTAGTTCTAACAGGCACTCTGATTTAACAGATAATAGTTGAGGAAGTTTATATGTGTCAAAACACTGAAGATGATAGTTTTTCTCTTGAATACCCTTAATTAATTCTCTTAATGAAAACAGAATCACACTGTTAAATTAGTGGTAGGGAAAGTAGTTATGTATGCATGTAAGTATGCAGTATGCAATTGCTGCTTTTTGTTTCCACTGCACAAAATGAGCCTTGAAAAATCTACTGACCCATATTCCTTCTTGTTATAGTACGCATTATGATACAAAGAATCTTAAAAAAGTGATTAGAGTGATCATGATAAGTAATACTGTGTTCCTGTTTTTGTAGAGTCCAGACTAGAAAAAAATCTAGTTGCAACATTTATCTTGATTATGAAGCACTTTATTCAGAGACATCCTATCAACCAGGACAATCTTATTCAGTCCCATGGAGTTGCAACTCTTGGTGCCTTACTTCAGAAGGTAAACCAGCCTAACATAGTATTGCTGTAGCTGATGATTATAATTAGCAGTTAACATTTATTCTTTCTACCAAGTAAGTGTTATTGAAGATTACTGTTTTACCATCTATGTTATATTAGTTGATATAACTTGTCTCAAAGGAAGCATTTAAACTTTTATGGAATCATTATGTAAAATCACATTTAAGAGTATATGCTCTTTGATGTGTATACCCTTGCTTGCTACCTTCAATATTTGAGATATTTGAGAAATGTAGATTATTTTAGGAATATGACATTAGGAAAATATGTTCTAGTGTTACATCAGAAAGATTAATGATTGAGTTGTTTTTTGCCCAAGATTTTTATAGTTCTACATTTAGTAGATGTTCTGAATTATTTGAAATTATAGTTTAATGACAAGTACTTAAACTGAACAATTATTTTATGAAATTACCTTTGTTTGGTTTCAGGTGCCAGGCACCTTAATGGATGTTAATGTATTGATGGCAATTCAACTACTAATTGAACAAGTATCAGTAGAGAAAAATATGCCCCTGCTGCAGCAAATGTATCATTATTTACTCTTTGATTTCAATATTTGGAACCGTGGAGATTTTCCCTTTCGAATTGGTGAGAGGAAGCTGTTATATAAAATTTTATAGTTCTTTTAGAAGTCTATAACTACCTATGTAATTTTATTTTAGCTATATTATTTACAAGTGGACTTTCTGTTTTAGGTCATATACAATATCTTTCAACGATTATTAAAGATAGCAGGAGAGTTTTCCGAAAGAAGTATGGTGTGCAGTTCCTCCTAGATACACTTAGGATTTATTATGGGTATGGTATTCTTGCTTCTTCTTAGTTTGATGTATTGTTTTCTGCTTGCCTCTTGATAGAATGGGATTGGGTAAATGTTTCTCTTTATCAGCAATTCTAATACGTTTTATCTTCAGAGAAGTAGGATAGTGTGGAGGCTAAAATTTAGATGAACAATGTGTCTTATTTAGTAGGTTTGAATATTGGTTTCAATAATTGTATAGCTATAGACAAATTAATGAAATCCTTTGAGTTACTTCAGTTGTGAAAAGTACATTAAAACTGACCTCTTAATGTCACTTTGAGAATTGCATTAAATAAATCAGTAATATACAAAACCCACATATAGATATTTTGGCTTCATAGTTCTATTGTAAGCTATTTTAATATTAAAAAAAAATTAACAAGAGAAAGAAGCTAAGTGTAAAATATCTAGTAATTGTTGCATGGAAATATATTTTTTATGCTGTGAATTATATAAAAATACAAAAGTGTTCAAATTTCAAGTCCTACACTTCTTTTTTCTTTCAGATGTGGTTGTAAATATAATGAACTATCTCCAGATGATATTCGAACAATAAGGACTTCTTTATATGGATTAATTAAATATTTTCTGTGCAAAGGTGGAACTCATGAAGAAATACAAAGTATTATGGGTTACATAGCTGCTACTAATGAAGAAGAACAGGTATTGTATTTGAGATACATTTGGGTTTTCTTTTTAACTTTTAAATTTATAATCTCATAAATTTACATATTCAGTTCATTAGATGTAAGAATAAAAATTTAATATAATGCAGTATTACATAAGGAAGCAAATTTTACCTAATTTCTGAAAGTTTAATAAGTAGATGACATTGCAGTTTGGTTTTTTATTAGGTAGGAAATATGCATGTGAATCACTTTATTACTGTGACAAAAATTCTGAGAGGAACAATTTTTTTTGGTTGGTCCTGGGGCTTGAACTCAGGGCTTGAGTGTTGTTTCTGAGCTTTTATGCTCAAGGCTAGTGCTTTAAAACTTTGAGCCACAGTGCCACTTCTGGTTTTCTGGTGGTTAATTGAAGATAAGAGCCTTTTGGTGGGGAAACACTTCATATCTAAACATAATAGTTGCTTTGTCTGAAAGTTCTGAAGTCTATTTATGTGTGTATGTTCCAGTCCTGGGACTTGAACTCAAGGCTTGGGCACCATCCCTGAGCTTTTTTTTTTCTCCAGGCTAGTGCTCTACCACTTGAGCCACAGCACCACATGTGTTTTTTTCTTAGTAGTTTTTATGTTGAAGATAATAGTTTCATGGTTTTCCCTGCCCTATCTGGCTTCGAACAATGATCCTCAGATCTCAGCTTCCTGAGTAGCTAGGATTGCAAGTATGAGCCACCAGTGGCCTAAAGTCTATTTTTATAGTCCACTACTTTTATAGTGTGCTTACCTATTATTTGTTGGAGAGCTTATTATATGCCTAGAGTAATATTAAACATTCATGAGTCAATTTTCATACTTTTAGCATAACAGTGGTCAATAGGAAAGGTTTACAAATAATTGTGAAGGGGCTGGGAAGGTGGCTCAGTGGTAGAGCGCTTGCCTTGCATGCCTGAGGCCCTGGGTTCGATTCCTCAGCACCACATAAGCAAAAAGATAAAAGCCAGAAGTGGCGCTGTGGTTCAAGTGGTAGAGTGCTACCCTTGAGTTGAAGAGCTGAGGGACAGCGCCCAGGCCCTGAGTTTAGGCCCCACAACCGGACCCAAAAAAAAAAAAAACAACAAAAAAAACAAATAATTGTGAAACAAAAAAGTATTATCTACATAGGAGATATAAGTCCTATGACATTTTTTTTTTTTTTGTTGGTCCTGGGGCTTGAACTCAGGGCCTGGGCGCTGTCCCTCAGCTCTTCAGCTCAAGGCGAGCGCTCTACCACTTGAGCTACAGCGCCACTTCCGGTTTTCTGGTGGTTTATTGGAGTTAGGAGTCTCACAGTCTCTCCTGCCCGGGCTGACTTTGAACCGCGATCCTCAGATCTCAGCCTCCTGAGTAGCTAGGATTACAGGCGTGAGCCACCAGCGCCCAGCGCCTATGACATTTTTATAACCATTTTACATGTTTAGTTGTCTAGGGAATACCATGGAAGAGGTACCTGTTAATATGGACAATGTAGGATAGGTATAGTTTCAACACATGTTGAATATTGAATGTGTGGCGCTATGCAAAACGAAGTGAGCAAGCCAAAAATGTATTGAAGGGGAAAAGCAGGACTGGTGTAGAAAACATTACACATAGTGGGTAACACTGTTTAAAAAGAAACGTACTCATTACCTTACTTATGTAAGTATAACTCCCCCTGTTTATCACTTTTACAATAAATTAAAAAAAATCACCCAGTTCAGTTAACATAAAACATTAGGATGTATAGAACTTAAATATTCTTTTATGGTTTATGTATTTTTGGTTATATTCATAAATACAGTTCTTTGTTTCTTGTTTAACTTTAAAAGCTCTTTGGAATTTTGGATGTAGTCTTTTGTCTACTACGTACCAGCCCAACTAGAGGACAGCTTTTCTTACTGCTGTTTGAACCAGGAAATGCTGATATACTTTATGCCTTGCTGTTAAATCAGAAGTATTCGGACAAATTAAGAGAAATCATTTTTAAGGTATAAATATAAGTATCTTAAGTTTTGGGAAATTTAAGTATATATGAATTTGCTTGGAACATGTCCATTCTCTTAACAAGGATTCTTTGGTGTGGTAGTGCATGTGCGCACATGTGTGTGTGTGTGTGTCTGTGTGTCTGCGTGTCTGTGTATGCCTGCCAGTACTGTGGTTTGAACTCAGGGCCTCATGCTGTCTCGTACCTTTTTTGCTCATGGTTGGTGCTGTATCTCGAGTCACACCTTCAGTTCCAGCTTTTTTTGGGATGGTTGACTAGAATTAAGGGTCCTATTGATTTGTCTCCCTAGGCTAGGTCCTCAGATCTCAGCTTCCTGCGTAGGCATGTGCCTAATAATACCTATTTCTAATTTTTTTTTTTTTTTTTTGCACGTAATGGGGCTTGAACTCTGGGCTTGGGCGCTATCCCTGCACTCTTCAGTTCCAGGCGGGCGCTCTATGGCTTGAGCCACAGCATCACTTCCGGTTTTCTAATGGTTAATTGGAGATAAGAGTCTCACAGTCTTTCCTGCCCAGGCTGGAACCTTGATCATCAGATCTCAGCCTCCTGAGTAGCTAGGATTACAGATGTAAACCACCAGTGCCCAGCTGTTCAGTTTGTTTTGATACATTCTTTTCATGTTAATTGTTTGCATACTTTAGAACTATATTGTGGGCTGGGGATATAGCTCAGTGTTGAGTGTTTCCTTAGCATGTTCAAGGCCTACATGGATCCCTGTGATAAATCATCTCAGTGGAATAGTCACATTATCATACCATCCTCAATATAAAAATTATCAATGTTTTAAAAAAGAAACAAGGTTTCTTAATGGAGATTAAATTGTTTTTTTTCCACCAAACCTTTCAGAGGTAGTTTATGATATTCTGATGAGGTTTTATTATCTGTCTTAAAATTTTTTATCTCTGCCCTAAAACTATGGGACTGCTAATTCATTCTTCCTTATTTTAGCATATGGATTACTGAGTTGGTACAGAGATATTTTCTTGTTTATGAAAATTTGATAACTGTTGGATAAATAGATTGACCCAAGTGTGTTTCTATACTTTTGTTCCTAATATATGTAATTTATATAATCTGTGTCATATTTAAAGTTTCAAATATTTCTTCAAATATAGGTACACTTAATTTTAATTTATTCTCAGATTAATTTATAATGATTTTATTTATTTATTTGTTGGTCATGGGGCCTGAACTCTGGACCTGGGCACGCTACTTTGGGCTTTTTCTGCTTATGTGGTGCTGAGGAATTGAACCCAGGGCCTCATGCATGCAAGGCAAGCACTCTACCACTGAGCCACCTTCCCAGTCCCTCTAATGATTATATATTAATATAGCATTCTTCCCTATTAGTGCACAAGTGGGTATTCTTTTGTTGTTTTGTTTTGCATAACTTGGGTTTGAACCCAGTGCCGTGCAGATGCTAGACAAGCATTTTACCACTGATTTATATCCTCAGCCCTGATTTTTTCAGTCAAGATCTTGCTTTGGAACTTAGGTTAGCCTTGAACTCTTCCTTCTGTCTTGATTTTACAAATGCTATGATTACAGGCATCTGCCACCATGCCCAATTCATTTATTTTTATAATTAAGAAATAAAATGATTCTCAAGAAAACAATAAACAGGAATATATCATTCAATATTGACCTAAATGAAACACTGTTCTTTGTCCTCTGCACTGAAAAGACTATATTACTTGTGACCAGGTTATGGAACAAATGTTGAAATGCACAAATGTGTATGAACGAAGTAAACAACGTATTCGACTTAGAGAAGTTGGCTACTCAGGATTGGGACTCCTTCTTAATGAATCACTCATTAATACTGCTCTAATTAAAAATCTTACCAATCAAATCATAAATACAGGTATGATTAAGACTTATAATACTATATTTAAGATTTTTTTTTCCCCTAGAAGACAACCTTTCTCAGGAGGTTTGATTCAGCAGGTCTTCCTTAGGTATTATTTCTTTACTTGATTTTTGTCTTTTTTTTTTTTTTTTTTGTCTCTCCAGGTCACATGCCATATTGCCTTATTCAGTAACTGTTTAGCAACTCAGTGACTAAGTTAATAGTTTAATTCATGAACAAGAGAAGGATAGTAAAGAAATATGTACAAAAGATTCTTTTTTTCAAAAGAGCTTTAAATTTTTAAAGGCAAAATGAAAGCTAATTATCTGAAATTAGTTTTATTTTATTTTATACTTTATTATTTTAAGTTACCATTTTATTTTACTTTATTTCCCTTTTTTGTTTGAGATAGGGTCTCAGTAGGTAGCTCAGAATCCCCTCAAATTCATACTCTTCCTGCGTCAGTGTTCCAAGTACTGGGATTGCAGGTGTATGTTACCACATTTAACTCTAATTTTTTAGTAATGAGTTGGGTTTTTTTTTTATTTGTTTTTTTCAATGACAGCCCTGGGGCTTAAACTTAGGGCTGGGACACAGTCTCTAAGCTTTTGTGTTCAAGGCAGTGATCCACCATTCTGCCTTTTTTGTGGCTATTTAGAGATAAGAGTCTCACCGACATTCCTGCCTAGGCTGGCTTCATACTTTGATCCTCAAATTTCAGACTCCTAAGTAACTAGTATTACAGGTGTGAGTCACTTGTGCCTGACTATTGTAAGTTTTTATCAGTGTTTAGAACTAACTAGAATTTATAATAGATACTGGGTGTGGCTGTCACATTTTATGTCATACTAGATATGATAAAAGATTTTTTACCCGGGCACCGGTGGCTCATGCCTGTAGCTACGCAGGAGGCTGAGATCTGACGATCACAGTTCAAAGCCAGCCCAGGCAGGAAAGTCCAAGAGACTTTTATGTCCAATAAACCACTAGAAAACCGGAAATGATGCTTTGGCTCAAGCAGTAGAGCACTTGCCTTAAGCTGAACAGCACAGGGACAGCGCCCAGGTGCAGAGTTCAAGCCCACGACCGGGAAAAAAAAAAAAAAGAGAGAGAGAGATTCTTTGTTTTGAGTAGTTTATCAAGTATCATTGATTACTTGTGTCTTTTTTTTTTTTTTTAATGTGGTGGTAGTGATTAAACACAGGGCCTGGCACATGCTTGGAAAGTGCTTTACCAAGTGATTTACTTTTCCAACCCTGAGTGTCTTGATAACAAAGCTAATGTTTTATGCACCTTGGATCTCCCAAGCCTATTAAAGTTCCAGTTTCATCAAGGCATTTAAAAGAGTAGGCACTAAAAGAGTAATAATAGTATTAGTGTCATGCAGTAGTGATAGTATGTTCAGATAATGTAAAGTAAACAAATTATTTGAGATTGTCTTAAGAAATCAAATTATCTTGTAAAATTTGAACATACCTAGAGTTCTTATTTTAGTGAATCAGTTATTTTGACATGTATATAAGCAGTACCCACAGTTCTTTCTTTCACTGTCAGTGAAATTAAATTTAATTTTTTGCTTCTTCCCAATATAGATCCTGTTATTAATTTCAAGGATCTGCTATCTGTTGTATATATATCACACAGAACATATATAAATGTCAGAGTGGTTCTCTGCAGAAAGGTTAGTAAACTTTCATCATACTGCAAATACTTTTGTATTCAGTAGCTTGTAGCACAGAGGTTTTAATTTTGCTTATGGTGTATACCATCATATACTCTATGATTTCTGTCTGAGTAAATTAATAGCAGGTGTAGCACAGAGGTTTTAATTTTGCTTATGATGTATACCATCATATACTTTATGATTTCTGTTTGAGTAAATTAATAACAGGTGTATATTGACAGATAGATGATCATCTTTACTTTTCCTTTTTTTTTTTTTAATCTTTCAGCATACATCTTAAATGCATCCTTTTTTTTTTTTTTTTTGTCGGTTGTGGGGCCTGAATTCTGGGCCTGGGTGCTGTCTCTCAGCTCTTCAGCTCAAGGCTAGCGTTCTATCACTTGAGCCACAGTGCCACTTCTGGCTTTTTCTGTTTATGTGGTGCTGAGGAATTGAACCCTGGGCCTCATGCATGCAAGGCAAGCACTCTACCACTAAGCCACCTTCCCAGCCCTTAAATACATCCTTAATCTATATGAGTAACATGCAGATAAAACATCCAATCCTTGAAAAAATGTTACAATATAGTTTAGAATGGAAGATTTTGTTTTGTTTTTTATTTTTTTTGGTTCGGTCGTGGGGCCTGAACTCTGGGCCTGGGCACTGTTCCTCAGCTTTTCAGCTCAAGGCTAGCACTGTACCATTTGAGCCACAGCAACACTTCTGACTTTTTTTTTCTTCTGCTTTTGTGGTGCTGAGGAATCGAACCCAGGGCCTCATGCATGCAAGGCAAGTGCTGCACCACTGAGCCATCTTCCCAGCCCAAGAATGGAAGATTTTGATAGCATATTATTCCATCTTTTTTTTTATTACTTTGTTATTATAATATCTGAGAAGAGAACAGTTGATTTAAAGTACTATATACTTTTTGAAGGATTCTTGTTCTTAATCTATTTACAGATTTTACAGATACTGAAGACTCAGCCAGATGCAGCATATCAGATATCACAACAAGTGGGTTGGCAAGATACTTTGGTCAGACTTTTTTTAAAAGCAGATTTTAAAAATGGAAATTTTCTTCATAAACATTGTAGGAGTGTTTTAATGAAAGAAAATAAAAGTCCATCTGGTGAAGATACTAATGGTAACTTTGAAAAAACAGATGAAGAAAAATTCAACTCTTTTACCTCAGCTAATATGTCTTCAGATTATTGGAGCACTGAGGATAAACACTCTCTAGATTTAAACACACCATTATTTCAAGAAGATAGTTCTGTGGGAGAACTGTCATTCAAATCAGATAATCAAGAAGAATTCTGGCACAGTAACCCTTCACATTTGAGTTTAGATCTTACTGGAATTGACTCTTGTGAACCGAGTGATAGTAGAAGCCAAATGGCAGACAGCCTACCTAGCACGCCATCTCCCATAGAGTCTAGTAAGTCATTTCCTGTGCAGTCTGACAAAGAAGGTAGCATCACCAACGATAGCGGCTTTAGTGATGACTTCTCTTTACTGGAAAACCAGGAGGTAAAATTGCTTGTTTTTCAAATAATGCTTTAATTTTCATATGTCCTTTATATATACTTTGAATCAACAATATGTAAACACATTAATAATTTCATATTCATGTTCTAAGTCTCATAATCTAAGGTTTAGAGGCCTAATTACTTGTATGTGTGTGTGTGTGTGTGTGTTTTTTATGTGGTGGTAATGATTAAACACAGAACCTGGCACATGCTTGGAAAAGTACTTTACCAGTGATTTACATTTCCAGCCTGTGAGTGTCTTGATAACAAAGCCAATGTTTTATGTGCCTTGGATCTCCAGAGCCTATTAAAGTTCCAGTTTCATCAAGGCATTTAAAAAATATAGCACACTGTTAGTACATGTGATGATAGTTCTTAGGATATGCTTTCTTATTCAATAATTCATTTTTATTTTCTTTTTTATAGAGATGTGAGGAAGAACTTATTCAATTGCTGACAAGTATTTTGAATTACATAATGTGTAAGGGACTAGAAAAGTCTGATGATGATACTTGGATTGAAAGAGGACAAGTGTTTTCAGCACTGACGAAACCAGGAATATCTAGTGAGCTACTTCGACCATCAGATGAAATAAAACTAATGTAAGCATTCACTTAGTGATTTTTAATCTTCCTTTTGGAATTGTCAGGAGACTAAATTGGTATTGGTTATTGAATACATATGTAGGATTAAGTGGACAGGGGGAAACAAATTATGCTTGATTCCTTTTCCTATGTTTTATTATTCTAGTAAAATCTAGAAAGAAATAAAAATCTGAGATTTAAATAAAATTTGAGTTGTAAATTATTTCATATTTCTTATTTTAAATTATTTTCTGCAGTATCTTAGGACTTGATGGGATAAAATTAGTATTGTCATAAACATTTCTGAAGTATTTAGGGTTCCCTATAGATAATGGAACTGTAATAAGAGTATATCAAGAATGAATTAACTTACTTGTTTTTCTTCAAATTCTAAGGCAGAAGGCAATTCTTAAAGCAATTCTTGCTCATTTCTAAGTTTTTCTCATTCATAACTGGCATTCTACCTCTTGAGCCACACCTCCAGTTCCAATTTTTTTTTTCTGGTCATGGGGCTTAAACTCTGGGCCTGGCTTTCCCTCAGCTCTTCAGCTCAAGGCTAGCTCTCTACCACTTGAGCCAAAGCATCACTTCCAGTTTTCTGGTGATTAATTGGAGATAACAGTCTCATGGACTTTCCTGCTGTGGCTGGCTTTGAACCGTGATCCTCAACTCTCAGCCTCCTGAGTAGCTAGGATTACAGGCATGAGCCCTCAGCGCCTGGCTTCAGTTCCAACATTTCGGTGGTTAATTAGAGATAAGAGTTTGGGGTTTGCCAAATTGATACGAAACATTGATCTTCAGATCTCAATCTTCTGAGTACCTAGGATTATAGACATCAGCCACTGGTACCCAGCTAATTTCTGAATTTTTTTTTTTTTTTGTGTGTGTGAAAATACTGTACAGAGGGGTTACAATTACATGGGCAAGATAATGAGTACATTTCTTATCAAGCATAGTAGCCTCCTCCTTTGTTTCCCCTTCTAATTTCTGAATTTTTTTTTTTGTTTTTTTATTTTTGTTTTTTTTTGGGTCCGGTCATGGGGCCTGAACTCTGGGCCTGGGCGCTGTCCCTCAGCATTCCAGCTCAAGGCTAGCACTCTACCACTTGAGCCACAGCGCCACTTCCGGCTTTTTTCTTTTTGCTTATGTGGTGCTGAGGAATTGAACCCAGGGCCTCAGGCATGCAAGGCAAGTGCTCTACCATTGAGCCACCTTCCCAGCCCCTAATTTCTGAATTTTTAAAGAAACTATTTTTAGTATTTAATGGAAAATAGAGTATGAGTTATTGTCATAGCCTTTTAATATTCTTCCAGATCAGTTAACTTTGACTTTTAATGTATTTTGAAGATAAGGTGCTCCAAACATTAAAAAGTCAGTCTATTATTATTAAATTTAATAAACAACTTTCAGTTATATCTACTAATGTATTATTGGAGATAGAAGACTGCTAGTAAATAGTTGTCAATGTTCCTTTTCTTTCATGTTTTAATGACTTTCTAGGCATACTGTGTTTTTTTTAATTTTATTTTTAAGTAGTTATACAAATAGTTGCCATTCAACAAAGTAGTATAAGAATGCAATGAATCTTGATCATTGTCACCCCTTTCATCATTCTCTGCTTTCAACCTCACCTTCATAAAGTGGTTTTTAAAAGGATTTTTGTTTTATATTTAGTTTGCTACAGAAAATGTTAGAGTGGGCAGTCACAGAAAACAGAGAAGCAAAATTTAATCTGATAACTGCTGAAAATGCCTTCCGACTTACACTGATCATACAAGACTTTCTATACTCTGAGGGACTAGTCAATTCAAACATGTGGGCTGAGAAGGTTAGTGATATTCCCTTTGAGTTTTTAGAAGTCAGTTTGACTCTTTAGAGCAGTAATACTTAATCGGATGCAGTTAAACATGGATAAGATGATGACTCGCCACAGATTTTGTTTGGTACTACAAAATTCTTTTGACTTTTGTAAACTAGACTTTGGACTAGCTTTGAAATATTTGTGATTTGTATTGGTGTTGGGGAAATTTCATCAGTACATCTAAAAACTGGATGTTCTATTTCTCAATTTTTCTCTTCTGATAGCTGTTAGAGGATATCATGCTACTCTTCGACTGTCTGTCATTATGGTATTCTGAGAGTCCAGTATGGGTAAAACTCTCTCAAATTCAGATCCAGTTGCTTTTGGGATTCATTGAAAAGGGAAGTTTGCAGGTTGGTCATTTATTTTATTTTCTGTACTTGGATACAGTATAGTTATTATGTACTAATTAGTTGATAATGCTTTTTAGAACTTTGTTTTATTGGTTCTCAAAATATTCATATATCCATGACTTTACCTAAAATTTTAATCTTGTGAGATTAGAAAGGAGTGTAGGAGGCAGTTAATTCTTCCTCATATTTATGACTTCATATACTTTTTTTGTGTGTGCCAGTATTGGGGCTTGAACTCAGAGTCTAGTGCTGTAGCCTTAGCTTTTTCTCTCAAGGCTGGTGTTCTACCACTTGAGCCACAGTTCTACTTCTGGCTTTTAGTGGATAATTGGAGATAAGAGGCACAGGGACTTTTCCTACTTATGCTGGCTTCAAACCTCTATCCTCATATCACAGCTTCCTCACTAGCTAGGATTATAGGCATGAACCATTGGCATCCAGCCAAACTTCATGTACTTTTAAGGATTCCTTTTATAGCATTTATTCACAGCTTATACTAGAAACATTACTCAATAGCATCTATATTTAGTTTAGCTTGTTAGGTGCTAGATAAACCATATAGACTAAATATGTACAGTTTAGGGTTTACATTTTTCTAAAATACTCCTTTCAGATTTGCAGGGAAATGGATGGACCTTGAAAAAATTATGTTAAGTAAAGTAAGTCAGGCTTTGTCTCTCAAGAGAGACAAAAGGTACATGCACGTTTGCTCTCAGATGTGGAAGTTAGATTTCAATTGTAAACATATATGAAGACATATACAAGTTCAGATTCATATACACACAAACATATTGACTAAAGTATGGTATATGCAGGGGAGGATTGCAGTGTTGTAACTCCTTTGAACAACTAACTTACAGTTTAACAGAATGAATAACAGAAAGCTGAAACATGTTGTTGGGAAGAAGGATAAAGGTAGGGAGTGGGGTGGGGGCAGAAAAATGGAGAGAGGAGGGTTAGGTGAAGACATTGGTGATATTTAGTACACATGTGGAATTCAGTGGGGATGGGTAGGGTTGGAAGAGATGGGGAGAAAATGGAAGGTGTAACATTGATCAAGATTCATTGTGCTCATAAACTGACATGCTGAATTGAAACCCCTTGTACAACCACTTAAAGATCATTTAAAAATTATTTAAAAAATTAAAACATAAGCCAGGCATTGGTGGCTCATGCTTATAATCCTAGCTACTCAGGAGACTGAAATCTGAGACTGATGGTTTAAAGCCAGCCCAAGCAAAAAAGTCTGTGAGACTCTTACCTCCAATGAACCATCAAAAAAGCTAAAGTGGAACTGAGGTTCAAGTGGTAGAGAGATAGCCTTGATGCTCAGGGACAGTGGCCAGGCCCTGAGTTTAAGCCCTAGGACTGGCACAAAACAATAAAAATAAAACATGAAAGAAAATTCAGGTATCCTGTGGTTGGTGCTCCTCTCTAAGCAGTCTTTGTGCAAGTTCATATGATGATAATATTGCTTCGACCATTCCTGTAGCTCTATGCTTTTGACTCAAGACGCTATGGAAACTTGACAGGCTAACTTAATATCTTAGCAATAAGGTAAGATGGGACCTTTCATGATTATTGACAATTATTATATCAGAATTCTGAACTTGAAGAGTGACACAGAACCTGTGCTATCATTAACTATTTTAGTGTGCTTTTCTTATCTTGTCTGTTTTCTTCTAGGTTTGTGCAATGGCATCAGCTAAGCTAAATACCCTTCTTCAGACTAAAGTGATTGAAAATCAGGATGAAGCATGTTACATTTTAGGAAAGCTAGAACATGTTCTCAGTCAGTCAATCAAAGAACAAACTGAAATGTATTCATTTCTGATTCCCCTTGTTCGTACTCTGGTTTCAAAAATTTATGAGCTTCTCTTCATGAACTTGCACCTACCTTCTTTACCTTTTACCAATGGTAGTTCCTCATTTTTTGAAGATTTTCAAGATTATTGCAGTTCAAATGAATGGCAAGTTTACATTGAGAAATATGTAAGTTTCATCTTTTTGAGCAAAATTTTTCTACAACATCAGTTTTTTAGATGTGTATATAAAATTCTGTGTTCTTTTTTTTAAATAAGATTGTACCTTACATGAAGCAGTATGAAACACATACATTTTATGATGGTCATGAAAACATGGCACTTTATTGGAAGAATTGTTATGAATCCTTAATGGTGAATATGCATAAACGAGATCGAGAAGGAGGGGAAAGCAAGCTCAAATTTCAGGTAAAAAATATTAAATGTTGGGGTGGGAATGTGGCTTAGTGGTAGAATGCTTGCCTGGCATGCATGAAGCCCTTGGTTCTGTTCCTCAGTACCACATAAACAGAAAGAGCTGGAAATGACTCTGTGGCTCAAGTGGAAGAGTGTTAGCCTTGAGCAGAAGAAGCTCAGGGACAGTGCCCAGGCCCTGGCAAAAAAAAAAAAAAAAGTTTTAAAATTAAACCTTTCATGTTGATTTCAAGCATTTAATATTTAAATGATAGTAATATCAACACTGAAATTTGGAAACAAATCTGTCTGAGAATTATTTGAGAGTTAGAAGAAAAAATAACAGATGAGTACCAGTTGAATAAATTGAATGTAACATTCTAAATGTAGTGATTATATAAGAAGTCTACTAAGGCAAAAATCCATTAGGAGCTATATTTAAGGAGGCTGGATGCACGTTTGTACTTAAAAGGAAATTTATAGTACATATGCATATAGTAGAAAAAACGGCTTCAAAAATTTTGTTTCTACTTTTAGATACAACAAACAGAAAATTAATTTAATAACAATAAACATAGATAAGAAATTAACAAAGATGTGAACTAAGATGAAATTCAAAGGAGGAAAACAATAAACTGGCTCTTCATGTTAGTAAAACTGATGAACATTCTAGCTAATGGACACAGCAAAACAAGAGAAATTTAAGTTCAGAAATTTAAGATGCAATATTATTACTGATTCCATAGATATCAATATCTTAATATAAACTATTATAAGCTACTCTATGCATATAAATTTAACAACTTTTTTTTTAAATCTTAGTGGCTTGGGGTTTGAACAAATGAATTTGGCCTTACACTTACTAGGCAGGTATTGTATAACTTGAACCACACACCCCTAGTTCTTTTTGCTTAAATTATTTTTCAGGGAGAGTTTTGTTTTTGCCTGGGGCCAGCTTTAGCTTACACCTACTTCACCTCCTGAATAGCTGAGGTCACAGGCACATGTAACCACATGCTGCTGTTGGTTAAGATGGGATCTTACTTCTCTGCCTGGTGGGTAGACAAATCTAAGAGACCTTATTCCTAATTAACTAGTAAAAAGCTGGAAGTAGAGAGGGCTCAACTGGTAGATTGCCACCTGAGCGCACTAACAGCTGAATATGAGTGTAAGACCCTGAGTTCAGGCCCCAGTACTAGCAGGAAAAAGGAGAAGGAGTCTCACTAGCTTTTTACATTGGCTGGTCTTGAAGGTCAGTCCTTCAGATCCTAGCCACTGGAGTAGCTGGACTTTCAGGCATGGGTTATACACTTCTCCAAAATCTGACAAGGTATCATTTACTTGACATAGAAATAAGTACATATATTAGATAATCCTAAATCTATGAAAGAAGCTCAGTTTATAGACCTTCCAAAATAGAAAACTCCCAGCCCATTTGGTTTCATGGACAAATTCTATCAAATATTGATGGAGAAGTTTTTCTTCAGAAAATAGAAAAGTAAAAATATTTTCCAACTTATTATATGAACGCAGTGTTATATACCCTCATACTCATGCTATACAAACATAGTACAAGAAAATTGTAGACTAGCAGTCCCTCAGGCTGTCCCTCTGGCAAGCCGGAGACACTTAGAGATACCAAGTCTAGAAAGAAAAGGAGGAGGGGCTGGGAAGATGGCTCAGTTGTAGAGCACTTGCCTTGCATGCCTGAGGCCCTGGGTTCGATTCCTCAGCACCACATAAGAAAAAAGAAAAAAGCCGGAAGTGGCGCTGTGGCTCAAGTGGTAGAGCGCTAGCCTTGAGCTGAAGAGCTGAGGGACAGCACCCAGGCCCAGAGTTCAGGCCCCACGACCGGACCCAAAAAAAAAAAAGAAAGAAAGAAAAGGAGAGGATAATGGAAAAGGAGGCAGGAAGACTATATTATCATATCAGTACTTGAAGAAAAAGAACTTCACAGAATTTAACATGCAAGCTTAACTTCTACAAAAATCCCACAGCTAGATTCATACCACATACAGAGGGAGGTTTTGAGAAGAATGTAAATTCTCAGGAGTAAAGGTGTTAAATGAAGACCCAAGCTGCTTTCAGCTAGATAACTCATCAAAGAAGAATATTAAAGATATATTTTAGGGCAAAAGTAAAAAATGAATTCAAGATGTTAAAGTATAGAACAACCAGCAAAGTTATTGACATAATCATAATTAACTCTCTAGCAGAAGAATCATTTCTGTCTGAAATCCGAAAGAACATCTGTTGATGTCACCAGTTTCGTCCATGTTCTAATGAACAGTAGATCTTCTGCCAACTAGAACAGTTCGGAGACTGTTAGATGTTTTTCTACTTATGACTTAGTACTGTGTGGCTTTTCTTTCAGGAATTTTTTGTGGAGCCATTTAATCGAAAAGCACGCCAAGAGAACTTGAGGTATAATAATATGCTTAAACAACTTAACAGCCAACAGTTGGCTACTCTTAGATGCTGGAAGGCAGTGCGGCTCTATATCACAGGCGAAAGAGGTCCTTGGGCGGAAAGGTAGGATCTTATTTGTTAATAATTACTTTTTCTTTAAAATTCTGTAGAACTCTGTGTATGTGTGTGAGTGTGTGTGTGTGTGTGTGTGTCTGTCTGATACTAGGGTTTGACCTCGGGACCTTGTGCCTGCTAGGTAGATGCTTTACCACTTGATTATTTTTTTTCTGAGTAGAGTTTTGTTTTATACCCTGGCGGGCCTGGACTTCAATCCACTTGTGATTCTCCTGTAACTGGGAGACATGTGTACAACTGCATCCATCTTTTTATTGGTTGAAATGGGATCTTTCAAGTTTTTGTTTAGGCTAGCCTCAAACTATCATCCTCCTGATCTCAGCCTCCTGGGTAGCTAAGACTATAGATGTGAGTTACATAGCACCTGGCTGAGCCTAGAACTTTTAAACCAGTTCTCTCATTTCCTCCCCAACCCCCCACCCCACCTTTTTTTTTCTTTGTTTGGCTGCCAGAATATAAATCCAGGACCTGTGCATGCTGGGCAAATGCTCTATTACTTGAGCCATGTCCACAGCCCTTCATTCCAATGTTTTTTTTGTTTTGTTTTGCTTTGTTTTGTTTTTTTGCTAGTCCTGGAGCTTGAACTTAGAGCCTGGGCACTGTCCCTGAGATTCTTTCGCTCTAGGCTAGCACTATATTGCTTGACCACAGTGCCATTTCTGGCTTTTTCTGTTTATGTGGTACTGAGGAATCAAACCCAGGGCTTCATGCATGCTAGGCAAGCACTCTACCACATTCCCAGCCCTTCATTCCAATTTTTAAAGAGTACTTTTAATATTATTAATATTATTGCATCTTTGTGGCAGAGGTATTTATGGTAATTAAGAACTTCATTGAACGGTGAATAGTGAAGGTATCAAGCCTGAAATGTAAAAGTCCCTGTTTAAATCTTTTTTTTTTCTTGTTTAAATATAATTGTCAGAACCATGTTTATTAAAATTAGAAGTAGCTTTTAAGGGTATTTGCTTCCATGATTTTTTTTTTTACTTTCTGTAGGCCTTGTACAAATAATTTAATTCAATACAGGATCTTCATGCATAAACTATAGGAAGCTACACAAACTCATTTTAATTCTCTCATGGTGGCTTGGTCAAATGAGATAATAAATGTGAACAAATATAATATACTGGCTACAGTATTTTAACCAACTAATCTTTGTAACTCTAAGCTAAGTAATTTTACTTGTTTGATTATAAATATTCTAAATATTTTTAGGAAACAGACTCCAATTCACTGGAAACTAGCTAATGTAGAAAATTATTCCCGCATGAGACTCAAACTGATGCCAAATTATAATTTCAAAACACATGAAGAAGCTAGTGCCTTAAGAGATAATTTTGGTGAGTTCCAATAACTGTGTGGTTATTTATTAAAGGTAAGGTATTACAGGGATAGGAATTAAGGTCTTAGTAATTTTTAAATATTTACTTATGAAGGAAGAGTAGCATTTTAAAACTGGTTTTTAAATGGTATGGTTGTATATATTCAATGCTGTTACATTTGACCTAAATCTAAGATGACTGCATATTTCCATTGGTTATAAGCTTTCAAAGAAATTTTTTTTTGCATTGCAATTTTTTTAATTAAGTTTTTTATTGTGAAAATACTGTACAGAGGGGTTACAGTTACATAAGCAGAAAAAATATTTTAGTTACAAAGTTTACTGTAGTTTAAATCAAGCTGTCTATTATAGTGGAATGATATCCTCCTTTAGACTGTTATTAAAAAACTAGACTTCTTAGTAATCTTTTAGTCTTTTATAATGTTTTTAAATAACTCTAGGCTGTTAGTATTTTAGGTGAGCCAGTGCCTTCTTCTAGAAAAATGTATTTTAATAGCAATATTTCAAAAACAGATGTCAAGGGATTTGTGTAGGTTGGTAGATGTTTGTGATGCCATTGTGATGTCATATACAAATGTGTATATATACACACATATATCATGGTATATATATGTTATATATCATGGTATATACATATGTATACACCATATATATGAATATATATGTGTATTTTACCACAGTCACTTCTACATTCTGTGCTCCATGACAGTGTTATTGGTGAACGGAGTTCCAACTTTTCCATTTTTAAATTTTATATGTTGGCCAATATATTTAATACCATAAAATTAATTAAGGAAGCCATATACCTCCTATTTAGGGTCTTATATTCTAAAATAATTCAAAGATAGTGTTATTCTTTAACACAGAATAATATCCCTGTTGATAATACAATCACTGTGTTTGTAAATATTGTATATATGCAATATTTCCATTCCTACAAAATGTTTTGCTCATAATATATAAATTGCATATATGTATCAGAATTAATTACCTATAGGTTACTGTATGCTTCAAAAATAAACATTTCTGTTCTTACTTTATGATTATCTGCTAGTTAAAAACAATTTGTCATGTTCTTCCTTAGGATTTCTTTTCTTTCTTTTTTTTTTTGTCTGTCACAGGGCTTGAACTCTGGGCCTGGGCACTGTCCCTGAGCTCTTCCGCTCAAGGCAAGTGTTCTACCACTTGCCACTACCACAGCACCACTTCTAGTTTTTGGTTGGTTTAATTGGAAATAAGAGTCTCATGGACTTTCCTGTCTGGGTTGGCTTTGAACTGTGATCCTCAGATCTCAGCCTCCTGAGTAGCTAGGATTACAGACGTGAGCCACTTGCGCCTGGCTAGGATTTCTTTAGTACAAATGCACAACAAAAAGTTTTACTACATTAATACATTGAAAATGATTATTTCTTTGACTTAATTATTGGTATTTTAGAATTTGTGTAATTATATGTGATTAATGGAGTTGTATTATTCAACTTCATAAAATCAGTCTTTACTCGTTTTAGACTTTTTAATAGAAACAAAAGGAGACTGTCACTAAAAATAGTTACCTACCATAGTTTAGAAACTTTCCTTGACCACATGTACAAAATTACTATCAAATCAATCATGGTGGCTCAAATCTCAAATCATCCCTCCTCAGGAGACTGAGATCTGGAGGTTATAGTTCAAAGCCAGCCTAGGCAGGAAACTCTTTTAAAATTAACCATCCAAAAGCTGGAGGTGGACCCACATGTGACTCACCTGGTAGAGCACTAGCTTTTACCAAATAAGCTCAGAGACAGTGTCCAGGTCTTGGGTATAAGCCTTGGGACCTGAACAAAAAGCGTCTCTATCCAACATCATCTAATTCAAAGTACTATCTTGACTTGTAAAACACATCTATGATCATTATGTAATTAACAGTCAGAAATTATAGAGGACTATAGTATTATTTTTTTGTTTAATAGATATTTTGTGTTTGAACAGGTGTCCAACAGTCACAACCTTCCAGTGATTCGTTGCTTTTGGAAGCAGTAAAACAAGTTAAAGTTAGTGATTTGGAGGAGGATAAATTAGAACTTCTTGAAGAAGACTTAACAGCCAAAGTATATATGTATGTATAAGTATTGGAAAGAGTTTAAAATTGTTTTAAGAAATAGGATTTTGGATTAGCTTGAAATTCTAACGTATATTTCCAATGTTCAGGATTTAATTCCATGTCAGCTTTTAGAAGTCATCAGTGTTTACTGAAATTATCAAGCAAGGTTTTCAAACTGGTGTCACTTAGAGTTTGTCCCTGAAATAAGAAAATATTTTTTTCAACAAAAAATAAGTGGAGGTTTATGCCTGTGATCCTACCTACTCAGAAGGCTGAGATCTGAGGACTGCAGTTGAAAGACTCAAATCACCAGAATTGAAGCTGTGGAACTGTGGTTCCCTCAGACTCTCACAAAATACCAAACGAAAAACAAGATATCAAATTGGTGAGATCCAGATAAGGCTTATTTAGATAGTATAGGGCCTAAGTGTAGCTCACTGGTATAGTACCTACCAAATATGCACAAAATCTTATATTTGACCTCTGTCATATAAAAAAAAAGTCAAAAAAAAAAGATTAAAAACTATGAAAGAAAAATGAGGCAGAAAAAAAGGATTAAGGAATGGAAAACCATTAAAAAATAAACAAAAAGCAAGAAACATAAGCCTCTGGCCAGGCTATTTAGGAACAAAAGGCAGCAGTAATCAGTCTCAGGAATGAAAAAAGAAATATCACCACCAATATTAAAATGATTAAAAGGGAAAGTATTCTTTTTCAATGCTTTCATGACAGTAAATTTCATAATGTAAATGAACAAATTCTTTGACATACAAATTACCAAACCTCCCTCAGGAAGAAGTAGATACTTGTATAGCTTTAGATATATTTTTCAAATTTGAGTTAATAGCTTTAAATGTTCACTCATGCAAATATAAAATATATTATTTTCTCATCTCTGTTTCTGTTTTCATGTATATTACAGTTACATTTGTCATATAATTACTAAACTTAGTAACTGATTATCATCTTCCGTCATATATTGGCTTTCAGACATAAGGCTTTCATGTTTTTGGTGAGGGGGTTGCTAGGATTTGAACTCGAGGTTTTGCATTTTCTAGGCAGGCATTCTTCCATTTGAGTCTCACACACACACACACACACACATACACACACACACACACACACACACACACACATCATGTTTTTGGTGAGGGGGTTGCTAGGATTTGAACTCGAGGTTTTGCATTTTCTAGGCAGGCATTCTTCCATTTGAGACACACACACACACACACACACACACACACAAGGCATTCTTCCATTTGAGACACACACACACACACACACACACACACACACACACACACACACACACACACACACACACACACACACACACACCCTTTAAAATAGCAGGCATTCTTCCATTTGAGAGACACACACACACACACCTTTAAAGTATTATTTTTCTTGTAGGTCTCACATTTATGCCAAGGCCAGCATGGACAGTGATTCTTATTTATGTCTCCCACATAGCTAGGCTGACAGGCAAACATTACCATGCCCAGCTTACTCGTTGAGATGCGGGTCTTCTAACCTTTTGTACCAGCTGGCTTTGCACTGAAATTCTCCACATCTTTATATCTTTGAATTATAGCCATTGACCACTGTAAGGGAAGTTAAGGAAAGTTAATAGCTACAGATTTTCTCAGTCTTTGCTACCTATGGAAGTTTTTATTTTTGTGTTCATTTTTTGGCTTCTTGGCTTTTTTCAATTTTTTAATATACATTTTTATTGTAAAGATATTGTACAAAGGGGTTACAGTTATATGAGCAAGGTAATGAGTCCATTTCCTATGGAGCATTGTTACCCTCTCCTTTGTTTTTCCCCTTTTCATTTTTTTTGAGACAGTGTCACTCTGTTGCTCTAGCTGTCCTGATCTTGAGACCCCTGCCTTAACCTACTGAGGGTTTGGAATTACAGGTGCATTGCTTCATTTTAAAATCAAGCTTTACTTTACTATTTTAAACTATACAATTCAGTGGTTTCTTAGTATAGTCAGTAGATTATGCAAGCATAATCACTATGTAATTTCACAGCATTTCTATCACTTCCAGAGTAAAGCCTATACTTTGTAGTAATCCAAATGTCCTGGTTCCATAGTGTCCTATGGAGCAATACATTTCCTATAAATCATACAATATGTGGCTCTGTGTGCCTGGCCTATTTTATTTTGACATGTTTCCATAATAGTGCTTAATTATTTTTATAGGTGAATATTATTCTGTTTGTGGGTGTCATATTTGGTCTAGCTGTTCATTAGCCCCTACTTTTTGCCTCTTATGAATAATACTTCCATGAATATATATGGATGAGTTTTTTGTTCGTTTGTTTTTGTTTTTGTTTGGCCAGCCCTGGGGCTTAAACTCAGGCTCTGGACGCTATCCCTGAGCTTCTTTTGCTCAAGGTTAGCATTGAACCCAGGGCTTCATGCATGCTAGGCAAGCACTCTACCACTAAGCCACATTCCCAGCCCATATGTATGAGTTTGTATATGAACATATATCTTTAGTTATATTGAGTGTATACTTGAGGGGAATTTCTAGCTCATATGATACATTCTTTTTGTCCTTTTGAGGTATTGTCGTGTATGTGTATGTATGTGTGTGTGTGTGTGTGTGTGTGTGTGTGTGTGTGTGTGTATCTGTCTGTCTCTCTGTCTCTCTGTATGTGCTGTTTCTGGGGGTTGAACTTGGGCTTGGGCACTGTCTCTGAGATTTTTTGCTCAAGACAGTATTCTTCTATTTGAGCCACAACTCCACTTCTGCTTTTTGGTAGTTAATTGAAGATGAGTAACATGGAGTTTTGTTTTGAACCACAGTCCACAAATCTCAACCTCCTGAGTAGCTAGGATTCTAGACATGAGCCACTGGGGCTCAGCGCCAAAATGTTTTTTATAGTGACTACTTCGTTTTACATTCTTACTAGCAATGTTTGGGATTTCTCACTTCTCGCCATCCACTGTTTGGGATTTCTCACTTCTCTCCATCTACTCTAACTCCTATTTCTTTTCTTCTTAAAAATTAATTAAAGCTCCCGGGTGCTAGTGTCTCATGCTGAGCCTGCCTAGGAAAGTCCTTGAGACTCTTATTAAACACCATAAAGCCAGAAGTGGAGCTGTGGCTCAAGTAGTAGAACACTAGCCTTGAGTAAAAAATCTCAGAGACAGCCAGCCACCCATGTCCTCAGTTCAGGCCCCAGGAGAGGCTCACACGCACACAAAAAAATTATTAGAGCCATTCCAGACTGTTTGAAATGGTATCTCATTAGCAGTTCTCTAATGACTAATAATATGGGCTGTATTTTCATTGTTGATTATTTATGTCTTCTTTGGTGAAATTTCTATGCAAAAATTTTGCCCATTTGTAAATTGGTTGAGTTCTAAGAATTCTTTCTATTTTTTTATTTGTTGCCAGTCCTGGAGCTTGAACTCAGGATCTGGGCACTGTCTTTGGACTTCTTTTGTTCAAGGCTAGCACTCTATCAACTTGAGCTCTAGCAACAATTCTGGCCTTTTCTGTGTATGTGGTACTGAGGAATATAAATCAGGGCTTCATGCAGACTAGGCAAGCACTCCACCACTAAACCACATTCTCAGCCCCTAAGGATTCTTTATATAATCTGGAGATATATGACCTACAAATTTTATCTGCTATTGGATCTTTGGTTTTTACTTTTTGTTTTCTTTTTCTTGGGGGGGGGGGGGGGACGGGGAGGGTCCAGTCGTGAGGCCTGAACTCTGGGCCTGGGCACTGTCCCTCAGCTCTTCAGCTCAAGGCTAGTGCTCTACCACTGAGCCACAGCGCCACTTCCAGCTTTTTTGTTTTTGCTTATGTGGTACTGAGGAAGCGAACCCAAGGCCTCATTCATGGAAGGCAAGCGCTCTACTACTGAGCCACCTTTCCAGCCCTGTTTTCTTTTCTTTTGAGATGGAGTTTTACAATGTTTTGTTTGGTCTTAAACTCCACAGCTCTAGTGATTATCCTGCCTCAGCCTCCTTAGTAGCTGAGAATATAGGCCCACGTCACTGTGTCTAGCATTATTTTCTTGATGGCATCTTTTGTAAAGGTTTTAATTTTGAAGAAATCCAAATATCTGTTTTTTTCCCTTTTTTAAGGCTATTAGTGCCATATTTTAGTAATTATTGCCTAATCCAAAGTCATTCAAATATTCTTATGATTTAGTTCTTAAATTTAGATTTTTGAGTTTAGTTTATTTTTGTATATAATGTGATAGAGGTGTACAGATTCATTCTTTTTATGTGATTATGATTTTTTTTTTTTGGGGAGGTGGTCCAGTCGTGGGGCCTGAACTCTGGGCCTGGGCACTGTCCCTCAGCTCTTCAGCTCAAGGCTAGCGCTCTACCACTTGAGCCACAGCACCACTTCCGACTTTTTTCTTTTTGCTTATGTGGTGCTGAGGAATCGAACCCAGGGCCTCATGCATGCAAGGCAAGCACTCTATCACTGAGCCACCTTCCCAGCCCATTAAGAAGATATTCTTTTTTTTTTTTTTTTTTTTGTGGTCGTGGGGCCTGAACTCTGGGCCTGGGCGCTGTCCCTCAGCTCTTCAGCTCAAGGCGAGCACTCTACCACTTAATCCACAGCACCACTTCCTAGGATTTTTTAATGTGTTTAGCACCATTACCTTTTATTAATATATAGTTCATTTATTACAAATATTACTGAGCTCCTAGTTGTCAGTTATTTTCTTTCCATTTATTAGGTATTATATTCTTTTGTTTTCCTTATTTGCAATAACTAGTATATGTCTGAGTCAAGCAGAAAAGGTCAGATAAGTTGATGTAGGGAAATGAACCCTAAGATATGTATTCAAATGTTTTTTTCTTTCATGTGATTGTTTCTCACACATTTATAAGATTATTTCTTTGTTGCTTTGTATGTCCCTCCCCCACAGTATAACCCCTGCTTTCACTGTATTTGATGTTGGTATAATTTGTGGAGGGGAAGGGAAAAAAGCAAATCGTTTAAATAGGGATACAGGTGGACCCATTGCAACAATGAGATGTACAAGTCGTTATGTCGAAAATGAACTTTACAACTTTGGTGGGGAGGGGGGGAGGAGGACTGGGTGGAGGGACGGGGGGAGGAAGGGAAGGGATGGGAAGGGGAGAAATGGAGGAAGCTACAATGCTTGATAAGAAATACACTTCTGTATAGTATTTTCACAATAAAATAAAATGTAGAATCAAGCTGAGCACTGGTGGCTCATACATATAATTCAAGCTGCTCAGGAGGCTGAGATCTGAAGATCATAGTTCAAAGCCAGCCTGGGCAGAAAAGTCTATGAGACTCTTATCTCCAGTTAACCACCAGAACACCAGAAGTAGACTGTAGCGCAAAGTGGTAGAACAAAAGCCTGAGTGGTAGAGCACTAGTCTTGAGCAAAAGAGCTCAGGGACAGCAGGTCCTAAGGTCAAGCCCCATGACAGACCAAAAAAAAAATAGAATCAATGCACTGTCATTAAATATAAATAACATTTAGAACTTCTTTTAGACTACTTACTCACTACTCAGTTTAGTACCAAACATTGAAATTTTACAAACATCTTATTAGTGATTCTTTATTTCCTAAGCCATAGCTTTAACTAAAGGGCTATAATATCACTAGCTAAGTTGTTGAAACTCACAGAATGTCTTCATATAAGTTCATGGAAATGGATTAGACTTAATCATTGCTATTCTGGACACGAGACATTTATGAAATAACTAGTCCTAGAGAGAAGCTAGCAAAAAAAATTGCATGAATAATATTTTGTGAGTAGTAGGAGTTCCCACTTCTATACTAAGCATAAAAAGTTACCTAAGGTTACTCAATTTTTCTTTTTCAAGAAATAGCATGGTTTCAGTTCTCCTTATACAAGATGACTCTAAGTAAGGTATGGCATTGGTAGTTGTTTATATTATCTCTAGTTGTGTTGTTAAGATGTTCCATTGTCATGATGATGATGCAATGGTTTAGTTACTCTTGGAAAGTTTCAATTTAGAGTTTGAAAATCATAATTAGGTACAGGGTGCTGTGGTTCAATCTTGTAATTCTCAGATAGTTGGGAGGCTGAAACAGAAGAATCATGAGTTTGAAGGTAACCTGTTATCTCAAATATAATTAGTGCTACTAACAATTATTTACAAGACACTACTATTAATACAGTCTTAAAAAAATCTTTTAGTAGTTGTACAAAGGAATTTAAGTCCAACATTTCACTTCTATGAGCACAATACATTTTGAACAATGTCACCCCTTCCATCATTCTCCTTCATCTTTCCCAACCCCATCCATCTGTCATTTCTTGGTTTCATTTCTACATATGTACATTGAATATTATGACTGTTTTTGTCTCTCCTCTCTCTCTCCATTTGCCTGTCTCCCTCCCTTAAACCCCTAACTTATACATATAAGAGAAATCATGTGCCTTTTTACTCTCTGATTTAATCTAACATAACTTTTTTCCAGGCTCATCCATTTACCTGCAAATGACATAATATTGTTTTCCTGATGGATACATAAAATTTCATTTTGTGTATGTGTGTGTGTGTGTGTTTGTGTGTGTGTGTGTATGTGACATTTCTTGATCTATTCTTCCATTGTAGGGTAATGAAATGATGGATTTTTTTCTGTAACTAGTCTATGATATTTAGTCTAGCAATGAACCATTTCAAAACTGGAAACCTTTCTCTCGACCATCATGTACACAGGCATTCTTTTCTTTGAGCTTCTCAAGCATATGAATATTTTAAGCACAAATGGACTAGTTAGTGTGTGGTTTTTTTTTTAAGGTCCTAACACAACAAGCATAACAGCGTTAGTCTTCCAGGGTGTGTTCCTTTCACTGTGTGTGGTGTGCTCATATAGAGCTCTGCAACTCCTTTCTTTAAAGAGCTGCTTCATCTCTAAATGTCCACAGCTAGGAGCCCAGCCCTGCAATGTGTAATTTGAATAAATATATCTATTTTCTGTGAATTACTCCTGAAAGTTTTAAACAGAATGACCTAATGACATAATGTTTTCCTGATGGATACATAAAATTTCATTTTGTGTATGTGTGTGTGTGTGTGTTTGTGTGTGTGTGTGTGTGTATGTGACATTTTCTTGATCTATTCTTCCATTGTAGGGTAATGAAATGATGGATTTTTTTCTGTAACTAGTCTATGATATTTAGTCTAGCAATGAACATAGGTATGCAAGTATCTTTACTGTATCCTGATTTATAATCATAATACAGTGTTTATCCACAGATTTATATTTTCTCTGGGTAAATTTATGGTTCTCAGACTATGAGTAAAGTGACATGACAATATTGTTACATTTTTTAAATCTGTCCTCTGTCACTTGTATTAGATTTACTATGTTTTGTTTTAAAAATTGTAAAGCATGTTTTTTTATACAGCTGAATGAATAGATTAAAAAATATTTGGATGGCTAGGCAGGAAAGTTTGTGAGACCCTTATCTCCAATTACCCACCAAAAAGCCAGAAGTGGAGCTGCGATTTAGGTGGTAGCCTTAAGCAAAAATGTTCAGGGACAGTTCCCAGGCCCTGAGTTCAGGACTGGCACACAAAAAATAAAATTTGAGCCAGGCGCCGGTGGCTCACGCCTGTAATCCTAGCTACTTAGGAGGCTGAGATCTGAGGATTGCGGTTCAAAGCCAGCCCGGGCAGGAAAGTCCGTGAGACTCTTATCTCCAATAAACCACTAGAAAACCGGAAGTGGTGCTGTGGCTCAAGCGGTAGAGTGCTCGCCTTGAGCTGAAGAACTGAAGAACGTAGGGACAGCACCCAATCCCAGAGTTCAAGCCCCGCGGCCAACCAAAAAATAATAAAAATTTAAAAAATAAAATCTGGATGCTATTTAAGCAATTTAATATTCAGTAGGATGTTTCTTGTAGGTAATTAAAATATTATTTCTTGAACACATAATTTCATGAGTTTGAGTTTAAATTTGAATGTGATATTCTTTTCCACTTAGGCAGGATAAATTGATGAGTACATTAAAAGTTTTCTTTTGTTTTACAGTGATGACAAAGAACAGGATCAAAAAGAAAAATTGGTGTTGACAGAAGACTGTGAACTCATTACAATAATTGACATAATTCCTGGCAGATTAGAAATCACTACTCAGCATATTTACTTCTACGATAGCAGCATTGAAAAAGAAGATGGTGAGGAGTTTTTGGAAAGTGGTTTCTGCTCAGTGATTAAGTACTTAACTTAATCAGACATGAATGAGAAGAAAGCAGTTAATGGGACTGTGGAGACATAGTCTATAATGTAGAATGAAAAGTACAAAGTCAGTAACAGGTTTAATTTTTTATCCAACAGTGTATTAAAGGAGAATGCTTTTATTTTGTATAAAAATTGTGGATGTATTTTGTGTGTGTGTGTGTGTGTGTGTGTGTGTGTGTGTGTGTGTGTTATCACTGTTTGAACCCATGTATCATGTAGCGAGGCATGTATCATGAAGCTACATCTATAATATTATTTATTTTATTTTGAGACAATATCTTGGTAAGTTGTTTAGGTTGGCCTTGAACTTGGAATGCTCCTGCCTTGTTCTCCCATATAGCTGATATTTCAAGCATACAACACTATACCTGGATGTTTTAATTTTTTTATTATTCATATATTTCTTTTTTTTTTTTTATTTTATTTTATTTTATTTGAGAACATACTGTACAGAGGGGTTACAATTACATGGTCAGGATAATGCATACATTTCTTACCAAGCATTGCAGCCTCCTCCTTTGTTTACCCTTCACCTCCCTTCCCAGCCTCCCCCCTCCCCCCCACCCAATCATACCCCCCCTCCCCCCCCCTCCGACATTGTAAAGCTGGTTTTGACATGACATTTTGTACTTCTCATTGTTGCAACAGGTCCACCTGAATCCTTAAACGACTTGTTTGTCCCCATCTCCTCCACATGTTATACTGACATCAAATATAGTGAAAGCGGGGGTTACACTGTGGGGGAGGGACATACAAAGCAACAAAGATTATTCATATATTTCTAAGGGTTGGCTAGAAGGGCTCACAATACAATTATAAAATCTAAATACATTTTAATTTATCCTGTGTTATATATTTACTTAATCCTGTAAGTGTGTAAATTTTTTTTAAGCCTTAGAGTTTGAAATCAGGGCTTTGGCTTGCTAGGCTAATGTTCTACCACTGAAGCCATGACCCCAGCCTTCTTTTTTTTTTTTTTCTGCTTTAGTTTGTATATCAGGTAGCTTTTTCCTGGGCCAATCTTGGACTGGCCTTCTACCTTTCTCTCTCTGTATTGCTAGGATTACAGGAGTGAACCACCATGTCTGGCTTTTTTGGTTGTTGTTTGTTTTTAAGATAGGGCCTCACTGGGATATAGGCATGAATCACCATGCCTGCTTCCTCACTTAATCATTTATATGATAATAAAATGCTGATTAAATCCAAAAATATAACAAAAGAAAACTTTTTCTAAGTTATAATATCTAGAATTATCATTTGTTCACATGAGAAGACAGTAGTATAGCTATACAATTTTAAATAGTTCTATAAATATCCAATAAATTTAATAAATAATTTTTTTGTGCCAGTACTACTGCTTGAACTCAGGGCCTGGACACTGTCCTTGATCTTTTTTGCTCAAGGTTAATGCTCTGTCACTTGAGCCATAGTTCCTCTTCTAGTTTTTTTTTTTTTAAGTGGGTTTTTTGGGGGGTGGTTAATTGGAGACCAAAATTTCACATACTTTCCTGCTGCTGGGACTGGCTTTGAACCTTGCTCCTCAGCTTCTTGAGTAGTTAGAATTATAGGCTTGAGCCTCCAGCTCCTGGCATAAATGATATGTATATATTTAGTCAGTTTTGGTGCTTGAACTCAAATCTGGGAGTTGTTCCTGAGCTTTTCTGCTCAAGGTTAGCACTCTACCACTTTGAGCCATAGCTCCACTTCCAGTTTTCTGGTGGTTAATTGGAGTAAGTTTCTAGAAACTTTCCTGCCTAGACTGGCTTTGAACCTCAATGTTCAGATCTCAGCCTCCTTAGTAGCTAGGATTTGAGGCATGAGATACCAGCGCAGAGAATAAATGATTTTTATAATGTTCAATTTCTTTTTCTTATATGATACTTTTGTCAGGAACAGGAGACATTTTCTACATAGTAAAAGTAACTTTATTTGGTACTCCAGTCACAGGATTTCTTCTGTTTTTAGGAATAGGCTTTGATTTCAAGTGGCCTCATTCTCAAGTTCGAGAGATTCACTTACGGCGTTACAATTTAAGGAGATCAGCTCTTGAGATTTTCCATGTTGACCAATCCAACTACTTTCTTAATTTCAAAAAAGAGGTAAGATACTTTTCTGGCTATCACAGAGTATTAGCTTGACATAATCTTCCAGTGAGCTTTAATATATTATAGAAAGAGTAGAAGTTAATCAGCACATATATTTTTTTGTTGGGTATTGAGTGCTGGAGTGGTGGCTTTTAGTTTGTGTGTATACAGTACTGTGAAATAGTAGAATATTGAGTATCAGCCAAAAGATGTCCAACAATAATATAACATGCAGTAAATAAAACATATTTGGAGGCTCAATCCCATTACTAAGGAAGCTCAGATAGGACTGAAAGTTTGAAACCAGCCTGAGCTATATAACAAGACCATCTCAAAGTTTTTAAAAGTTTGTAATTTTAAAAAGGTTGGACTCAAATTCAACAGTAATGATATCTGAGGAGGTAGCTCAGTGACAGACTACTTGCCTATACTGTGTAAGGCTCTGGGCTTGATATCTCACACTATTAAAAATGACCCTGTCACAGTAAATTATAATGGGACAGCTGTTTCTTATAGAAATATATCTTATTGTAAAATAGTGTAAGTGGTTGAGCACACAGTCTCTCAACCAGACTACTTGGGTCTGAGTACTATCTTTATCACGAACTGTTGGCTTGTTAATTAAGATGGATACTTGAACCATACCTTTCTTACTCACATTGGACCACAATGTGTTACTGTCAGACTCCTGTTTGCTTTCATAAGCATCCTGCCTAATAAAGTTCTTGCATGTTTAATTCTGTCCTGGTATCTGCTTTTCATAGGACTGAGATTAGCATGGGCAATAACTAGTTTTCTGTTCACAGGGAAGGAACTGTTATAGATTTACTTATAAACTGACTCAGATATTTTAAGAGCATTTTTCTATTTTTATAAAACAATGTATTTTTACTTTTAAAATTCTTCTTCAAAAAAATTCTCCTTCATAAAATAAATATAAAGCATGAATGTGTTTTATGGAAAGCTGTACTGTTTAATTAAACCAGGTCTCTCCTTGCTAAATATATCTGTATAACCTTTGTAGTTTTTGGAGCTTATTTATGTAAAACATATTAATTTCCTAACAGCCTCGAGATTAAGTATGTTTAATGCCAGTACTCTTTTTTTATAGTTAAGAAAAAATTAATTTTATTACATTTTTAAATATATACCATAGGGTATAAATTATGTATATTACATGTGAGACTCAATAAGTTATTTAATTTTCTAAGATTATTAGCAAATAGCAGAGCTAAATTTGACTTAGACTTCAACACATTTTCTTTTTTCTTTTTTTTTTGTCAGTTGTGGGGCTTGAACTCTGGACCTGGGCGCATGCCCTCAGCTCTTCAGCTCAGGGCTAGCACTCTACCACTTGAGACACAGTGCCACTTCTGGTTTTCTGAGCAGCTTATTAGAGATAAGAGTCTCACAGACTTTCATGCTCAGGCTATCTTTGAACGGTGATCCCCCTGAGTAGCTAGGATTATAGGCATGAGCCACCAGCACCTGGCTGAACACATTTTCTGATTCAAAGTTTAATGGTCTTTCATTGTAGATTGATTAGATAGTTTAACTTCAATTGCTTCAATTTATTCTCTGTTGCTCTGACAAAGTACTTGTTACCAGATAATCTAAAAGAATACAAGTTTATGCAATTTAGGGAGCTAGGAAGTCCCACAGCCTGGTGAGGGCCTATATGTAGCGCAGAGTACAGCAGAGTACACCACATGGAAATTAATATAATCATATCAAATTAGAAAACTCACTTCCTCACCTTTTGTTTGTTTGTTTGTTTGTTTGTTTTTGTTGGTCTTAGGGTTTGAACTCTGGGCTTGGGCGCTATCCCTCAGCTCTTCAGCTCAAGGCGAGTACTCTACTGCTTGAGCCACAGTGCCACTTCCAGTTTTCTAGTGGTTTATTGGAGATAAGAGTCTCATGGACTTTCTTGCCAGGACTGGCTTTGAACCGTGATCCTCAGATCTTAGCCTCCTGAGTAGCTAGGATTACAGGCATGAGCCACTGGCGCCAGGTTTCCTCACCTTTTAAGGCCACTAGTTCATCATGAAGTTCCTGTTCTCATGACTTTACATAATATACCTCCCAAAAACCTCACTGATAACTGTGAAAATCTGCATTAGGATCATGTTTCCAACACTAACTTTTGAGGAATACGTTCAATCTATAGCACAAATTATAATAGACACTTAAAACCATTACCCACTGTTAATATGAAATGTCCAGAGCAGGCACATCCATAGAGAGAAAGTAGATTGTTGGTTGTCCAGGGTTGAAAAGGAAGAAGAATTGGAGAATAACTGCTAGAAAGTATGGGATTTAAGGAGGGATATGATGAAAAATTAAATAATGGTGTCAGTTGTACAACTCTATGAATATACTATAAAACTATTTGTATTCTTTTAAAAGGTGAATTATAATTCAACTAAAGCTATTAGACAATAATCTAAGTTTGTCTTGATCAGTTTTTAAATTACATGATGGTATTTTTTCAATAGGTTAGAAACAAAGTATATAGCAGACTGTTGTCCCTTCATTCTCCAAATAGTTATGGGACGAGATCACCACAGGAGTTATTCAAAGCATCAGGACTGACACAGGTAAGAAAAAGTTACTGTGTTGGTGTTGACTTTCATTGCAGATTTATGCTGTGTTCCTTTTGATTATTACCTTTTGATTGTTAAAACTGCTATTCTTCCATTTATACCGATTGTTGGAATTATTATTATTATTTTTTTGGGTCCGGTCGTGGGGCCTGAACTCTGGGCGTGGGCGCTATCCCTCAGCTCTTCAGCTCAAGGCTAGCGCTCTACCACTTGAGCCACAGCGCCACTTCTGGCTTTTTTCTTTTTGCTTATGTGGTGCTGAGGAATCGAACCCAGGGCCTCATGCATGCAAGGCAAGCCCTCTACCACTGAGCCACCTTCCCAACCCTGGATTATTTTTAAATCTTCTTTTATTACCTTTACATGCTTCCCTTCCCCTACCTTCCATATCATTCAGTTCATGAATATATCCTTCAATAATTTTCTATTTTTCTTAATAAAAATCAAGCACGAATAAAAAAACAAAGACACC